TATTTTCTGATGGGTCTAACCTGGGGATTTAGTACATTAAAAGAGTCTTGTCTGCATTTAGAAGGATGTCTGGCCTCCATTCAAATCCTACTAAATGTGAGTTATACTGTGGAGGGATAAGTGATCAATGGAAAGAGGCAATGGCCTGCTACTCTGGGTATAAGTTGGGGGTACTTCCTGTTAGATACCTAGGTCTTCCCTTGTTGGCTGGGAAGCTTACAATTGCTGTCTGTGCTCCACTGGTGGATAAAGTAACCAGAAGAATCACCAGTTGGAAATCCAAAACCTTGACATATGCGGGGAGATTCCAATTGGTTATGTCTGTGCTTTATAGTCTAACTCAATTCTGGATGTCTATTTTCATTCTGCCTAAAGCTGTCATTAAAGCTATTGAGAAGTTGCGTAGTGATTTCCTGTGGGGAGTGGGAGTTGGTTCACGAAAGAAAGCTGTAGTGGCTTGGGCTAGGATCACTTTTTCTGAGACTGAAGGTGGGCTAGGGCCGAGGGATATGGCTTCCTGGAACTCTGCATGTGTTACTAGGCATATTTGGGTTATTCTGTTGAAGGAACGATCGTTGTGGATGGCTTGGATATGGGAATATAGAATCAAGAATGCTGATTTCTGGACTCTAACTAACAAGGCAGGGTCTTGGCTTTGGCTTAAGCTGTTAAAGTGTAGGGACAAATTGAGAAGCTTGATGTCTGTGCAGGGGGATGGAGTTCATTTGAAAGGGGACTTAATGGTTAAATTCAAAATAAAGAAAGTCTGGGAGGATATTAGACCTAGACAACCCCCTGTCCAGTGGAGTTCTCTGGTCTGGAAAGGGCCTTGTATTCCAATGAATCAATTCCTGGTTTGGCTTGTAGTAAATAATCATATTGTTACAAGTGATAAGGCTCAGGGATGGGGGCTTGCTGGAAATCATGGGTGTGTATTTTGCTCGCAGAATCTGGAAACAAGATCTCATCTGTTTGCAGAATGTGAACTGTATAGGTCAATGTTTGCTGCTCTGTTCTTTAGGTATACAAATCGTGTGCCTGGAAATCAGTGGTTGGATGAGCTTCAGTGGGCAGTTCTGCAGGTCAAACATAAAAGTGTGGTTGCTCAGGCTGGGAGAGTCATTTGGCATAGTCTGATCGCTGCCATTTGGAGAGTGCGCTGCAGAGTGAAGTTTGGAGATGGAGTACTGGATGCCAACATGCTAATTAGTCATGTAAAGCAACACTTGAATTGTTTTTAGATCCTTTGTGTTTGGATCAGTTTTGTTAAATTCCCCTGTTTGGTTTTGATAGGTGCAGTTTCCAGTTTTACTTGTCTATAGTTCTTCTTACTCAATTGGCAGAGTGTGTTGTCAACAAGTAACATTGTTCTTTTTGATGAAATAGAAACTCAAACCGATTCATCAAAAAAAAAAAAAAATCAATGCCACAAATTTAAAGCCCAACATAAATGTTTAGACGAAGCATTCCAATTAAAGTGTGATAAATGACATTTTTTCCTTCCAAAAATCACTATGGTTGCTGGATATTTGAAATTGAGAAAATTTAACTCATGAATCTCCTTCATATATTTTATAGATTGGAGGATAGTCTAGAACTAAAATATAAAAATTGAAGTATCAAGCACCATAAAGATACTTACAGGAGACTTAATGAGCTAGCTTACCGTTATGCAAAAGTCATATGTTTTACAGATTTTAACTTCGTGTATGTTTTATAATAAAAAGTATACAATGTATTTGTTTAGTGTAATTGGTTATGTTTCTTGTCGACCATGGTTCAAATCTTGGTGCTGATATATTTTTATACAAAATAAACAACTAATTGTGAAGACAAAAATACCCTTCCTACTTTCACTTTAGTTGCTCGAAATTTGAAATTGAGAAAATCCAACCCATGAATATGCTTTATATATAGTATAAAAGATAGATAGATAGATTGGAGGAGAATTGCATGACAATTTGTTCCGAGTTCCTCAAAGTGGGCCAATTAATATTTTGGAGACATATAATAATCTAATACAATTTTTCTGGGTCTATCCCTTTTGTAAACATGCAAAGGTGGTTGCAACTCAAAGTGGGTCATCATATATATTCAGGCGGGTGGTTTGGATGTAAAGATAATAACTTGAACCTGTCTTCTCGGGTAATAACTTGAACCTGATTCGTAGTCAGATGCATTACCCGACCCGTAATAGCGTGGAGCGGGCTTGAGTTATTAATTGCGACCTGATTCGTACAATTTTTTATTTTGCTCGTGTTTGGATCTGGAGACCTGTTTACCGTTTTCGTCTGAATTTGATTGCTTCTGTGATTCGGATTGGTGTTTCTGAAATTTTTTGGTTATGGTATTGTGTGGGGCATAGATTTTGTCTTGTTTTGTCTTGTTTTATTAGTCTCTTGTTTTGGGATAAATGCATAATCTGGCCTAGAATGAATTACCCTGGATTTTTGGGTTACTAGGCTCTTGATCATCCATGTTTGTGGTTGTAAAGTTGAGTTCTTGGACGTAATTTTTCAGTGTTTATATTAAATTCCGTAGAGAATTGAATCAAACTGAGTAGTTTAATGTAAGGGTTTTACAGATAAGGAGAGTTGTTAGCAGCCAGAACAGTCTTCATTAGTCCTTCTATTCTTTATCGATGATTTGTGTAATGGTCATTGTTTTAGGAATGAAAGAAACTCCAGTGTAGTGGTCATTAGAAGGATGAATTGGGGGTCGATACAGGACAAAATTACCAAATTTCATCCCTATTTAGCCATCGCTCCTCCACCTTCTACCCCTATCATCGAACCGTCATTTTCTTACCTTCTATATTATGCTCTATTTTGCCACCATGATTTTCCCATCAAAGACTTATTCATCATGACAAACTCCCTCTTCCTCCATCAATGCAAAATATGCTCCTATACAGGGGCAATCATCCCTTGAATGTGACTGTTAATCATCACCATTACCTCCGTCTGTTGGCTGAGAAACCAATCCTTCTCATCAATGCTCATGATGTATAACCACTTTCTTTCTTTGATTATGTCGATCATATCTTCCTCATGGACAATCTGGGTTGGCTTCCAATGGGAGACGTTCCTCCGACTAGTTGTTGTCGTGCAATCATTCATCCCTTCTACTCTAACCTTCACTATGATAGTCTCTTCTCTAGTTTGTTCACAGCCCTACTATTTGGTAATTTTGGTTATTTGTTGACCTTCACAGTGGCATACCTAGTTGCATTTGTTCATCTTCCCCATGCGGAAAACCTCTTATAAGCACTGCTGAATTTTGGCAATTCAAGTACAGTCTTCACACTGAACCTGCTCATTTGTGTCGCTATTCATTCTATATTATTGTTGTTTAGTTAGGGAAAGTGATTTGTGAAATTGTAGTTGAGTGCGAGGCGTGTGTGTTTAGTGTTAAATATTATTATTTTAGACATGTAACTTGCTAGGACAAGAGAATTAAATTATCACCAAAATTCTAAATTATTACGATTTGGAAATATATAGATCGAAATATGGTGAAACCAAATTTAAATAGTAAATATGCTTTAAGATTTCAATATATTTTTGTTACTTTATTATTGCATTATTTGAACTTTTCGAGTTATATGATTAAATTACTATTTTGTTTCAGCTATCACGTATTTGTTCAAGTATATTAAACAAATCTCCAAGCATGAGTTGTGTTTGTAAAATTTAGAGCAGGGCCAAACTAACCATTTCCATATCCAAAATTCAATCTTCTTTGCACACAAAAATTGTGTCAATTATGTGTATAAAACTTACTTTGATTGTTCCATATTAATTGAGTATAAAATTTAACTTCTCGAAGATGGTGTTACATTACGGCAAAACATTTTTTTTCGTTGAATACGACAAAACATTTACTAGTTAACTTTTGCTTATAGTGAAATGCCGAGAAGAAATAGTTTGTTATTGGTGGACGTAGTCAGTAATAAGATTATGACATCGTTGAGAAGAAGAAAGAGATTATTTGTGGGGGATATATAAATTTTAATGATTGAAGGAAAGAGCGAAATATTGATAATATTTATCACTTGAATTAGGTAAATTTTAGTAGTTTGAAATATCGTTTCACATTTTCAACCTTTTACCGTTTGTTTTTGAGGAAATGCATGATAAAATGAGAGAGTAGTGATGCATTGTGCATATAAAAAAGTCTTATTAGCGAAGATGAAGTCATGTGAAAAAGATAATGCTTTTGATGCGGGGAAATCACAAAAGAATTCCAAAAGAAATTTTCAAGTCATTTCTTACTTTGAGTAATAATTGAAGTGCACTTATTATGATTTTTAGGCATGGAATTCTTTGCATGAGTTGTTTTTTTAAACTTATGGTTATGAATGATCATAATGCCATAAAATTTATAATCTATGTTCCTATTTCATATCTGTGTAATTGAATAATATGAATTCTTTCATAATAACAACGAAAGTTGATTCAGACATTTTATAATTTATTTATACTATCGATGTTATTCATCTGGCCAACGGACAACGGGCGGGCCCAAATCTAGTACAAATTAAAAAGTTACATTGAAATGTTTGTGTTGACGAAAAATATTTTCAATGTCCAAATTAGAAAATAATAATCACATCGCTAAACTACATTAGCTCAAAAATAAAAGTCTTTATCCTTAGGCTTAGCCCTTAAATTGGACAAAACAAAATCTTGCTCTCTCAGTCTCTCTCTAGCACTAGCTGTTGCACGTGCGCCGTCGGATTGAGATTTTGAGACTTTCTCGGCTTCAAGAACCACATCCAGAAACAAACTTGTCCTACCTCTTCTCGTCTTTTCCCCAAAAAAGCGTTTCATTCCCACGCCCACTCCAGCGTACACGTCTCACTACTTCCTTCTTTGCTTTACATACCTGCGCCCAAATTTCTGTCCAATACCAAACCCTAGGAAAAACAAATTCTCAAATTCTCCCATTCCTATAACGCTAGTCCCCTGCTGCTAGGTGGCGAAATTTGGTGCTGGAGGATGGGGGATACGCCGGAGAGATTGGGATCGGAGACGCCCATGGTCGGTATGGAGACGAGCTTGAAGGACGGGCTCTGCATGGAGATCGACCCTTCTTTCCGGGAGAACGTTGCCACGGCGGAGGACTGGCGCAAGGCCCTCGATAAGGTGGTCCCGGCCGTGGTGGTGCTGAGGACAACGGCATGCCGTGCATTTGACACGGAGTCCGCCGGCGCAAGCTACGCCACGGGGTTCATTGTCGACAAGCGCCGGGGGATCATCCTCACCAATCGCCATGTTGTCAAGTCTGGTACCACGCTGCCTGGCAATTCTATGCTTTTACGCATAATTGTGTTTTTTCGAGTGGAGTTTTTACTATTCGAATTCTTGCTTTACGGCGCTAATGCTCCGACCGTATGCCGCGTACCAATTTTATGCTCAGTATTAACTAAATGGTAGTAGGAAAACAGAGGAAAATACACTTTAGTGGCGTCTTGTGGAGTATTCGAGGTATGGTTCTATGTACTAGTTGTATATGGGGATTGTATAAGGCAGGTCTAGAGACAGTTTTGAATTAAATGAGCTTCTTGGCACTACAAAAATTGGAATTGCACCATTGTGTTGAAGAAGATCACCGGAAAGAGTTCTTTTAGGCAACCATCTCATCGTCACACTGGATTGAGCTGGACGCAGCGTATGAAGCTAAGAATGAGATGCACACTATTTAAGACTTCAGTGTCTTTTAGTCTTTCAGGATACATTGAGTTTTGAAAGGCTAAATATTTATGCACAATCAGATTTCTCTCTATGTAGTATTTCATGTTGATTTCTTGGTGACGTAGTGCATTAATTAATGCTTTGTTTGTCTAGATTCTTAATGCTTGAATTAGAAAGGATTTCAGCTGTAGAGTGTATATATTTCTCTACGAATCAGAGCACATATATTATTTCTGAATGCAATCAGTTGCATTAGAGCTCTATCTAGTTTCTGAGAGGAATCAAGTTGCATTAGGGCCCTAAGTCTGGACATAGATTTCTTTTTCTATTTACTTTGCTCATTGACGAGATGGATGTTGGCCTCATGTGCCTTGATATGAATTTTCTTCTTCTTTAGTATTCTTGATGAGACTACAGATTCTTCTATCCGCTGAACATTTTTCCTTGATTTTGGTTTTGTAGGACCTGTAGTTGCAGAGGCCATGTTTCTCAACAGGGAAGAAGTTCCTATATATCCGATATACAGAGATCCAGTAAGTAGTCCTTCATCTACAATATAAAGGGCATGCTCATTCGAGGTGCCACCATTCAACTTCACTTTTGCTTCAAAATGCACTAGAATTGTTCGATCAATAAAGATCCAAGAAGAATGTAAATGACTGCTAACGAGTAATTATCCTAAATTGAACGATAAGAGGTTTGAATTATCGATTCCCCTGTGAGCTGTTCTGTCGGCACAAGCTTTTGTATGAGTAACTGAATTTGAAGTGATTTGTATATATGAAACTAAACTTTTAAACTGTTTGATTTGCTTTTGGAGTTGGATCTCGTTGAGTGGTTGATTTCGTCTGTTGGTTACTAATTGCATTCCTGCTTTTCTATTCTTGTATTTTTCTCTTCATTATGATATTTGACGGTAGTCTTTTCGCCCTCCAATTAGCTAGTTTTGTAATTGGGTTTATCATGCTACTTCAAAACATTATTTAGATAATTTTTGTCAGTTCTTTTTAAAGGTTCATCTTGGACATGAATTACAATTTACCTGTATTTGTCTCTATGTGGAGCTCAGCAACACTTTGTTACTGCACGGAACAGTTCTCTTTTCTATTGATTGATGCTAGGGATCCAAGCACCTTTTTACATTTGATCCCACTTACTCATGCTTTCTTATTCTTAGGAAAAAAGAAACATAATTATGAAGAAAGTCTATAGTTGCTTGATTTGCACTTAATTCATTTTTTTCTTTTTTGACAGGTTTAATTCATTGTTTTCCATGTAGAAGTTCTGTGTCCATATTGTTAGAGGTCAAAATCTCAGTTGTGTTTATATTGGTGAACACATTATTCTAATTCCCTTGCATAGGAAAATAGCTTCTATAATTACTACAGAGTCTTTATAAATTCTAGTTTGGACCTTAAGAATGTCCTGCTGGTTCCCTTTTGCATTCATAGTACTTGACTGTAGCCCAAATTGAAACTTTTGTCTTCAAATAGCTTAGCTGTTTTTGTATTCTGATTTGTTTAAAAAATCGTTTGCGCACTACTAAAGCTTTCCAATTAATGGTATACAAAATTTCAGGTTCATGATTTTGGCTTCTTTCGCTATGATCCTGGTGCGGTTCAGTTTCTCAACTATGAGGAGATTCCCCTAGCTCCTGATGCTGCTTGTGTTGGACTTGAAATTAGGGTTGTTGGAAATGACAGTGGCGAGAAGGTACTTTTCTCTTAGGAAATGTTTCTTTTTTATTGTCTTTCTTATATGTTTCCTGAATGTGACAGGATACAATTAGCTTATCCTGCCTGGAAACTTAATGATTTCTTTTGCAGTTTTTTTCCATTGTCATTTATTTCTGAAAGTTCTGTAATTTTCAAGCACGACAGTGTATGGAAATTCTAGTTGGCATGCTCTCTAGCTGTCTGGCTCCTATGATGTGCTCTTCGTATTATGTGTCCTTAACATAGATTTTACTGAAAGCAAATTTGGGTTTCAGATAGAATTGCTATGTGAGAATCTCCAATTCATTGGTAATTTGTTGGCATCAGAAGTTATTCCACTAATATTTTTCTTTTTGAATCGTCTCTGCTATAAATGCTCCATCTAAATAAGAGTTCGTTCTCCTGTAACTGTTTAGTATATAGCCACCAATTGATTGAGAAAATGGCCAAAACCAACTTAGCTCTTCTTGGCCTTCAAAAGGGTAGCAAAATTCTACTCTGTTTGAGTTATTAATGGTGTTTTGTTTGTTGTTTATTGTATGGAATTGTGTATTACTACTTGATTTCAGCTCTCTATTCCCTTGGATTCTGCCGTATTATTTATGGTTCCCTGATATAATAATATGCTTCAATTCACTACCTATTTCAGGTTTCAATTTTGGCTGGTACACTTGCTCGTTTGGATAGAGATGCTCCTCATTATAAAAAGTACGTCCTATGTGGTAATTTTTGATTGAGTTGGCAACTTGGTTGTTCTCCATTTCCATTTTCATTCTGTTTAATAGCTTAACTCATCAATTTATACAGTGACTCAGGAATCTGATGCTGTATGATTGATGCAAAAGCATATTACTAATCATAGAGGGTGTGAATATGCTCTTGTTTTCATTTCTTATGAAGAAATGAATTGTCTCTTCTCCACTTCCACTTGGTATTGCAAGCTGAATGTCCACTGGAATTTTCTTTGGATCTCGTGGAGCATCTTAGTAAACATACATTTTCAGAAACAACATGGTATTCTAGATTCTGCTGGGGTTATTCATGTGTATGCCCATGTAAAATGGAGCTGCAGATCTACTTGACAGTAGTGCCTACTATTTCTCTGAACCTTAGGCCAACAGCAAAGGAGAAAGGAATTGCAACACAAGTTAACTTTCAATGTGATTGTCCTCTGTCTTTGCATACTGTATCATGGCTTCATATGTGGATCAATACATTGTGTTCTGCTGCACTTCACAGAAATGGGTGTAAATCTTTCTTTACTCTATTAATATTAAGGAGTTAAATGGAATACAGGGAAGCGGCTTTCGTAGATCAAGAACAATTCTTAGTCTATATGAGGCTGCTTAGTACTATTTCTTGGATTTCAGAACAAAATAGTAGAAATTAATTGATGAAAACCTAAATTGCTTGAGATAGTTGAGCGTAATTACATACTCTGATAATTCTCTAGTTGACTCAATGATAATGCACCCTTTGGTCTTGAAGGTGTCAGTGAAACAGATGCTTAGTTACATAGCTCTCCTTGGTGCGAATCGCTATTCATATCTTGCATGGTCATGGTTTGCTGAGGCTTGTTGTTGTCCTATATTTATCATTGTTTTTTTTTGGGTGCAGGGATGGATATAATGATTTCAACACTTTCTACATGCAAGTGAGTAGCTTGATTATGCTCTCCAACCCTATCAGATGTGTGATAGTCAAATTTTTACCTTTTCCTGTTATTGTCAGCTTGCCTGTATAAACAAGCTGTAACTGTTTAGTGACTTAAGGGTTTGTTTTCCATTCGATATATTGATGGGAAAATATTTACGTGCAAATATGCATGAGGTTGGGCACTCTCCATGATAATCTCATTACTCTAGAGATCAATCTCAATCACTTTGGTGTGATACAGGGTCAACACTATTCCACTACTCTTCTCAATTGTTATCACTGGCGTCAGTACTATTAGTTATTCCGGAGTCACAGCATGCTAATGGACTAACTAGCCAAATAGCCAATGTGGTGCTCTCTACCTGGATCTGCACCCCACAATAGCGAGCCATAGATAGTTCAAGCGGGATTAACTATTTTGTCTTCGATTTGGATAACACAACTTAGCATACTTTCCTTAGTTTGAGTTCCCTATATGGTCATGACTAGCTGACCTGATGTGTACCTTTGAGGTGGCTAGAAGGGAATAAAGGTTTCTATATTTGTCTATTTGTTCCCAACTAGGCCTGCTTTTTATTTAATTCAGATGCTCGTGATCACCATTGCTATTATTTTTAATCTTTACTTTTAGGCAGCATCTGGAACTAAAGGAGGTTCAAGTGGCTCTCCAGTAATTGATTGGCAAGGGAGGGCTGTGGCTTTGAATGCTGGGAGCAAGTCTTCAAGTGCTTCAGCTTTTTTCTTACCTTTAGAACGGGTGAGTTTAAATATATTATCTGTCATTTTTCTCTCTCGTTCCCATCCTTTTGTAGCTGCTATGTGGTAATGGGCGATGTTATTAAATACATCATATACATGTATAATACGGTGTTGTTTAATTAACTTGCATGAGTGATGCTGTATCAACTCTGTGGAAATCCATCTTCTTGAAGCTTGAAGTGGTTCGAAGTTTGTTTCATTGGGTACTGTAGATGATGAAGTGGTATGATGCAATCGAACACATGCTGATGTATTATGCCGTATATATGAATTAGCCCACAAGATTACAACTGTCTCCAGGTTTAATAGTCTTATTACACAAGTTTTATTGTGAAGTTTTAGTTAGCTTTAAGCTTCATGAGGGCCAAAAGCTGATGAAATGAGATTTAATCTCGGCTCTCCTCTCTAGTATGAGGTTCTGAAGTTACTATGATGATGATGATCACATGCCAGGTTGCAATATGTTCCTTTGAAAGAAAACATAGATACTTTGTACACTCTACGCAAACCAATGACATCAGTACATGTTCATAAGTTACTACAGTGATGGGCACTTTTGTTGAGCTGGTGATGGAATTTCCTTGAATACAAAGCAAGGGACCTCAATCAATCAAGTCAAGGACTAGCTGCAGAATTCTTGATGTAGAGACTAATGAATAGTATGAGATAACTTAGGCCTTGCATATGCCATTTATGACTTAATTCTTCAGATGAATCTTCGTTTGTGAAAAGAATGTCGATTTTGTTTGTTGCACCCTTTTAAAACGAATGGAGTGTTCTAGTTAGGTAATTATAAAATTGTGCAATTTTCAGGTTGTTAGAGCTCTACAACTTCTTCAAAAGGGCAGGGATACATACACAAACAAATGGGAGGCAGTTTCTATACCACGTGGTACGCTTCAGGTTTGTTGATGATCTTGTAAATATTTAGTCCGATTTTGAAGTTCTATAGTTGACTCTTCTTTATTCTGATCCTTTTGTCGCTGTAATTAGCTTCAAAATTTGGACAAGAGTACCTTTCCTTTTGGGCTAGATGTAGACCCTGTCGTCATTATTGATTCTCATTTCTCTTTAAAAATCTTGTGGAGCCTGGCATGTACTATAAGAGGTACTTGAATCTTGTACATGCTGTGTTGGAGTTGGAACCTGGACTTCGGTGAAGCTCCAGTCTCATTTTAGTTGAAGGGTGAAAGGTCCAGTGACTGAACCACTGTCAATACGGCATACCTCACCTAGAAGTAGAGCGCCCAAACCTCCCTTTCTGAGTCCTTTTCTTTCCTAGATGAAGTAAGTTGGAGGTTTACCCAACTTCCTGTTGTCATCGCACTGTCTTGGGTTAGCGATAATCTAATTCCGCGAATTCCTATGTCCATTGTTATGTCAGCTTGCCCCAAGCCCTTATCAGTTTTGTTTCTGTTATGTTTTTCCCCCCTTTGGTAGTCCATGCATCTTCACAAGGAGGCAGGCAAGATAAAGGGTCTCGATAGCGCTTTTGGATATGTGTACATTGCTTGATTGTTATCACACAGCATGATATGGTATCTGTTTATTACAGGTAACATTTGTACACAAGGGGTTTGACGAAACACGTCGCCTTGGTCTCAGAAATGATACTGAGCAGGTATTTTCGGTCTTTTTCCTTCTTTCAATGATTTAGAGCCTTTCCTTTGTGCTCAAGATGGGTCTTTTGTCTTGTTATGCTTCTGAGTACTCCAGATGGTCAGGGTTGCGTCTCCAACCAGTGAAACTGGAATGCTAGTTGTTGACTCTGCGGTTAGTATTTTATCTTTGAAGATCTCTCGGTAAGTCTGAGGAAAACTTTGAAAGTATATGTTGACGTTCAACATATTTCAGGTCCCAGGCGGGCCAGCTCATACACATTTGGAACCAGGAGATATGCTTGTTCGTGTCAATGGGGAAGTGAGTTTTCTGTGAATCACCTACTTGTTAGACTACCATCTATGTTTCATCTCTGTCTATTTGCTAGAGCACGGCAATAATTTCTTGTTGTTTGACTCTCTGTTTTTTCTGAACTCTTTAATCTGCTGCCCTTGGTACCCTTTAGACATTCTTGGTCTTCTCTAACCCCTTGTTTCATGCATTGTGGCTACTCTATGATATTCTCTTATGGTAATGTGCCATGTGATATTTTTATTGCAGGTCATGACCCAATTTCTTAAACTCGAGACGCTTCTGGATGACAGTGTTGGCAAGGTGATTGAATTGCAGATAGAAAGAGGTGGCACATCTTTGACTGTAAACATAGTGGTGAGACTTGTTCTTACGTTATGCCTGTATGAGCAAGTGTGACTTTTGTTCCTCCAAATTCATTATATGCTTAATTAGTTAAATAGGTCTTTGTGTATCCAATCCAAATAGAGCATGCACATCTCTGGATTTTCATTCGATAGTGATGCTGTATGCTTGAAACCAAGTAATAGGCACAATTCTTAGATTATGGTGTTATGTTTTTAGTTGTTGGATTCTTTGAGCCTTTCACCTTGCTAAGGAACAAAGTCTTAAAAAAAAAAATAACTGCAGACGTATAATTGTTTGGGCGCAACCCCTACTTTGCAGTTGACTCCCTATCGTATCTACGGCTTGAAGAGATGATAGCGTGTAGGTTATATGTTTGACTAGGAGGTTCATTAGTGCGATTAGACTCCATCGTGTGTCAGTAGAGGTGTGTGAAGTAAGGAAGTTCTATTTGGTGGCATTAGGGGCTACTGAATGACTAACAGAGCTTGTGCTGGTTGTTTTTTATCAGTTACATGGCCATTACACGTGATAAATTTTTTCAGATGTTGGTAGTGTTGATAACAGGAAAAATGGACATAGTGAAGCTTTTGATGGTGGTGGCAAATGTTATTTTGTCTTTAGATTCATTTTTCATTTTCCAAGTCGTGATATCACTCTTGTGACTCTGCTTTTAAGGAGCTAGACTCAGGCCTACTCTTTTGTATCCCTTTCATTATTTCACATTGTTTATCCTTTTTTCTTTGTTTTGATTGCTTTGCCATATAATTTCCTTTATATCACAGGTTCAGGATCTACACTCGATAACTCCAGACTACTTCTTAGAAGTAAGTGGGGCAGTGATACACCCTCTGTCTTACCAGCAGGTACTGTAGGTAGACATATCTTTCATCTTACACAACATACTGTATTTCTCACTGCATAATCTGCCATAGAAATTATAACTATTTAAGAACTGTGAGGTCCTTGGTTGAGGTACTTATGCGTCTTTTGTCCACACCAGCGCTGAATATAAGATTTAGGGTTCAAGTCCGTATTAGTTGAGTTTGCCTTAAAGATAATCACAGAAGATTCACATCTGGAGCCTTCATGGGTATGAGTTTGGCTACTGATTAAGATCACAACATAGTGCTAACTACAAACCTCTGAGCTCTTACTGGCTGAATGTCATGTTAAACAGAACATAGAGTGTTAACAAGCTTGTCAATGGCTGTCTGCCAATGTGCATAATATTTTCCTCATATGTTGCTTAATGAACTTCGCTCTCTATTGGTTTCTTTTTGTTACAGGCTAGGAACTTCCGTTTCCACTGTGGTTTGGTGTATGTTGCAGAGCCTGGGTACGATTATTGCAGATACTTTTCCTAATCAGGGTGTCAGTTGGAGAACATTTGTTCTTGGAAAGTGATTTTGTGGCCTTTCTGTCAACATCGCAAATTATCTGGATGTTGACCATCGGGTTTCTTTTGAATTGGTTTGCTTGCCTGTTGCAGTTATATGTTATTTCGAGCTGGAATTCCTCGTCATGCCATAATTAAGAAGTTTGCTGGGGAGGAAATATCACGACTTGATGAACTGATTGCTGTCCTAAATAAGCTATCAAGAGGTGCCCGGGTGCCCTTAGAATACATTAGCCACACAGATCGTCATCGAAGGAAGGTATGACTTAAGTTAGTGTAGTAAAGTGTTTCTCATGTTTGGTATTTTTCCTGTTGGCTGGTCATTCGTTTTCCATATATTAGGTTAACTTGTGTGCCCTGGTCTCTCAATTGTGGTTTAATAAATTGACATCACCCAATTTTTGAGATGAGTGCTGACTGTGATTGACAATATGTGAAACAATTTTGTGTATCTTCAGCTATATTTAAGCTATGAATTTGTTACTTGCTTGTAAACACCATGAGAAGAATGTCCTCTGCATAAGTTAATAATAGTGGTAATACCACTAGCCTAGAACCTGGAGGTCCCAGGTTTGAATCCCTGCAGTAGTACCTTAATCACAAAAAATTAAACCAATATCACCCTTATATAAAAAAGAAAGTATAATACTATGTAGAGTAATTTGATTTAGAATTTCGCATTAATATCTTATCAACATGTTGATGCTTGCAGTCAGTCTTGGTTACAGTTGATCGCCATGAATGGTATGCCTCTCCACAAATATACACTCGTGATGATAGCTCAGGGCTGTGGATAGCAAAGCCTGCCATTCTTCCTGAGGCCTCAGGGCCATCAACTGGTGTTAGCAGCAATATACAACCTTTAGCAAGTGAAACTGTTTCATCAATTGCTGATACAACTCATGCGAAGAAGACTAATCAAGATGACGAACTGGAGTCAACAAACGGTGTCACTGTTATGGACACGTGTCATGAGCATTCTCGGAATGAACCTGATATCACAATAAAGAAACGTCGCCTATCAGATCCTTCTGCAAATGGAATTGCTGCTTCTGCTGCTTCCTTGCATGAATCTGAGGATCTGAAGATGGAGGATTCAGATACCCATGGAAATGAAATTTCAAGTGACTATCAAGACACTACTGCAGTGGCATCTGCAGCTAACGCTTCATTTGCAGAAAGCGTGATAGAACCTACACTTGTGATGTTTGAGGTGCAATCTCGCAGCTTTGAACAAAATGATTTATCTTATGTTCACGTGTGCTTCTGGTATCCCAGGTTTTTACCACTATATATTCTCATCTGTGGGTACAGAGTCCTCACTGCTCCTCTGTACGTCATGTGTTGTTGAGCATAGCTAGTGATTTTATTTAATTATTAATTAACAGGGCTCTTTCATATCTGCTAGGATAAGTGTGAGTTATGGGATTAATGCTAATATTTCTTGCATTACGTCAGATGCCATCTTCTTTTCTGTGGTCATAAAAACACTCGACTTTAGGGAGCACGGTGGTTTTGCTTTGATGTCTTAAACTCTTAATGTTTTGCCATTCTTCCATTGTTATTTGGGTTGTAATGAAACAAGTTGCTAGCTTTCAATTTTTTTTTTCTTAAATTCTTTCCATGGACAAGGACTATTGTTGCTTCCCCACTCGCATTTCCTATTGAGCCTGGTAGCATAGCAAGTTGATATTTCTTTCTGCAGGTTCATGTTCCGCAATCAGTCATGCTTGATGGTGTCCATGCACAACATTTTTTTGGGACTGGTGTCATTGTTTACCATTCACAGGACATGGGTTTGGCTTTAGTAGACAAGAACACAGTTGCAATATCTGCATCTGATGTGATGCTGTCATTTGCTGCTTTTCCCATCGAAATTCCAGGGGAGGTAAATTTCAGAAGGAAATGTAATAAAAGCCACTGCCTAACCTTTTTTCTTTTTGACAGTCTGTGTTCCTTTCCAGGTTGTATTTCTCCATCCCGTTCACAATTATGCTCTTGTTGCATATGACCCTTCAGCGTTGGGAGCTGTTGGTGCATCAACTGTCCGTGCTGCTGAGTTGCTCCCCGGTAGGGTTTACTGCACAAGAGACTAATATTTTTCGGTGTTGTGCCTGTCATGGTGACCTATTGTGCACATGATTCTCTTTCTTCTAACTGAAACAGTTGCGTCATGTAGTCTGCTCCTGTTTTCATAAGTAAAACTTCAATCTAAATAAATGATTAACAGTGAAAACGGTTATGATTGAATGGAGTGGAAATGTAAGGGGAAGAAGTAAGCCGAGATGGTGGCTAATGATCAATGTATGTGAAGGTTGCTTTTGTGGAAACGACCTGGCTTCTGTTGTTGTATCATAAACTGCTAATGCCGGCCTTTTTTCCTATTCATGAAGACCATTTTGTTCTTTGTTTTTTATTTTCTGACTATGTACAGTATCTTGACAAAAAAACTCTATGATTAGGTGCAGTTGTGAACTATTCCAAGAATATCATACTGCTAATGTCTTGTCTGCAAATGTTTTTATGAGAAATGTGTAATATTTAAATAAATAATTTAAGGTATTTGTTTGGAATAGAGGGTCCATTTACCCTGGTTGAAACAAGTTTTTCTGGTAGGTAAGACTTGACTGGGATTTGGGGTAAATTTGTGCAGATTTCTCACCCATCAATTGGCAAGAATTATGTTTTCTTTGAAAAGAGTTCAAATTGAAACTGAAGGTTTTTGAAGAGTCCTATGGAATCTAGAATTTGAAAATATAAAATAATTCTCTTAGTTAATTTTTGCGGTGGCTAAGTATCACATCAACACACTTTGTTAATCAATTTTCAGTACAAAGGAGCTTGTGACTTCTATTTTCAGTAAAAAAAGGAGCACATTTTCCATATATATTTTTCTCTATCCCTAGGCTGTGTGTGGATGTGTTTTTTTGTGGCCATGGAGTTATTTATGAGATCAAGTCAGGTTGTGGATGTAATATTCAGGTGGACTAATTGATAGGTTTTTGTTCTCTGCTCTGTACTGATGGCTGTACTTGTATTGTTGGGACAGATCCTGCACTTCGTCGTGGCGATTCAGTTTATCTTGTTGGATTAAGCAGAAGTCTACAGACAACGTCAAGGAAATCAATTGTTACAAATCCTTGTGCTGCTTTAAACATCGGCTCAGCTGATTGTCCTCGTTACAGAGCAACAAATATGGAAGTCATTGAACTTGATACAGGTAAATCAGAAGACCATAGCTGGTCAACTGCTGGTCAGTTTTTTGTGTAATATTTAACGCCTTGGTATTTTCAGACTTTGGTAGTTCATTTTCGGGTGTGCTAACTAATGAGCGCGGAAAGGTTCAAGCTATTTGGGCAAGCTTTTCTACTCAGGTTTTAACTATTAACTGAACTCATATGATTGTAAATGAATTCAGGTTGTAATGCCTTTTCTATTCTCATTTTCAAGCTGATATTCTCATTTCCAGTTGAAATACGGCTGCAATTCATCTGAAGATCATCAATTTGTGAGAGGAATCCCGAGTTATGCAGTCAGTGAAGTCCTTGAAAAAATCGTATCTGGTGCCAATGGGCCACCCCTTCTCATTAATGGCATTAGAAGGCCAATGCCACTTCTCAGGATTCTAGAGGTTGAGCTATATCCAACTTTGCTATCAAAAGCACGAAGTTTTGGTCTGAGCGACAATTGGGTACAAGTATGTCCTGTTCTTTCTTTTGGTTTCTTTCCCCTCTTAAGTGTATGAGCGTGTCCACAGCAGCAAGCTCATTTTATTCTTTCAAAAGAGAAAAAAAAAAAAAAAGAAAAAAAAGACAAATAGAATAAAGAGCTCCTTTTTTGGAGTCAATATGTTCAATATACACTTTGATGTTGTCGTCCTGACATTAAGTACTGCAAGACTTCGTTTAGGTGACTATGCTAAGTTGCCATGAATGCTCTCTTAACTTTAGGTTCTATTGTGTAGTTTGATGGAGATTATAATGGTAAGTTCAATGTCCATCCTTTCCATACCTTAGGTTTCTTGGATTGGTTATGTGACTAACTACTGTGTTCACCATTTCACTCGATAGCTGGATAACTAAGTACTTTATTTGGCTGTTCTGAAAGAACACTGTTCCTGTCCTAGTAATAAATAATACACTGCTGGTATCTTCTCTTCACTAAGTTGGCATTGCATAATCATTTAAAGTGAATAGCTTTCAGATACACCTATTATTTGGTGATATTAGAATTCTGGAATTTGTGTCCCCCAGGCCCCAAGTATGGACTAGGAGTCCTCAAGCCTGCTCCTTAATTGTTTTTTAGATGTTATTGGAGACATCATATGCAATCGAGAGTTGACGGACAGTGGCTTCTGTATCTTTTAGGCTCTTGTGAAAAAGGATCCGGTTAGAAGGCAAGTTCTGCGTGTTAAAGGTTGTTTGGCGGGATCAAAAGCTGAAAACATACTTGAACAAGGAGACATGGTTTTAGCTGTAAATAAAGAGCCCGTGACATGCTTTCGAGACATAGAAAAAGCTTGCCAAGCCTTGGACAAAAGTGAGGACACTGATGGCAAACTCAAACTCACTATTTTCCGACAAGTAAGAGATGGAAAACCCATTGTGTCTCTGTCTTATAGAACTTCAAGTTCTTGTGAGTCTCTTTGGCCGACCACCTGCATTCAGCAATCTGTTATAATTTATTTTGTCTGTTGTCTCAGGGTCATGAAATTGATGTTCTGGTGGGAACTGATGTTAGGGATGGCAATGGAACAACTCGTGCAGTAAATTGGTGTGGATGCATTATTCAGGATCCACATCCTGCAGTTCGTGCTCTCGGATTTCTGCCAGAAGAAGGTCACGGTGTTTATGTCGCAAGGTAAAATAGAAAGTCATCCCAGTCGGCTTTTATGCCTCTGATTTCAGTAAGTCCTTAGACGGTTTGTTCATGGTCGGATGAATCAGGCTCTTAACAACTGACTGTATGCTGAACTTATATCTCTGATGGAAACTAAGTTATACTATTTAGAATTGATAAATAATGTATGTCTCCCGTCTTTAGGGCAAACTTCTGATTGATGAAATGCCATGTTGTCTCACCCGGTCGTTTCCTTATTTCTAGGGCATAATACTTCCTTTATTTTCTTTGGCACAAAGGCTAGATGATGGTGATAGAAACTTGCATTTTAGTACTTTGATTATTTGTCGGTTTATTATTATTCGGATTATTGAGATTATTCGGGAATAATTGATAGATCGGGTAGTAGTAGGGAATTAGCCATTTTTATATAAACTACTTGTAAGTGAGATTTATGGTAAAGGAAGAATTAAACCTAAACCTATTAGCCTAATCCCTCTCTCTCTCTTCCCTTCCTCTGCCGACCTCTTTCTTCCTTCCCTTTTCCCCTAGGCTGCCGACAGCCTCTTCCCCCCTCCTCTTCTCCTTGCTGCCGCAGGCAGCAGCCTTTTCCCTTCCTCTTCTCATTCTCAAACACCCCAAGTCAATTCCCATTCCCAAATCCTCGGATCAATCCCTAGTTGATCCTAATCCCTAATTCGCAGGTAGAGCTCATCTTGAGTTCTATCAGATGGATATTGTATAAATTTCAAAACAATCAAGTTCTATATAGACTGCTTAGATTACCATTACAGTTAAAGTTCCTGCATTATATGTTTTTGGTACATGCAGGTGGTCTCATGGGAGTCCTGTACACAGATATGGACTGTATGCTCTTCAATGGATTGTTGAAGTTAACGGAAAACCAACCCCTAGTTTGGAGACCTTCATAAACGTGGTAAAGGTATAATGATCCATAACAGCAATTCAGCAATTCGTTTCTTAATTCACAGCTTGATTTGCGACAGTTACGTATATGCCGATATTATTGTGCACTTGTTACTTCAACATTTCTTGTTCCGGTTTGCGCATTCATACATCAGTATAGCTGAATACTGTTGGCCTGATTGTGTTTGATCAGGAACTCGGACATGCAGAGTTTGTGAGGGTAAAAACAGTTCACCTGAACGGGAAGCCACGCGTTATGACACTGAAGCAAGATCTTCACTACTGGCCTACGTGGGGCCTGCGATTCGACCCGGATACCTCAATGTGGCGACGAGAGATCATTAAGGCTCTGGATTGCAGTTTCATCCGAGCTAGCTAGGCTCGCCTATGCTAATAAAACCCAGGCATCCATGAATGCATCATTCAATTCATAAGTTTATTACGATTTTGGTTCTTGGGAAAGGTAATGTATTCTCAAGTGTGGAAAACTGAGGATTTATGTAATTTGAGAATTGGGAATCCAGCGTGTCAATTGGGGAGGCGATATAATTGGAAAATTGAAACTCGAGTTACCCTTTGCAAGACTTTGTGGTGGTCCAATTACCCTTTCAAGTTCCTACTTGTGTCTGGAATTTGATGGCCAACTGTTTTCTTTTTTATTTTCGGGTGTTGATCTGTACTCTTTCCATCTAAGCAAATATATTTTTTTCTTCTTTTTTGTAAGTTCAGTTCAATAAAAATATTTACAAACTTTTTATTGGGTCCGACCAGAGAGGAGTTGGGGGCGGCGAGTCTACATGAATATTAGCAACTTATATATATGAAGATATAAGGAGTCATGGAAATGATGTGGTTTGATCACCCCATATCACATGAGGTTTATGTTCAGATCGAGAAGCTAAAGTATATACTAAGGGCCAAACCAAATATTATACGATTCAAATCAGATAGCATCCGTGTCGTCTAGTTCGGTACTGCCCGGATCATGCAATTTACATTGTGTAAAAAATAAACAGTTTATTTAGTTAGTCACACGAAAAATAGAACCATTAACCGAGAAAAATGTTTTCTTTGCAACATTAACCCAACTTGCACGAACATTAGCATAATTGCCATATGGAGAACGACCATCTCTACTTTGTGGCGGAGTGTGGTTTATGAATGAAGGAGGTGACGAGATTCACAAAATTAGAGTGAAGACTTGAGTGCCGTTGATAAGTTGGGAGGGTGCTGCTAACACAAATTGCAAAGTGGGCTCGATCCACGGTTTGGTTCTATACACAATGGCCTGGACGGATCTAGATCAAGAGATTAGTACATCATATAATATCCTACTAGCCTATTACCCGGCCCGTTGGCCGGATTACTGTATGTTACCCACTTGTGGAATAGGAGAGAAAGCAAGTGAGAGTGAAGGGATTGAGATTCCACTTGATTAGGACCGACCCACTAATCCGATTCTTCCCGACCCGCCCCAACCTAAAGGGTCAGAAATAGTCAATAAGAAAATACGAACGGAGAGGATTAGTCATATTCATATATCTTGACTCTTCAGAAGTGGGTCAAACAGGATCAAGGTTGGGTGAGGGAAATTTTTAGCGCTAAGCAGAGTTCTGGGTTGAATAACTTTACTTAGGCCTAGAAATTGGTGTTGATGCAGACTGCAGTTTTTATTATACCATCATCAATCATCATTGAATTAGTCCTGGGCATCCCTCCCCGTTGTCGGTCTGAATTCTAATGATGGCTCCGTTCCTTGCACCAGCCTTATCAGCGAGTTGTCATCTCGAGCATGATTTGCCTATGTACAAATGATACAATTAGAGTATGAAACTGAATTCAAAGAAAAGGGAAAGAGATTTCTATCACATGCCAATAAATACACACATAATAGTTGAAGCTAAGTGAAAGTCATTACTCGCACATCAATTCTCAAAAATTACAGACTAAACAATGGCTTGAATGGCACTGAAACTACCAAGAATCATGGACGAAACAACTTGTCAAATTAAATAATCCTTATACTGAAACTACCTTCTAACTTGAAATCAGACATGATCACAGTTCATAGCTCTCTTCTCACTATGAATTGGTTGCAGCTCGTCCTTATCACTGCCTCCCAAGCTCAATTCAAACAGAATAGAGACCGTTATGTAAGATAACCATATCCTTACTGATCATAATTTCTTTCTTCACTCCATTTTTGTCAGAGAAAAGAGTTACCCCCCTCTCCTGCATTTCCCTTTCCCCTTCTCTTCTCCCTCTTCTTCACAAACCGATCCCTAAACCAGCAACAACACCACAAAAATAACCTTCGTCTCTGCCATCTCCATCTACTGAACGCGTTGGTGGCAAGACAGGACTGCAGAAGCAAAATTTTCTAAAATCAAACTAAATTTTTTGAAGGAGACTCAACCACGAAAAAATAGTAAAGCAACAATGCTAATAGTTCAGATGGTTGGTTTTGATGTTATACATTGCTTTTGTTCTGGTCTCCAGTATATCAACTGCAATAGAGATGTTTCCTCCAATCATCTTTAGTGCACGATTTAGAAGCAAGTCCTCCTGTATGTGTCAAACGGAAACATTCATGGGTTCTTAACTCCCCTGTTAGTGTAAAAGCAGCAGCAGCAACAAAGAAGTTTGACAACACAGCAAGCACCCAGGCAAAATGATACAATGCAGTAGGTGATATGTGTCTCGAAGGTTTTGAGTTACTAAAGTTCATGTTAAAAATAAACATGAATTAAAATGGATTATTCTATTAAGCAAACATCCCCTCCAATCATACAAAGATCAAATATCCAATTCACAAACAATTAAGTCATAAAAAATCATCACACATCCACCACCTTTGATTGCCTAAATTTGGTTTTTCGCAAAAGTTATGGACTCTTAAGGGAAACGTTCATGGGTAGTCTGTTTCATAACTCTAGAGAGTAAGTAGCCACCAGCCAGACACAGTGCGGTAGGCGAATATGATTCTCAATTCACAATTTCTCACCACCGCAAGTAAGAACAAACCATAATAAGCGTAGCGTTCATGGGTGGTCTGCTTCATAGCACTACTACACAATTTGTTAAAAAAGAAAGAAAGGTATTTAGCACCACGGCAGAACAACTTTTACAGGCCAACAACGACAACATGCTGCAACCACCAGAACTGGTATCACAACTCATAGGGAAAATCAAAAGATTTACTCTCAAATTAAGCAGTTACAACATCGAGCAATTGTCAAGCACATACACCATCACAAAAGTCACGGAACCTGATTCACAAAGCATTAAAACATTTGAGGACATTTCTGCAAAGGTACAACTTATATGTCTTTTTTCCAAGCCATTTTCATCAAAATGCTAATAAATTTGCAATGCATAAAACAAACGGGCCAAAACTTGAAATTCAGCCTGTTTGACGACCCATGCCAAATTCTAATTATTCTTTACTTTTAAACTTTCTATTTGAAAATAAAAAATAGTGAAAGAAAAGAGACGACTACAATTCGCCATTTGCACATCACTTATTCGGGAATAAAACCATATAAATTCAAAAGGAACTGAAAATGTTTAGGATCGTTATAATGTTTAAAATAACCAAATAGATCTTTATGTTTAATTTTTTACTAACAAATACCAAACGATTCCCTATAAAATACACTATAATTTGATCATTATGATATCAAATAATTATAAAATATATATTTGAAATGATAAAAATTGGACTAATTGTGTTGGTCGAGGTTGAACCATTGAATAACTTTAAAATACATTATATTTTAGCCACTAAGATATAAAATAATAGCATAATATATATTATGTCAGAGAAATTAGCTTATTTTAGAATGACAAACCAATGATGTTCATTTATTTTACTTGATGGCCAAATCCCATGTAGGTCAGGCACATTCAACTCTTTTATTTTATGGTTGGCGGTTAGCCCATTAGATACCATGCATTAGTTTATTGTTAAATATTTTATTTTTAACAATAAAAACGAGTATTATTTTTACCTTTTCATATATATTTTGTCACCACGGAGAAATAAAAGGGCTTAAAGAAAAAAAATTGACACTCCTGGACCCGTTTAAATTCACATGTGTACGGGTAAGTTGGCCCGTTCCACAGAGGAAAGAGAAAAATAATTGACACTCCCTATTCTACCCTTCCTACAAACGCTCATGGAGCAGGGAATTTGAAATGGGGGAAGGATTTTTTCCTCCCTGCTATTATATGTTTTTAATTTAAAAAGATACAACAAATGTGCTTAGTGTGATTGGTTATTATCCTTGCTTTTCTTTAAAATGGTCATGGTTCGAATCCCAGTACGTGTCTTTTTAATGAATAAAAAAAATGTATTGTGAAGACCAAAATGTCCTTCCTACTTTCACTCTCGTTGCAGGAAATTTGAAATGGGGCTCCCGTTTTTCCCTTCGGCGTATTATATTACTAGCACTGGGCTCGACCCGTTGGCCGAGTAATCTTAGCATGACCATATCATTTGGTGCAAGTTGACTTATTAGGTAGAATTATGATAAAGTATAATCTGAAATTCGAAGATATCAAGTGCTTATATAACGCTAATAGATTGAAGGTCCTTAGATGCTAATTGCTTGTCACGCTAAAACTATAATAAGAAGTATATGTGACTTGCTTCCTACATAACATGCATAATGAAGTCTAAGCATGAAAATAAAGGGTTCCCCTCATATGGATTTGAGAGCATCGATGAAGTGATTGCCCCCATAGTAGTCTTCCTTGGCAGATCACCAAATGAGATATAGCTCTAAAATTGAAATACAAATGAGATGTCGCACTATGCAGAGTCACCAACAATACTAAGCTCGAAAATAAATGGCCTTCTTGGTGATGACCATACCATACACAAAATGTGAGATGAAGCCACAAATGATGTATTCATACCCCTGCAAAGTCACAACAATTATGTCCCTTGTCTATGGAAGTTTGACAGCTATAAACCCACACAATGGTAAGTTTTAAACATATTCAATACTATCACAATGTTGGAATAAATGCTGCAAAATTCACAAAACCGTGTCACCTTTTCAATGAAAGTATGATCGTTGTAAATATATTCAATCCAATGATGATTTTGAAACATATTTGGTGAATATAATTTATTAACCAAAATTTTCAAACTTTTTAAATTATTAGTCTAACCTTTCGAAATATAAAATATTAGAAAAATCTTTTGTAACGCATCAAAATATTAGAGTTCGATGGCAACGTCAGTCGCTAACTAATTATTTAGATCAGTCTACCAAAAAGAAAGCGAGTCCTCCGCTCGGTAAAGATTTGTCTGTCACTGCTAGTAATTTTGTAAGTCTTTTCTTAGTTAAAATATTTAAAATTTTGAGAATGTTGACCCTAACATGCCTCTTCAAAGTCAATATCATGTTTCCAAGTCAATATTAGTAACAAAACTGCTAATGGGAAGTTAATATTTGACTAATATTTTTTATTTTGAAAAATTTGAATAATAATTTAATAAGTTTGAAAATGTGGAAAATTTTGATTGACCGAGTGACCAAAGAATGTAATTATTTTTATGCGTAATTTTTAAATTAAAAAAATAAAAGGACTCAACACATAGTAAAAGAAATAGTTTCTTCCATATTATCCAATTGCCAATTTACCCTTAACGTAAATAAGAATGTAATTTTTATTTTCTTACTTTTTCATAGTGCTTTGATAAATCAATTTTCATAGTAGAGTTTGATGTAACCTTTTCTACTTTAAAACTTCTACTCTCTCTTCAATTTTTGTTAAGGGTAAAATGGTAATTGGATAATATGGAAGAAACTATTTCTTTTACTATGTGTTGAGTCCTTTTAGATTTTTATGTGTGACAAATGTGGAAAATTTTGATAGACCGAGCGCACCAAAGAAGGTAATTTTTTTTCTTACTTTTTTTTGGCAATTAGCAATTTTTCTAATTAAGTAATTAGTAGTATCTTCTTCACTTATAACTTGGCTTTTGAAACTTTTCTGCACAAATTGATGAAATGAATCATCACAGACTGTTGAATTTCACATATTTATTAGTAATATTTTGGATACCATTCTTTACCACAGTATACTATAGTGGTAAATGATGGTAGACGCTGGTGGAAAGTGATAGATGATTGTTATTATATTTCTACAATCATGTAGACAACAATTCTACACTATTATATATTTATATATTATGTACTATGAATTTGTTACCATCTTGGTATATAGTTCTAAAATATTAATTTAATTTTTATACCAAAATATATAAATGTGTATATCATTTTTAGAGTATGATTAATATAATGGTTTATTTCGTTTTTTTAATTGGTTGTATATTCTTCATTTTTAACTTAGCTTTTGAAATTTTGATTCATCACAAACTATTGAGATCCGCATATTTTGAAAAATATTATAGGACCAAATATACCATTACCACCTTATACCATAGTGGTAAATGATGGTAGACGGTGGTGGAAAGTGATCGATGGTTTTCTTTATATTTATACGATTATATATACGACCATTCCACTCTACACTATGATATACTCATATATTATATACTATAAACTTTTACCGTCATGATATATAGTTGTAAAACATTATATTATATTTTACACCAAATTACGTAAAGTGTGTGTCATTTTGAAGAGTACGATTAATATGTTTCGTTTGTAAAAAAAAAAATTGAATTAAAATAAAAAGATATAGTCTCTTAGATTATAAGTAGAGGAAAATTAATTTTGTTGAATAATTGAATAGTTATGGTTAAAGTAGCTATGGGAAAATATGAGGGGTTATAAAATTGGAATGCATGTGTTAGAGAAAAGAGTCGAAAAAAAAAACAAAAAAGGAACATCAAAATGAAATGCACAGCTTTATAAAAAATGAATGCAAAGACCTAAATACCCTACCGATAAATGCGCTCGTTGCAGCAAAATTTAATGGTGGAAAGGAGACCTATGAATCTCTATTATATATTGTCTAGATGTGTAGATAACATGGACCACGAGCTAGACCAAACCAATTTTAACAATTCGTTAATCCAAACCAAAATGTCCGATCTCAGAGCATGCAGCCTTAGGCTTGGTCAACGCCGACGCGGCCAACAAAGACGATGCCGGCCGGACCAGCTACCATAGACTCCTATTGGGCTTAACCGTTTTCCAAACTCGTTTTTGGGCTTTTCTAATTTTTTATTATTATAATATTCTTCAGTTATTTACCAGCTTAAAAATTATGAGCTAAAATATAAAAAATATATAACTGAAAACGAATATTAGCTAGGCAAGTCGGTTAAGGAAGACACATGTCGACGATCGATATGATGGGTGCCGTAGCAGAGCTGACACGTACCCCAGCTCCTTCCACGTATCAACGCTGCTTTTCTTCTATTCGTCATTTTTTTTATTTTATCTCGTTGGCCACCTCGACTATAAAACTAACTAACCTGGCCGTGGCAACAGATCAAAGCAATCAGTTCAGAACCTTATAACCCTCCCTGCAAAAATTAAAGTTATTGGCTACTTAAAAAAGAAGCCTGAAAACCAGAGCTATGGTGGGCGTGGGAGCGCCGTTATGCGTGCAATGCGGGACGAGGAGCAACCCGTGCCGGTGCAAGGTGGTGGGGCCGACGGTGGGGTTTGTGGCGTTCGCGGTGGCGGCGGTGGTGGAGTGGCCGCTGGGGGCATTCGTCTACATATTCCGGCACCGGAAAGGCAGGCGGATCATGGCCCATCCGGCCACCGTAGTCTACCCGTCCGTCACAAATGCCATCCCCATCTGATCTGATCTGATCTGATCTGATCCTCTCTTCTCTTCGGAAGACACTACGTAACTCTTGTACTGAATTTGACTTGTGCCGTGTGTTTTGTTTCCTTTGTTGTTTTGTTTAATAAATAATAAATAAATAATATATTGTACAATTACTGCTCTTCAGAACAGAAACTGTTATGTTCTTGGGTTGGGAGGAATAATCAAGCATGGTCCTCAGTCATACTAATTCCATGGATTTCTAATTAATTTTCCTTTATGATATGATATGTCGCTTTGCAACCCAAACTCTTGGTCACCGGCCACAATTATCCTAACACTATAAGACTGATAGAGATTTAGGGGTAATAATGGAATTAATTAGGAGTTTGAGATAGAAATAATAGTATTTGGGGCTTAGAAAATTCAGAAGAGGAGGGAATTGGATTGAATAGAAAAGAACTGGCCGGGTGACGATCTGCAGAGATAGGAGAGGCCTGATTTAAGACAATTTGGAGAAATTAGAGTAGATATACTTTTTTTAAATATTCTTCTTGGTAGGGAATTCCACTTTTAAATAATCATAAATTTAAATCTAAATTATGACATAACAGCCAAGTCATTTAAGACACAAATAACTCCTCAAACACCCCTTATAATCTTTTTTTTTTATGGAAAACACCCTGATATAGTCGATCACTCTAATTAGTCAGTTTTTTGTACACATAAATCATAATAGCATGGATCTTAGAATTAGATGATTTCATGAATTGATAATAGATCCGGGATCCATGACGAGAGCGGCGGCGGCGATGGAGTAGTAACCACCGGAATTGAGTTTCTCACTCTTGACCCATTTAGGTTTTAGGTTTAGAGATTTCTGTGATGGCTAAGAAATTCTACGTAATGGGTTGAGAGAGGACCAATCCTAGAGCTTCTTTATATAGACCCACCATCAGGGTATATTAGGAATTTACCTTTCATTAACCTAATCAATATAGGATTTACCTTATATATTAAACCATTAAGTGATAATTACACTTGGGCCACAATTATTCTCTAGTGACATACGGGAATTGGGCTTACATTCTCCCACTTGGTCCATGTGTCATTATATATCACAAGATCTAATAATAAACATAAGTGTGCACATCATAAGATAAATCCATAATATTTGGTTCACCATAAAGTCATAATCAAGTATGAAAGCTAGATTAGGATCATGGCGGTTCTATATCAATTTATCGACATAGTACCTTGAATCTCATGCTCAATACGACACATAACAAGGTAGTCATAATGGTCCAACAATAATATCTTCACTAAAGACAAAAATCTTGTTCTGTTCACATAATGCATAATGTATATATACTGGTCATAATAAAAAAAAACAAGATTCATAACTTTATTCCAGAAACAAAATAAATGAGCTCAAAGTGTCAATCCATGAAACATAAAATAACTTTAGTCATGACATCCTATAATCCCCATCCTTTCGACATGTTCAGTAAATGTCTTAGGAGGCAATCCTTTTGTTAATGGATCAGCAATCATAAGCTGTGTGCTAATATGCTCGATCGACACCCTTTGTTTCTGAACTTCTTCCTTAATGACAAAGTATTTCACCTCCATATGCTTAGCACCCTTCGAATACTTGTCATTCTTAGAGAAGAATACCGCTGCGGAATTATCACAGTAAATTTTCAGCGGCTAGGCGATAGTGTCGACAATTCCAAGTCCAGAAATAAAATTCCGCAGCCATAAACCATGATTCGTAGCTTCATAACAAGCTATGAATTCAGCTTTCATAGTGGATGTGACAATAACAGACTACTTCGCACTCTTCCATGAAATTGCCCCTCCGGCTAGAAGGAACAAATAGCCAAAAGTAGACTTCCTGGTGTCTACACAACTAGCATAATCTGAATCTGAATATCCAATCACCTCAAGGTGATCAGATCTCCTGAAGGTGAGCATTTGGTCTTTTGTTCCTTGCAGATACCTTAGTACCTTCTTTGCATCTTTCTAATGATCTACTCCTGGATTACTTTGATACCTGCCCAACATTCCGACAACAAAACTGATGTCTGGTCTGATACAAGTTTGTGCATAATTCAAACTTCCAACAATAGATTCATAAGGAATGTGTTCCATTTGCTTGCGTTCCAATTCATTCTTTGGACATTGTTTGAGACTAAATTTATCTCCCTTCTAAATTGGAACGACATTTGCAGAGCATTCAACCATGTTGTATCTCTCTAGGATCCGGTTAATGTATGATTTCTGAGACAATCCCAACAGTCCTTGTGATCTATCACTAATATTTCTATTCCAATCACATAGGATGCCTCACCCAAATCCTTCATTTCAAAGTTCTTAGAGAGAAACTCCTTTGTTTGATGTAATAAACCAAGATCATTAGTAGCAAGCAAGATATCGTCAACATACAGAACTAAAATTATAAACTTACTCCCACTAATCTTCAGATATATACATCGTCGACGATGTTCTCCTTAAATCCAAAAGATGTAATGGTATCATTGAACTTAATATACCATTGTCGGGAAGCTTGTTTAAGTCCGTATATTAACTTCTTTAATTTACACACCATATGTTCTTTTCCCTCAACCACAAAACTTTCAGGTTGATCCATATAGACTGCTTCATCTAAATTCCCTTTCAGAAAGGCGGTTTTCACATCCATCTGATGGAGCTCTAGATTATAATGAGCTACCATTGCCATGACAATCCTTAAGGAGTCTTTCTTAGAGACGGGTGAAAATGTCTCTTTATAGTCAACACCACTTTTCTGAGTGAAACCTTTGGCAACAAGTCTGGCCCTGTGTCTTTCGATATTGCCATTAGAGTCGTGTTTGGTCTTCCAGACCCATCTATTACCAACTCTTTTACAACCTTCAGGCAAATCAACAAGTTCCCAAACTTCATTTTTATATATAGATTTCATCTCTTCTTTCGCGGCAGCTAACCATTTATCAGAATGCTCACTTTCCATGGCCTGTGAAAATGAAACTGGATCATGATAGAGTCCTAAATCAGATTCTAACTCGTGAAGATAAACCTCATAATCATCAGAAATTGCAAGCCTTCGATTTCTTGTAGACCTTCTTAATGCGATTTCTTGTGGTTCATCTATGTTAGGTTCATTCTCAATAGCAATATTAGGTGGTGCTTGACCGTTCATTTGTTGTTCCTGCAAATCACGGGGTTCATTGTCTTCTGAGCGCTCTTGACGACGTTGGCTTGAGGTACGAGGATATCATTGGGTCGAATTGGTCCATCGCACAGTCAGCCAGTTTACTGCTGAACATCGACATTTCCCTCATTAGATCGTTCGCAAAATATAAGCGGTTGTTCGTTCTTTTTATTTGTAACGATTGACTCCCGTTGTAGGCGTATCATTGGTTCGACTGCTATGCGGATACGAAACTGACGGTTCTGTTCTACTCAAAATGATTAGTAAGTGGCATATCCTATATTTGACATTTCGATCAGACCATTTCTGTTCAGAACGTCAAAGTGTGTACCTAAAGGTAATTTACCTATTTTCTTACTTACCATTCAGCTTGATTCTGTTTCTTGGTACATGTTGGCTTAGGTGGGCAGAAAATTGGAAATTTAGAATAGTTCTTTAGAGCAGGCTCCAACCGGCAACCTCCCTCAGCCCTCCGTCCTATCCATCCAGAAATTCCCAATTCCTAACTTCCGTCCGATTTCAAAGCATCTCTGAACTCTGATCTCTCTCCGGCTTTCGTTTTCATCTCTCTCTCTCTCTCTCTCTCTCTCCTTCACTTTGTCATTGTCGCCGCTCAATCGGCAATCCCGTCGTAGCTCTATAAAACACTTTCCCAGTTCCCATTTCTCCCAAACTTCACTCTCCCCACTCATCAATCAACCTTCAATCCCCGCCTCTGTGGATCGGAAACTGAATTCGCCATGGATCCCAATCCCAAATCCTTCCCGATTCTCTCCTACGTCATGCAGCGCCTGCCGTCGCTCAGCCCCAAGGCTCCAGCTGCTGCTCCTCCTCCGGTCGCCGCCTTCGACGTCGAGCAACCGCCGCCGCCCCGCTCTCCCTCCGATCCTTCCTCCTCCCCTTCCCCTTCCTCGTCGCCCTCCGGCCAGACCCGGCTCCTCTCCGCGATGCCCAATCTCAAGGACCCGGAGCTGCTCGCCTCCATGACCACCGCCATCGCCGACGTCTCCCAGACCCGAGCCATCCTCCACAGGCTCGGCCCGCGCCCGGACCACGAGACCGTCGACAACGCCAGGGCCAAGCTGGCCGACATCGAGGCGAATCTGTCAAAGCGCCTCGAGGAGGTCGTCCTCACACCGCGACCCGAGGACGCCGACCTCTTGGATTGGAGGGAGCAGCTGGCTAAGAAGGAGGAAGACTGCCGGCAAATCGCCGAGAAGGAGAAGAGCCTCTACCTGACCATACTGCAGCTGGAAGAGATGCACGTCGGATACGATAAGCTGTTGAAGGAAGCCGAGCAGCGGCTGGTTCAGATGTACGAGAACGCCGAGCGGGTTGAGGGCGAGGAAGAGCCGGTCCCTCAGGAGGTGAATGAAGAGGTCGTCAGGATTCTTCAAGAGGCTTCCGGCAAGGGAATTGATCAGGTGGATCTGTCCGCCAGGAAGCTGAGGTACTTGCCTGAGGCCTTTGGCAAGATTCATGGCCTGAAATTGCTTAATCTGTCCAACAATCAACTTGAGGTTAGTGATACTCTTTCGTTCTCGTTTGTTTGCATTATACATTGCTTTCTCTAGTTTATTTGAACTGGACAGCAAGTATATGCATGAATGGCAGAGTGGCAGCACTTTTAGGTAGATTCTGCCTAATAGCCTGTAGAAAATGAACCGATCCTCGAGTATTTTGCTGTTGGGAACTTGGAACGATTGGATTCGGTAAATTTTTTATTGTGCTCCCGTGAATCAGAAGGGTCTCTAATGGAACTAAGGGACTGGCATATTCGTAGTCTGTAAGTTGTGAGGTCTTGCGCTTTGAAATTCATAATCTTTATTTATGGCTTTTGTTATTAGGTTGTTCCTGAGTTTCAGTGTGTCATATTCACTAGTTGAATGGATTCTTGGGGTCTTTAGATGAGAGGTATTTTATCTATGTTCAACTTTGTTTACAAGAGAATCAATGAGAAGAATTTTGTACAGGTTACTCGAGATCTAGAAATCAGGGTTATCATATCTAACGATTCTGCCCTGTTCCTAAAAATGAGAATTCTGCTTCTAAACACAGTAGTTGTTCTTCCCTCCTATTCTTTATATGCCGTTCTCGTACTTGGGGTCATAAATGTGTGTGCAAACACGCTGGTTAGTATTGTTATCTCTTCCTATCAATCCTTTGATAGGCAGAAATGAATCAAACAGAACATGTTTTAGGAGTTTTTGCCCTCTTTGCAAGTAACACTGGCAAGTTAGTGTTCCACATGTTGCATGTGAGATTCGTGGTTTGTTCTTAATCACTATTAGTAGCACCTACTCTACTTATGGTTTGTTCTTAATCATAAAGTGTGATACTGTAACAGATCCACTCTTTGTCATCCTTGTCTGGATGTTCCATCTGCGAGAAATATTTACCAATGTCCAAATCCAATGACACATCCATTCTGGATACTCTAACTAATGGCTACAACAGTCCCTTATTTTCGTTTCTAGGGGCAACTAAAGCATCACACTTGGTGTTCAAACTGTTCCCAGTAAAGGAAAGTAAATACTATTTCCTGGAGTGCAGAATGTGTAATTTCTGATAACAAAGTTAAGGGTTTAATAAAAGAAGCCTGAGGTCCTATTAATCTACAATGTGGCTTACATATGATTTTGTATTAGTAAGAGCACGTAATTGGAACCAAGTGTCTGAATATGTTTGGTTATATACATATGTGATGTACTTTCTGTGGATACAGATGGTTCCTGACTCAATAGCCGGGCTAGAAAATCTTGAAGAGCTCAACCTTGCTTCAAATCTTCTGCAAGTGCTACCCGATTCAATTGGATTGCTGCTTAATTTGAAAGTCCTAAATGTCTCCAGCAATAAGCTAGAATCTTTACCAGACTCCATTGCTCACTGCAGGTAAAAATTCTACTTTATGCCGAAGAAAAAGGCAAGGAATCATTTCAGTTGTCCATTTGTCTCGACTCACTAAATATTTTGATGAGACTACTTTCAGGTCATTGGAGGAATTGGATGTGAGCTTCAACCGGCTTACCTACCTGCCTACAAACATCGGGAATGAGATGGTGAGTCTCCACACTTTCTCTTTTCAGCTGAACAAGATCCGCTCTATCCCCACTTCCATTGGCGAGATGAAATCACTGCGCCACCTCGACGGCCACTTCAACGAGCTCAATGGGCTTCCACACACAATTGGGAAGCTGACCAACCTCGAGACCCTAAACCTGAGCAACAACTTCACTGACCTGAGGGAGCTCCCTGAAAGTTTTGGCGAGCTGTTGAGCCTGAAGGAGCTCGATCTCAGCAACAACCAGATCCATGCACTGCCCGATACTTTTGGGCGGCTGGAGAATTTGGTGAAGCTGAACCTGGAGCAGAATCCTCTCGTAATCCCACCGGCGGAAGTGGTGAAGGAAGGGGTACAAGGCGTGAAGAGGTACATGGCTCAGAGGTGGATTGATATACTGATGGAGGAAGAGAAGAAGTCCATGCTGGAGACACAGGAGGAAGGTGAAACAGGATGGTTGACCCGCAGCACTTCCTGGTTGAAAAACACCGCGGTGACTGTTTCCGAGTATGTCAGCCCAAAAGCCCCCAGGGATCCATATCTTGATCAGCAGCTATAAATAATTCTATCAAGTTCCCGCAGCTTATTGGAGCGTCGTCTTCATATTGTAGTACTTTGATCTATTGGTCGTTTTCTGGTTTGGTTTTTCATCTTTTCCAAGATAGAAAGAGAACAGTGAAGCAGGGGTTTTGTTTTCTCATCCCCCGTTCATAGTCATAGACATGTCGCACCAGGGTTATAGTTTCTCTCATCTGAAATCAATCTCAGTTTTGGCGAACAAGGTTAGTGTTGTCTAGATTCGTTTGTTTCGCACGTTTCGACGTTGATGTATGAACTAACTGCTGCTATTGCTGAAGCCTTGAGAAAGTTGAAAGGAAATAAAGAAATAATGAAGAAGAGTATTGATGTTTGGACTACTGCTATTGACCGTGGCTTGGGGTTGAATCCTTCAGATCGAAGGAAAGCAAGATCTTGTATGGATAGAGGATCTGGGATGGGATGGCATGGCATCACCAGCTTGCTTGCTTGCACTCGGGTGAGTTCTGACTTTCTGAGGAAAAGTTATGCAACAGTAATACTGCGATTCTGATGTGAGTGATCTCATATGAATATGATGGAAGAGTCTCTCTCATGATCTATTCCTCGCAACTGTATCAACCTGTTTACTGCTTTATATATATGCTTATATGCTTTTACAAGGGAAACTGGGCAAGTGAAGTGGACAATGTTCTTTATAGCAATAGGAGATGAAGATAAGATGCCTGGATACAAAAGCTAGAAAATAATAAGAGTATCTAGGACGGTCATGGAAAGTGGAAATGCAATTGCGGTTTCCGATTATATTGATGGAAATTCCAATTACAACAATGCAAGCTATCACTTGTAAGTTGTAATTCAATATATATGCAAGTCACGTTGGCACCCAACTCGCTTTTATTGGGATCTGTATTTTGTTTTCTAGGGTTTGCCCAGTGTAGTGTATATTTTGTGGGTTGCATTTTTCATGTGACGTCTAAGTGGTTTCGAAGAAAATTCGGGATGGTGAGGTAGCTTATGTCTTTAGGGATACGCTTTTGGAGGAGATAAAAAATTTGTGAGGCTCGTTCCTGGAGTTGCAGGTTATTTTTGTTGGTCGTGACTGTAATAGGGTTGTCCATTTGATGGCAAGAAAAACCCTTTCGTTGTCCCCTCTCCTTAGTGAGGTTCAATTTTGTTTCTTGGCTGTTTTCAGCTATTTTAAACTTTGTATCTCGCTATTTTCTCGGTAATACGAGTGATCTTTTGGTTAAAAAAAAGAGAATCCCTCTCAATAATAATAATAATAATATGTATCTTTTATAAAATGTTAATTTATTATTTTATTTACTGCTCATTCCCATAGTACACTCCAAAATTCAAATGCATAAAAATTAAATTTAAACAATAAAATGATATAAGAAACGTCAGCTCTGAACAAAACAAAAACACACGCAAGAAAAAAAAATAGAAATATCCAAGTCATAAATTTTTTTGAACCATAAACTGAAACCAATTGTCTTCAAAGACAAAGAAGTGACTCATTTATCCGGTCAAACATTCTTCTTACACCTAGATCCAATTTTCTGGTCTCTGCGGAAAGGAGAAAAAAATTCACGTTCTTCCTGGTCGGATCAATAAAATTATGAAAAAATAACTCGATTTTTTATCGTGTATTTTAACGTGCAATGAATTTCCGGGCTCAAATACATGATTTTTTTTAGTCTTTACCTATTACAGATAATCAGAGATGGTGTGATTTGATTTTCTTTATTCACCGCTCTCAACTCAAGTCTTAGGAGAAAGACACTTAGTGGGGATAGAAATATTTGCTGATATAGTTAATAAATGAAATAGTGAGTGGTGTGGTTAACATTATTCTTTTTGGAGTGACGAATCTTGTATGTATTCCTAAGAAAATGAATTAGTTGCTGGTTAATTTTTCTTTCATTTAGCCATCTTTGTGCTTCTGTGCTCGCTGACAAATTTATTTTCATTATTTTGAGGGTTAACTTTTATTTCTATATCTTCTAGCTTTTAAAATTTTATAAATAGGTTGTTGACTTTATTTATGTGTCCCATTTGAATATTGACTTTGTGTCACTTCTTGCATTTTATTTTGCTATTAGCTATATTAATCACTCAATTCTTTCTAGTTGATCATTAAAGACAAAATTTCTTCATCAATAAGTAATTAAAATTCCATGCATTATTTTTCGTAATAATTAAAATATAAGGATTTATTATCTTATTAAATTGCAGCATGGATAAAATAATGTACATCTGAATCTTGCATTTTATTACAAAATAATTTGGGTCCACATATATTGCAAGTTAATTGCATTTATGTAGGTGCAATGAAAATAATATGAATTGAATTAAAAAATATGAGGTGACAATAAACATCACAAATGCAATTGATTTTGCAATTGTATGTATTGATGTGGATGGTCCAAAGGACAACAAGAAGTCAAAAAGCTTAAATATATAGTTCGATTAAGGGCTTATTCATAAAATTCACATGCTAAGCCTCCAATTGAAAAAACACCAATCTAACATGACTTTTATAAATTTAGTAATGGACTTTACTCATACCAAACATGAAAATGAGTGTGAGGTTTTGAATTATCCACATAACATTTGTGATTTATTTTCCCTATATAATGTTGTTCTTAGAATTCAAAAAATGCATGCTTTCTTTGTTACTGTTTATGAGATATTGGTGTAGATTAAAGTTTCTTGTTTTTCATATTTGTAAAAGGATTTGTTCCTTTAGCACTAGCTAAAACACTAGCTAGCAAGGATTTATGATTATGGTATTGCTAGGTTTATGAACCTAGTTGGGACGAAAGATAATCTATTTCTTGTAGAAATACCAAATAATCTCTAATTAGCTCATGTTGTATAGCAAATCAAGTCGAGGGATATGGAAGGATAATAAAGGTGGTTCCAATCGATCAATATCTCACAGTGGTGGTCGGAAGTATCAGAAACAAGTATGTCATTGATGGGGTTGAGGGATGCACCATGTACTGCAGTGCTCAAAGAGGCGATTGATGACGTTAGTTGCTTTATTGTAGTAAAAGTTATCAATACCTCCACAAAAATCTGTAGCGCTCACGATAGTTGCTCAAGATATAGTCATGATGGTTGTGATCATTCCGCCAAAGGTATATTTCGGGTTTGCATCCACCATGGCGGTAGGAAAATATATCAGAAAGAAAAATGCATAGAATATTTCGAATGTCTTTCAAGTCTCTACATATCCCTAAAAGGTGGCCGGCTTCAAATTATACTCATGAGACTAAAAAGCATAATTTTTGCAAAGTACATGGAGGAAGAAAGTGATAAATAGTTGTAGCGCACACTCAGAGAGTTATGGTAACATGTCATTCTCCAAAGGTCATGGAAGAGGGAAGAAGTGTGTTTTTCAAGATGTGGGGTTCATAAAAAGAGCGTCCATAGCATCACCAATATTGGTGTCACATGGGGTTGGAAAGAGGTAGTGATTCTTGAATACAAAATGGATGGGTAAATTTCTCAATTCTACATGATGGTGGGACAAAGTGCAAGTTCGAAGGACGTAGGAAGAGTGTATGCGGGGGTGTATAGATTGTGCAAGGCCCATAGAGGAGGAAAGAGAAGTAGGTGGGGCCATTCAGATTCAGGATATGGTGGCATTTGAATTTATTGATGCTAGTGCTTGCAACTGATTTTTTGCTAGGGGAAATACTAGTCTTTATGCTCTTCATAGTGGTATGGTGCAGGATGACATTGTTATCACTTTGAGTACGATGATTTAGGAAGAGAAGCTGGTAGGACTAATAAGATGAAGGAAGTTGTTGTGTCTCATGATCACTTGGTTTTAGATGCAGGAAGAAATGGGAAATATTGTTGTTATTTCACCAAATGAATCTTACTCAAAGTTTAGGGATTTGAAAGGGAAGCAGATTCATCGAGGACAATGTCTACATTGAAAGAAAAAGTTCATACTGAAAAGTTTGATGGTGATGTTGGCTACTTGTTCTTTTAGCGCTTGAGCAAGCAATATACATTAATTTGAGCAACAAATCACGATCTGATACCATGTTAATAAATAAAGACTTACTGTAATTGGTATACATTGTTGTTAGAGTAAATGGAAAAATACCTATATTATAAGAACTATTAACTAAGGAATATACATCTACGACAAACTATATAATACTATACATGCTTTACTCCATCCTCATCATACTAACTGTAGCCATGATTTTGAGTAGCTTCCAGCATTTCTCCCAGAAAGCACATACTAAGATTCTCTTAAATGTTACAGGTACAGAAGAGCTTAACAACAGCTCAGACAAAATTCGAGGATCAAAATTGAATCATTTTTCATTGATTTGGTCCTGACCGAACCGCTAAAACTATATGGTCTTTTGAGTTTCTAAATTCATTGATTTTGTAAGGAGAAAATAAACAATAATCCTAACAAGTAAAAGCTAAATAAAATGAAGATATAGAAGGTCCAAACTTAAATTAAAAACAAATATTCGTCAATCAAGTTCTCAAACATTTCAAACCTTCTAGTGAGGTGATGTGGGCAGAAAGATATATGGTCCAAGCCGGCAAGGGCTCGAGTAAAGAGTAACAATAAGAAGAGTTATATGAAACATAATTATAAGAGGTCAAGTTACTTATGTGTGCACTATGTAGAGCCGTAGAGGTCATTAGGGTTTAGACCTCATGCAAGTTGACTTGTCTAATTGCCTTTCATGCAACGAAAATATAATAGGTAAGTGATTTAGTTATGGTCCGGTCTGGTTATTAGGTCAATTTACAATTTTGGTCAAGATCGAACCAAAACTGAAAATTTACCAAATTCGAGAACCAAATTTGAAAAGAAATATCAATTACTCAAATTGATCCATATGTTGACTTGGTTTAGTATGAGGCTATGAGCATAATTTTCCCAAATACCTAATGAAATGGTATAAATGGATTTCTAAAAAAAGTTATAATTATTTTAGTTTTCTTATATAATTACAAGTATAAGCATAGTCAAAAACTTTATTTGCATCCGTGTCAACCCTCGTTTAGAGGATATGAATTTAAATCTATAAATTGTCAACAATCTAAAGATTCTAACTCTTCGGATTGTTGAAAATAGATTTTAAAATGTTTATTGTTTGGTAATTGTAATTGTTAACATTCAATGAAAATAAAAAAATTTAATTTTATATTAAATAACATGTTTATCCTTAATAAAAAATTAGAGTGGTTCGAGAAATATTAAAAACTTTGTTGATAAATATATTTAATATGATAAATAAATAAAAAAAGAGAAAAAATAGGAGAAAAAAATCTCACGAATCAAGATAAAGAATCTCTCTGATTATGAGAGATTTGGTATCCGTAGATTTTAGAGATTTGAAATCTCTAAATCTAAAATTCATAATACAAAAAATAACAAAAAAAACATAACTTTTTACAAAATCTACGGATTCAATGAATCCACGCTCTAAGTCCCGTTCTCCAAATGAATACCTCGAATACCACTTAATTTTGAGAAATGGGGTAGACATACCACTTAACTTTGTATAGAGCGTCGGGTACCACTGAACTCTATTATATGCGCACCCGATACAACTTAAATTTACTGTTAAGTGCATTCCGTTAAAGTTGACAGAATATTCTAGGAATATTTCATTTTCTAAATTTTTAGAATTGGTCCTTCTACTTTTCTAATTGTGAAAAATCATTTGGACTTATTAAAAACATCATTTTTTGGTTGGAATCCTCTTTTGAACAATCTAATACGAAACCAATTTTAAAAAAATTAGAATAAATTATCATTATAAGTATTTTCAATCATATGTGTTCTAATAATTGAATTTTTTTCCTAAAGCAAATATATCCTATGAATTCTGTCTCAATAAAAATAATCTAAGTATGTTATATTTAGTTCTCTTGCATCATGATGATGTTTTCTAATTTTCCATGTTAATGTTTCTTGTAATTCTCTAATATTATATTATAAATGTTCCATATTAGCTAATTTACTAATTCTAATTCTCTTTCTATAGTTGTATTCTTTTTTTCAAGTACTAAAATATGTTTAATTATTTAAATGTTTTTAGTGGTGCTTGTATTAGGGGTTTAAATACATATTCAAATATTTATTTCAAATCCTTTTTATTATCTTTCAGTACATTTAGTATTCCTTTTTATATTTGTGTATTATTTTTACTAATTTATTTATTTTATTGAAAAATTTTCATTAGCCATTCTAGTAATATTATGTTTAGAAGGTTTTCTAATTTATATATTAGTTAATACATGTTGAAATATAGTTTTGGATGTTTTAAAAAGTTTTGGCTACCAAAAGGTAATTGAAAATTTGGGATGGATGGAAAATTAAACGGATATACCTTTTGACGACTTTAATGGCACCCAACATTCTATTCAAAATTAAATGATATGTCTACCACAATTTTCAAACTTAAATAGTACTCTAGTTATTTTCCCCCAACCCATTACATGTTATTTTATCTCTCTTTACCATCATCCAAAAAAACAACTCCAAACTCCTTGTTTTTTATATTTTTCTCATACTTGTCTGGTGATATATGATCTTCATTCAAATTTCCTTTCTTGATGAAAAGCAATTTCATTTCGTCAAAGCTCTAACCACATAGCATCAACTACAAGAGTACTTTACTTTACTTTACAATATGATGCATTAAAGAATCCTTAGCCCATGTGGCTAATTATCATTATTAGTATTATTCTCTTTTAATTAATTGTAGGATATTTTGAATATTTTTATTGATGTATGTTTAGGATTAGTATTATTAGTGTCTTGTCTAGAAAGTTATTATTTATTATTATTATATTGGAATTGGGTTACCTTGACTAAAGAGGAATGGGTTTGTGGGATTAGATATTTAGACCTATAAATATGTACCTTGCCTCTAAGTTTTTATTCATAAATGAGAAGAAGATTATTCCAGTAATTATCGTAGTTGCTTAGGAGTAGAAGTAAAGTAATTTACCGATCTTCGATGAGTGAATTCTATCACGTGTCAATTGTTATCAGAGCCCGGTTCTGGTTAGCCACAGGTGCCTGGGTTTGATTCGATGAGCTTGAAGGGGCCGTCACGATTGAACTCATCATGGAAGTGTTGCGGGAGATGAAACAATCCATCGACATGTCTTTCGAGAATATGGTTGTCATCAATCGCAACATGATCACTACAAGCGACAGGATGATTGTTGCCCTCGACAAAATTGTCGCTCCAACACCGTAACAATGGTTATGTAAAAAAAAACACTATGGTACCTGAACTAATGATTTGGTTCAATTTCCATATGTTATGTAAAAATTTCACATATCACAATTTTCATCCACAATTCCCGTCTACAAATTTTTACATAACATACCTAATTAAACCCTATAAATCGAATTCCGGTTTATCCTTCCCCTCCCTTCATCATGTCGCCACCGGCCTTTTCTGTTCACTTTTTATTTTTAATAATAACTCATTTTCTATTTTTGAACCGAACCAACCAATTAAACCTATGAACCAGAAAATTACCAAGTGTCTGCCTTATTTGCAAAGAATCACAAAAACAAAATACTCTTTTCCTATTAAGATAAAGGGTCTTCGGAGTTTGAAGGACTCATCTCTCACAGCTCTCCAAAAGTTTCACACTGGAATTGCTCCATCCCTCTGTCGCCGGTGAGCTATCAAAGAAATGGATGAGGAAGACAGTTGGGAGAAAATGTCAGGGAAGAGGAAGCGGTTTGTTCCGCGGGTTATGTTTCATCGGAGGAAGGAGTGGGGGAGAGGAACCGGTGGGGAAGATCGGGGAAGACAGGTTAGAATAAAGAATGGGGAAATGTCACGGAAGAAGAGGGTTACAGATTCGAGAAGGGAAGAGTAGATTGGGTTGGGCCAAGCAAGATGACATGGCGAGTTGAGTGACGTGGGAGGTTAAGTTTCACCTTTTTAGATTAAATTATGCTGATTAAGCGATTCTGTTTGCCATGTCAACATTCTTGTTATCCACATAAGTAATTGACTGACAATATTAATTGAGACTAACGGAGAGTGACTAAACGTAAACCATAACATCATGACATGTTTTAATAATTCCGGAGACCAAACACCATGACATGTTTTAAAAATTCTTAGCCAACGTGGCATTCATTGCCTTACACCTGCACCACTCTGTTTTACTTTGGTAAAAATCATTGAAATTTGAGATGCATCTTATAAATGCAATCAGGCATTAGATTAATGCTTTCCTTTTGGTTCGTCCAGCAGAAGCAATCGTCCGTTGCTTATACCTGGAACTCCCAGCTGCCAATAGGTTCGTCCAGGCCAGCTACGATTTCAACAAGCATTGGACCAAAAAGCACCATTCATACATATCTGTAAACATAGCAAGTAGCAACGGAACAGAAGTCCAGACTCCAGAGCCATTTATTCCTAACAAGAAAGTTCTCACAACTATAGGACCGAAAAGGTTCTAGAGCTAGCAAAGGCCAGCCGCAACAAGAACCGAAGAGCTACCCAACATGTTCCAAAACAACAAAAGATCCCCGCTTATTTATATGCTTATATTTCATAGAAAATAATCTAAACACGGTTCTTCTCCACCCGACTATGACTTCTCACCAGTGAGGAGGTCTATCACAACACGCTTGATGCTCCCATTGTTCTTCTTCAACAGCTTTTTGTTCGTTTCATTGTCGCAGAAACCCTGCACAGCCATAATTCCCATTTCTATGTCAGCACACACTTCCTCAACACTGGTTAGGGGCCTTCCGGGAGGGTCGGAATTGATTCTATCAGTCAAGCACGCCACTTACCATCTCTTTTAGCTCCTCAAGGATCGGGTCCCACTCGCCAACACCACAGAGATCATCCAGCGACCTGTCCAGGTCATACTCATTCATCCGCAGGATCTCCTTGTTCAGATCCACCTGCTTGAACCCCATTTCCTCCAATTCCTTCAGAAGGCTCTCCTCGACAGCATCTTCCACCTTCGTGCCCTCTTGTTCAGCAGTTGGCTTGTTCGTTCCAATTGCCGCAGGGGCACTTGGGTTGTTGATGCTAGAAGAAGGGCCGGCTGCTGCATCGTACAGGTCTATCATAGGATAGGGCAGATAAGAGCTGGTCGAATTGACCTGCGGGGCTGAGGGGCGATTCCCAACAAACAAGGCATCATTAACCGGGAAATTCTTCTCCTGCTCTGAATTAGCCTGTTGATCAAACATGTCCGTCACCAGCAACTCTGAAGGTAAGGCTGAACCAGTAGGCTTGCTTGTCGCATCTACTGTGGCTGCAGGGGACTCAGAGGCATCAACAGAAACAGGAGGTAGATTGAGGTTCAAGCCCTGGAGACTTGCGCCAGAAGCAACATTCAGGGAAGCATCAACCTGGCAAGAATGAATAAGAATCGCACTAAATCATAATCTACTCTACAACAAAAGAGCAACTAAAGTTGAAAAGAGTATCCACAATTGGTATTTGATAGTATAACCAATGATGAAACGACATACATTGATAAGAACCCAGATGCGCTGACCAAATTTTGTGCCAGCAGGTGAAACCATTCTCCAGTATGAGATGTATCGACCAGGCAATACAGGAGAGGTAAAATCAATAGCAACATCAAGTTCTGCATCAACGGGAAGGCCATTTGCAGGAATCTGGCAAGTGAAAAGGCTAGACATCAGAATCAGAAGAAAACAGATAATGAAGTTCTGCAGCAAGCAAAGCAATGGAGATGCTCACCTCTAGCACAGATGAATCGGTTTGACTGAATCTGTCTCCTCCAATCCACACAAGCCGAGTACCCATGGGCCACACAAGATTACCATTGTTGCGCAGTCGCCAGATTTTTTTAAATGGAGTAGATGGAGCGAGTACAGTACCATCAACAACATTCACATCTAAAATAAAGCGACTGTCCAACCTAGGCTGCACAGATACACCTTGTTTCGGTATAGACTTGAATGTGGATACAGGGAACATCCAAGAGGAAGCCTTGAAAATAGAAGAATAAAATGAGCAAGATAAAGACAGAAAAACATCATATGACAAAACACGTGGAACATCCACTTACAGGACAATTCGAGCCTCTGAAAGACCGTGATTGTCGATAAGTCACGGGCTTATCCATCTTGACATAGTCAGTTTCGTTACCCATTTGAGCAAAGCACGAGTAGCACAAGTCATAATTTTCCTTTCTGCAAAAGGGTGTCAACAATTTAATTTAGAGTCGAAAGAAAAAAGGAAAAAATAATCTCCAACTCGCTAGGATCATAGAATCAGGAAACCTACACCATTGATTTATAACGGGGTCCTGCAATGGGATGTATCCCACAGCCATCACATTGAACACCTCGGTGGAACAACCCAACCATGCCATCCTTGCGGCTATGGCTCCTCTTAAACGGTTTAGATGGCTTGAAATGGGTAGGCAAAGGAGGAGGCAGTGTATAAGAGCTGTCAAACAGCTCCGCCCCACTAAATGGGCAGGAACTGCCCCCAGGATTCACTGTATGACCCTGAACCCCAGCACTCCGTTCTTTCATTTCCTTCTCAGCTGCCTTGTTTTGTGCAGAATTCTCTACTAATGAAGAGGAATCACTAGGAGGGTCCAGATTCAAATCAACATGAGCAGAAGAAACAGGATTTGATGACCTTGGCACACCATGAGTGTCGGCACTGTATCCAGCCAAATCTTCTGGCAGGCTACCATCACCAGAAGCACATGGAACCGCAGATTGTACAGTTGGAGCACCTGCATCCTTGGTTTGAGGGATCGCATTAGCCACTGCAGCCTGAGGCTCCTGCGGAGTACTAATGTAGGAGAGCCCAATCTTTGACAAGTTGTCAACAAGATCAGTCAGCACCGGAGCAGAAGAACCGGCACTAGAAGCCAGGTCCAGAGAAATCTTGGAGAGTGCTTCGTACAGAGGTTGCTGGGCTGATTTCGACGCTTCCTTCACATCGATTTTAAACTGGGCACCAGAAGAAGCAGCTTTTGAAGCTAAATCAGAAGAGATTTTTGAAACAGCATCAGCCACCGATGGTGGTAGAGCAGACAGAGCAGGTTGCAGAGTCTTGAGCACATCAGCAACACTGGACCCAAAGTTAGTTGGGGATGGTTTCTGGGTTTCATGAGATCTGAAGGGGGTAGAGCTTCCACTAGATGCAGCATAAGAAGAAGCACCTTTTTCAGTCCTGAGATTGACATCCACCCTCAAGAACTTGAGGTTTTGCCTGGTGACATCTTGCAGATCAGAGTCATCAACAAGAGTCACAACATCCCCGTCTTCATCAACGTAGGTAAGTCCAATCACTGCATCAGGAGGGAAGCTAAAAAGAGCAATGACCTTAGCCCTTAGACCATCCAAGTTGAGGGCCAGCTGTCCATCCTCCTTAATAACAGCATTGAACCGCCTCAATGTGTCAGCATATCGAACCTGCATGCGGTGCACGAAGCCATTACTTTATCATCCAATACCAGACAATCGAAATCCAGGAACCGTCAATTCATCACACTTAGGGCTAGGGAATTCCACCGAAACCACAATCGATGACCAAAAACAAAGATAGTTGCATGCAATCACAATTCAACATTCAGCGCAGTTATAATAAGAAGAGCGGAAATCAAAGAAGAAAAGAACCGGACATGATCAGGTAACAAGCAAACAAGCCACTCCCCTCCAGTCCAAAATCGCAACAAAAACCCATCCCCAACGCAAAACCTAATCGCAGGGAAAAACCAGGCTAGAACAGTGAAAAGAAACGATAAAAAGGAAACAATAGGTGTTACCTTGACCACGAGAGTTGACTCCATAGCTGCAGAGCCTTGCCTTTTGAGAAGCTACGCGTTCCGGTGAGCCGCGCACGATCAGAGAGTCAAACGGGAAAGAAAAACCCTCTGCAAATTTGTTCACACACTCGCCGATCGCGAAGAGACGAAGGAGAGAAGAAACAAAGACGGTAGGTATTTAAGGAGCTCTAGACAGACACACACTCTCCGAAGCGTACCAGTAAGCCGCTTTTGGCGTGAAACTGATGAAGAGTCCCTTCGTAATCCAACCTCCCGGGTTTTTATGTGTTGCCTTTGCCTTGGCTGGCTTAGTGGATAAGCAAGAAAACTAGTAAGGTGCTATCTATTTGACCCAAAACTAAGCGTTTTGGTTTCGTCTTGGGGTTTACCATTAATTAATGTATTGTTTCTTAGTGAGCAAGCTAGATACACGAACGCGATTAGAGATGACAATCAAACCCGTAATTATGGGTGTCCAATCAGCTCAGACCCAATCAACGCGGGAGATTCCTAAATTGAATGGGTATGGGGCGGGTATGGGTAAAATTTGTAAAACGGTCCCATCAAGAGCATGTATTTATTTATTCACGTATAAAAAAATGTATTGATCAAATTGCAACATATCAATGATAGTAAGGGTATCTCAAGAAAATAAATAGTAGAAATGCAATTGAGTAACCACTCAAATCAAAATCTAATTAATTTCCCTCAATTCTCGTTAAAATCTTCCATTTTTCCCTTGTTAAGAAGATTATGTTAGTTATTAGTAGAAGCATTAGAGTTAAATAATAATGGTTTGAAAAATATTATACTATATCTTGTGGATTAATGGATGGTTTAGCATCATATGCTTTGAACCATCTTAAGAATGATTGTATATTTGTTGGGTTCATGATATAGTAGGTCTGTTTAGTATTGTATTAATATTTACATGTAAAATTTTAGATAGAATAATGTTAGATGGAGATGATACACACAAATACACCCAACCCCCGCCCATTACCATCCTTAACCACGGCTGGTATAGGGGTAGAGTGTATAGTTCACATAAAAAAATCGAAAAAGCGGAGACTTAATGCATAATCAGAAATCTATGATGAATCAAATAGCATGACATTCAAAATATGTTAAAATGATCATAGTCTTATTGACTATCACATCTTTCATAGTCACTACAATATCCTCTCTAGATCAAGTGAATTCTCTATATTCATTGATTCAAATTAAGATGAGTTGTGACAGCCTCATTGACTATCACATCTTTAATAGTCACTACAGTATCTCAACAAAGTTTTGAATGTGGTTGCGATCTTTTTTGAGATAGTGTAGTTGATGGCGTGTTTGGCTACTTGGAGGGAGAGATTGTGGCTTCGACTTAGCGGTCGCGAAACTAGGAATTGTGTCCATGATCTTCCTCACGTTCTCAATCCTGAAGGCCTACAAGGTGGAGCGCGAGATCTTTTGTGCTCTTGTCCGCAGCTTCTCCAAGTTTGCAGCTCAGACGATCTAAAATAGAGGATGCAAACTTTGCACCTTGGTCGTGATCTCTTCCCAACCTCTGGTCGCGAACTTTGCTCCCTAACCGTGATCTTTTATATTCACCATTTTAGCACATTTTCCTTACACTTGAGTTCGGTTTCTTTGACAAAAACATTTAAAACGTGAAATGGTACTCAAAACGCTACCAAAACACAAAGAGAAAGCATTTTTAGGCCAAATCAATAATTAAACACTCCATGAATGCTCTAATTTGTAAGTTAACATCCAAGAGATGAGGCTAAATAACACCAACTTAAGTGTTATCGGATTGGTACAACCTGTCAATTTTCTGTCGTGTCGTACCAACCCATTTTTCAAATTTGTTAGAACCGAGCACGACTTATGATCACTTCTAACAACAATAAACATTATTTTTGTAATTTTATTTTATAATATTTGATCTTATAATTCTCTTTATATTTGTCTTTTATAAAAGAAGTGTTCTTTTATGTCATATTGACCTTATACTCAATAGGGTCTCAAAAACATTAAACTCGACATGATCCACTTATAAACCGAGTTGTGTCGTGCCCATGAAATTTGAGTCCGATACATCCCATCAATTCCTCATCAACGTAAAAAAATATAACATAATAGAGTTGGGAAGCAGTTTTTCATCATTTCAAGTTTCTCTAAATAATATAAAAGGGTTTATCCATAAACTCTTCCCAACAACTTTCTATTCATTTTTTATTTTGTTTTTGTATTTATTATTTCACGGCAACCGTATTTCCTTTTTAAAATGGAGCAGTTCAGTTTTTATTTTCCTTTACATTTTGTTTCCTTTTTTATTTATTATACATGGGCTTTGGAACATTTTTTATGAATGAGCAAGCTTTTATATCATAAAAAAAACCAAACACTGTTTGGCAACACACCCTACCAACTGAGCCACAGTCAACAATCCAATCTAAACCACATAATAACCTCTATCAGCTATGACAAAACTATAACCTATAGCCAAGAGTAAAGCAACAATTTATCTGGATCAAAACCCTGCTACATCTTCTTCCATAAAGTTCATTGAAACATCCTTCTGAATTTGAGCAATCATAGTTGGGAAACTATGTCTCGCCTAATCCCACATCTCTCACGCCAAATGGAGCTAATGATATGCTGCCAAATCACTCGTGCCACCTTCATCTTTATATCTTTTCCTCTGATAGTGTCAGTAGCCCATTTCAGCTCTTCCTCCCAGCTTCCTGATGTTGTTTTGGGAAAAACAGAAGCCAGCAGCCCTGCATATAGTTCTTTATACCCAACACATTCTGCAAATAAATGGAATCGGGTCTCAAAGGGAACAAACACAAAAGGAACAAGCAAGAGAGCTAGCAATTCCCCAACTTGTCATTTTCTCCCTAGTTGAAATATAGTTCTTTAATTGTAAATTTGTCATGCATACTGCATAACATAAATAAATTTGACCACCTTGACTAACGATTAATCCAAACATCGAGATTTTTATTCGAAGGTTAGTTCAAATATAGTGGACTATTGATTGATGTATATTGTATAAGATAATTATTGAGTGTTTTGATTATTGCATGTCAAAATCTTATACTTGAAATTTAGGATTTTGCTACGGTGACATACTTGCACTTTTAGGTCGACCTCATATAGGATTAGGTCGACCTAATCTGCACTTTTTAGTCAACCTTATATAGGATTAGGTTGACCTAATCTGCACTTTTAGGTCGACCTTATATAGGATTAGGTCGACCTAATATGTTGTTTCATTTTTGTAGGAGCAATTGTCATTATGGAGCAATTTTCATTCACTTGGGTTTGAGGAATCCTAGCTATGTTTGCTTGATTTGATGATTGTATGATTACTCTTACTTATTGAACTTGAGGATAGTGTCCCTCTAAGTATTGTATTTAAGAGGGCATTGAATGCTTTAATTGAGATTCATGGCTTGTTAAGGACTTTCCTCATTATGAATGAAGAGTGAAATAAGTTAGAGAATCATCAATCCGACTAGTGGCATGGGTGAATCATTACCTGAGTGAGCTTCCTACCTTGTGACTAGTTAGTTTAGGGTTATAGCCTTAGGTACAATATGTCCATTTACTATGCATTTTTATTAAACATGTCCATATACTATTTTTCACATCAAACATGTCTCTATACTTTGAAAGATGATCAAATATGCGCTTATGCTAAAATTTCAATTCGAAGACCGTCAACCAAGGTCGAACATTGCTTAAGGCGGCACAAATGTCTAAAATATCCCTAGTAATTGTACTTAAACTTTTTTGTTTCTTTTGTGTAGCCTAATACTTCTACTAATTTCACTTTAACAAGACTTAGACAAATAAAGGAAGGGGCAAAACCGACATTTTCCCTTCTATTTTGCCGAGGTCATGTAGTTCAAACCATGATTTGACCGTATTTGATGATTTTTTGATGATTTTGGTTGCCCCATTTTAGTAATTTTCCTGCCTTCCTTCTTCTGCGCACATCATGGTGGCATTTTGATTATTTTTCATTTTAGCTATCCCCATTTCCCGGTTAGTATTTGAGATTGTGTTCATATCTTCAAAATATTTTTTTAGGAGCAAATAGTGTGCAACGTGATATCGTGATATGATGATACGAAATATAATCGTGTCGTATAATCGTATCACGATTTTGCAGGTTTTGCAGGCATGGAAATTTTGTATTGGAACCCAACCCTATTTTTAATGCAAATCATATCTTCAAAATAAGAGCATCCACATTGAAATTGCATTTAGACTTGCATCATGACATGTTGATATTTTGAAATTGCATTATGCAATTGTATTGATTTAGATTACAATTGCATTTTTGCAAGCTTGCATCTAATGCAATTATGGGTTGTAAGCCACATAATTATTTTTGGGTAATGTTTATTTTTTATCCAAATCTTTTTCAAATTCTTTTATATTATCCAAACATATTAAAATGCTATTAATTAGCCAAATCTTTTATAATGCATAAAAATATTAGTCATTTTTACGTTATCGTTAATAATTTTATAACTCTTTTCTTAGTTTAAATACTAAAATTTGGAATGCTGACCCTCATGTGTCTCTTCTAAGTCAGTATCATGTTGCCAAGTCAATATTACTAATAAAATTGCTAACTGGAAGTTAACATTTGGCTAATTTTTAGTATTTCGATACGTTTGGATAATATAAAAAAATCTGATTTTTTTTGTAATCATTAATTTATCATTAAACATTTGTCATTTTTATTAGTGAAGTGTTTATGTTTTTTAGAATTGTATTAAAAAATCAATGCAATTGCAAATGAATTGCATTGATACAAGTATAATGAAATTAAAATGAGTTAGATTGCTTGATTCCTGAAATTATCTTATCCCTTAATCAAGCTTCAATTTCTTCATTTTGATATTACAAGACTTTGGTTAAACAAAATCAACTGTATCTAGAGGTTGAGATTTGCATCCCCGTGTTAATTTTAACGAGATTATATAAGCAATCTCAGCCACGCTTCGAGCTAAGTGAAGGAAAGGAGAAATAGAGAGATGAGGGCAGTAACAAGAAATTAGCAGTGAACTGACCAAATCCATATCCCAACTCCCAGACAAGGCTTGAAATCTCAAGACCCTAGCTCAATTGAGGGAACGAAATAAAATCTCTTATGGCAGTTTGATTGGGTGAATCTCAACCGGTTTTGCAAGAAAAACTGCAGTGATTGCCCGATTGGTGGAACAAGGAGAAGAAAAACGTGTCGATTGGAAGATGAGTGGTGTGCTTATTGACAAAATAAGATAACTTCTGGTACGGTTTCACAATCTTTTGGCTATTAGTGATAGTTGGTTGAAATTTAATATTTCATCAGGTAGCCAAAATCGACTAATGAGTGCATTTATTGAGTTTCTTTTACATTGATGTTAGGAACATGTAAACTTATTCATCTCCCGTTCCACGAGTTGGTAATTTAAAGTAATCCAACCAATGCGCCATGTAAAAAAACTAGTTATAATAAAAGGGCATGTTTGATACTTTTTTGGGTTACAGGTATAGGTGTCAAAACAGAACCCGGCCCGATTAACTGGACCCGCAACCCGACCGCAACCTGAATTGACTAAAAGTCAACGACCCGTAACCCGCCCGACCCGCAACTTGATTGACCCGCAACCCAACTGACCAGCAACCCTACTAACCCGCAAACCGATTAACCCGAACCCGATTGACCCACAACCCGATTAACTCGAACCCGATTGATCCGAACCCGACTAACCCGTAACCCGACCGACTCAACCCGAACTTCACCTAATCCACTTGAATAATTATTATATTATACAATACATAGTTTTTCAAAATAAAGTTATTCATTCTAAACTTAAGTAAAATTATTTTTTCATTTCGTATAGGGAATTTAAAAAATATGAAACTTACGTGATATTATGTATTTTAAGAAAATTACAAAAAATAAAACATGAACATCAATGGAACACTAAGTTCTTTAACAAAATTAAAAAATTAAATATGAAATATAAAATTAACATAATGTCAATATTAATGATGAAAAATTAATAATTGAGATCATGAACAATATTAATAAAATATATAAATTAAAATTTTGGTTAATTTAACTATTCAATAAAATTATCAATTACATATAAATAAAGTAAAATAATGTATTTGGTAATTTGATGCTTTTAAAAAAAGAGGGAAATTTTGGTGTATTCAACTTTTTGGGAAGAGAAAGAAGAGGGAAATTTGGTTCTTTGAATTTTGAGAAAAGAAACAAGGGGGAATTTTGCAGGTTTTGATTTGTGGGAAAAGAAAGAAGTGGGAAAGTTTGGTTTTTTTGATTATGAAAGAGAAATAAAGAGGGAAATTTTGATTTTCAACTTTTTGTGTAAGGAAGGAAGAAAAAGGAAAATTTAATTTTTCAATTTTACTGAAGAGAAAGAGGAGGTAAATTTTGTTCTTTCAATTTTATGGAAGAGAAAGAAGAGGAAAAATTGAGGGTTTCTAATTTATGTAAAGAGAAAGGAGGGAAATTTTAGTATTTTAATTTATTTGTTTTTGTGAAAAGAAAGAAGGAAACAAATTTGGTGTTTTCAACTATTTGGTTTTTCAAAATTTTAGACTTTGAAATATGAATATTTAATTTTTATATGGAGAACATGACTAGCTAAATTTATTTTTATATGATTTGAAGGCTAATATATATATGTAATTGTTTATGGGCTAATAACTAAATTAATCATTAGTTACAACAATCATTTGTTTTACATATCACTTAATTTGCCTACTTGTTTTCTATACTTCTACATTTATTGCAACTTCAACACTACATGATCCTTATTTTACAACGCTTAGTAAAATTTGGGCACATTTAAGTTGTGTTCGTGTTGAACTTTTGTTTCAAAATGAGGGTTAAACTTGGCATGTTAAGTAATACGATTGCAATAACTCAGTTAGGTTGCAGGTTTGGAAATTTTGGTTAATCGAGTTGCTGCCTTGCGGGTCACTTTGGAATGGGAAATGAGAGGGAGGTTTGGGTGGGAACTTTGGAATGAAAAATTTATGGGTGGGTGAATATGAGCCAACAATTATACTAAACTTGATAAGTAATTTTTGACGATTCGTTGTTTAGTGTATAAAATATATGGTTAGGGTATAAGGTACAGATGGTTTAGGGTGTATATGGTTAGGGTATAAGGTATAGATGATTTTGACGGTTCTAAGTTTTTTATTAACATATGTTCACTTGAAGTCATTTTAAGCCTTTAACGGCAGGAGATCCTTTTTAATTTATGTTTATGGTACGTGGTTAGGGTACAGGGTATATAGTGTAGAGTATAAGATATATGGTTAGGGTATATCAATTAGCAAATATCACTTTTTCAACTATTTTTTGAAAATCAAAGTATGAATTTCACATTTAAATTAACTATACTAGCAAAATCACAACTCATAAGGATATATGGTCAGGGTATGTGGTTAGTGTATAATGCATTGATGGTTTAGAGTATACGATCAACACCATACACTAACTTAATATTGTCGATTGAGGGTAAGGCTAAGTGTATAGGATATATGTTATTGAGTAAGTTATGATTGAAGTCACAACAATATTGTCGATTGAGGGTAAAGCTAAGTGTATAGGATAGTCAACTTGTTTGGCAACAGTTTACTGAAGTTGTTTGGACAATGAGTTATTTCGAAATAACTCCTTTTATCACTATGCTTTTGCCAAATACAAGATTTGCATGGTTATACTAAACAAGATATTTTAATCTAATTACTACTAAAATAATACTAAAATATCAAATAAACAATTAATGGTGTCTTTTGGTTGCAAATATTGATATCACCATTATTATAAGCTAGTGTACTATACAAATTACGATTAATTACATAACAAGTTTGCAAGTCATACAAATTGATTCAACATTTTGACTAGTTTTTTTTAATTAAGTATATATATACTAGGAAGAAATTGGTTAAAAAGTTGAGAAAATATCTAAAACTAGTGTAATAAAATGTGTAAGTTGGTAACGAGTAATGAGTAAGTTACTCGATGCGCTGACCTGAACAACTCGCAACCCGATCCGCCCTCAACCCGTCCGACCCAAAATCCGATGAATCCGCAACCCAATTTGACCGCAACCCGATTGAACCCGAACCCGATGAACCCGCAACCCGACTAACCCGCAACCCGATTGAACCCAAACCCGACTAACCCGCAACCCGTTTGAACCCGAACCCGATTGAACCCAGCCCGAACCCGCCCTATTGACACCTATAGTTACAGGCATAATATGCCTCTATATTATGCATTTTTATCAAACATGCCTCTAACTAATTTTTACATCAAACATGTCCTTTTTACTTGGAAAAAATATCAAACATGCCTGTGTTATAATTTTCATAAAAAAATGGCCAACTACGGTTAAACTGTGGTTCAATCGATCCGACCTTGACAAAATGAGAGGGAAATTTTTAGTTTGTCCATTCATTTATTTGTCTAAGTCTCGTTAAATTGATATTATTAGGAGTATTGGGTTATATATAAAAAAAAAATTAAGTACAATTACTATATATATTTTAGAGATTTTTCTTTTCCAAACCAAAGTTCGACCGTGGTTGACGGTCTTTGGGTTGAAATTTTAACAAAAGGGCAATCTTTGATAAATTTTCAAAGTATAAGGGTATGATTGATGTAAAAAAACAATATATGGGCATTATTTGATAAAAATGCATAGTAATGAGGCATATTGTACCTTTAACTCAATTTAGATATTTTTTTTTATAAGGGTGATATATGCTTACTTTTTTGTGGTTTAAGTACTACTTAAAGAATTCGAATCTAAGACCTTCAGGTTTAAAGCTAGTCATATTACCACTAGAACAAACCCTTATTAGTTATTTAAATACAACATTTAATGGCAACATCTAAATGTTTATATTTGAATTCAACAAATAACATAAAGGATTAAAGCGTTCATACTTGAATTCAAAACATCACCATTTAACTTTAGGGTGTGCCTACGGTGACATGCATGTCATGGTGACTTGCACTTTCCGGTCGACCTCAGTTAGGATTAGGTCGACCTCATTTAGAATTCGGTCGACCTCATATTGGATCTGGTCGACCTCATTTAGGATTCGGTTGACCTCATATAGGATCAGGTCGACCTAATTTGTTGTTTCAATGTAAAAACAGTTCATGGTGCCTACTTTGGATATTCATATCATACAATTGGCTAGATGGAAATTGAAGACTAATGACTTGTTTTGAAGTTGGAGTGTCCCTCTACATATTGAATTGGAAGAGAGCTCGATAGGAAGTCCAGAAGACCATTTTGAACCTCATCAAAAGGCTATGCCAAAACTAGGAAACTGCCTGGAAATGGCTAAGTCTGGAAACGTGTTGTGAAGCTTATTTTGGAGCTAAATTCGAGAATCATGAATGCGAGTCGAGTCCAGGAGCCTCTACCACGTTAAATTAGGTATGTTTTCATACAAATTCAAGGCATTGGATGAAAGATTGGATATCTGTAAGGCTTCAAACAAAAGGGTCAAAGTTGCTACGATGGCTGTTTTTCTGGCAGACTTCGAGCACAAGCAAGCTGCCAGAAAAACAACCTTCGTAGCAACTTTGAGCCTTTTGTTTGAAGCCTTAAAGATATTCAATCTTTCATCCAATGCCTTGCCTTTGTATAATAAAATACGTAATTTAACGTGGTAGAGGCCCCTGGACTTGACTCGCATCCATGCTTCTCAAATTGAGCTCCAAAGTAGGCTTGACAAACACGTTGCCAAACTTAGCCATTTTCAGGCAGTTTTCCGTTTTGGCATAACCTTTTGGTCAGGTTCAAAAATGGTCTTCTGGACTTTCTATTGAGCTCCCAAGTACTTTAATGTGTAGAGGGACACTTGAGCTTCAAAACAAGCCTTTAATCTCCAATTTCCATCTAGCCAATTGTAAGATATGAATCTCCAAAGTAGGCACCATGAAACTGTTTTTACACTGAAACAACAAATTAGGTCAACCTAATCCTATATGAGGTCGACCGGAAAGTGCATGTCACCGTGACATGCATGTCACCGTAGCAAAGTCCTTAACTTTAAAGTTCAAGAAACAAATAAAAGTGTATGCTTTTTTTAAATTAAATTCTTCAAAATAATGTTATTTTGTCTAGAGATCTGAAATCGATCTTACCGGTAATACATATATTATTCCGATCAATTTTATAACCAGTACCAATTGAGAGGGGTCGTTTGGAGAACATGAGTTTTAATCTACAGAATGTCAACAATTTAAAGATTCTAACTCTCCAGATTGTTGACAACAGATTTTAAAATGTTTATTGTTTGGTAACTGTGATTGTTAACATTCAATTAAAATAAAAAATTTAATTTTATATTAAATAAAATTTGTATCCTTAATAAAAAAATTAGAGTGGTTCAAGAAATGTTAAAAACTTTGTTGATAGATATAGTTCATGTGATAAATAAATAAAAGTAAGAGAAAACTAGGAGAAAAAACAATCTCACGAATCAAGATATAGAATTTCTCTGATTATGAAAGATTTGATATCCACAGATTTTAGAGATTTGAAATCTCTAAAGTTAGAATCTATAATATAAAAAACGGGTTAAAGACACATTTGGTCACTGAGATTACAAAATCGGGACATGTTTAGTCACTAGAAAAAGTTAATATCAAATTTGGTCACTACAATTACTAAAACTGGACACATTTAGTCACTCGTCGTTAGTCTCCGTCCAACTCCGTTAATGAAGTCCGTTAAGTGCTGATGTGGCAAACAGAATTGCCTAATCAGCCGGATATAACCCAACAAAAATAAAACCCGACCCGCGACGTCATTATAACCCGCCACGTCATTAAAACCAACCCAACCCAACCCATGACCCAACCCCACCCAACCCTTCTTCCTCCCACCTCCTTCTTTCCCCAAAACCACCGTCGCCGCCGCTCTCCTCCTTCCTCCCACCTCCTCCCGCAAACCTGTTCGACCTAACCAAGCAGACCAATCCTTCACCATCCCTCACCAAATCTGTTCGTCTCCTCTGATACATTTCTTCCCCCAAATCCCAACCCACCCAGAAAACCAAAAAACCCCCTTTTCCACTTCTTTCCTCTCAGCCGAAATGTAACTCACGGCAGAGACACCCAACCCCTCCCATTCAAGGTTCTTTTGGAACAGGAATTCGGACACCGGCGGCAGCCTCAGCCGCGAATGTCGCAGCGCGAAAGAACGCTCGCGAATGAGATCCCTCCAACTTTTGGAAACACATTTCATCCGAAGCAAATCCTTAGTCTGCAGCTTCGATAGCACCAATTCGAGAATGTCAGGGTTGAGGAGCCTGAGTTTCTCCATTCCTTCGCCCATAGCTGTAGGGAGAAAATAAAAATGACCCGATTGAACGAAGATGAGATTGTAGTTTCAGATTGTTGTGGAGAGAAGTGGGAAAAGGGGTTTTTTTGGTTTTCTGGGTAGGTTGGGATTTGGGGGAAGAAATGTATCAGAGGAGACGAACAGATTTGGTGAGGGATGGTGAATGATTGGTCTGCTGGATTAGGTGGAACAGGTTTGCGGGAGGAGGTGGGAGGAAGGAGGAGAGCGGCGGCGACGGTGGTTTTGGGGAAAGAAGAAGGTGAGAGGTGCCGAGGTGGGAGGAAGGAGGAAGAAGGGTTGGGTGGAGTTGGGTCATGGGTTGGGTTGGGCTGGGTTGGTTTTAATGACGTGGCGGGTCGGGTTTTATTTTTGTTGGGTTATATCCGGCTGATTAGGCAATTATGTTTGCCACATCAGCACTTAACGGACTTCATTAACGGAGTTGGACGGAGACTAACTGCGAGTGACTAAATGTGTCCAGTTTTAGTAATTGTAGTGACCAAATTTGATATTAACTTTTTCTAGTGACTAAACATATCCCGATTTTGTAATCTCAGTGATCAAATGTGTCTTTAACCCTATAAAAACAATAAAAAACAAAACTTTCTACAAAATCTACGAATTCGGTTAATCCATATATTCAATCCTTTCTCCAACGACCCCTCAACCCAATTGTAGCAGCCGGCCTGCACATATTTGGCAGTAATTTGTCTCCCGCCCAATTTTCAAACCTCCTAAGACCTCTCCCTCTTTCTAGGGTTTACAGCTTTCCCCAAATCTCTACCACCATACGTCCTGTGGATGCGGTGTTTCTACTGCGAGAATCCCATAATTTCCCTAGAATGACGACTCCGATGGAGATCTCCGAGCAGAAACCCGTCACTGAAACTACCATTTCTGAACGGAATGGCCTTCCGCCGCTCCCCGCAGTAGCTCCTTCTCCTCCTCCATCTCTCCCCGAAGACAAATTTCTCGTTTCTGGTAAGCACCGACTATGTTTTCAGCATACGAGGCATTCACGCAATTTCTTACACTCCTAAAAGTTCAGCTTCCTGTGGGATTTTATTTTACCCTCCTTTTCCTTTGCAGTTGAAGTTTGCTTAAAAGCGTCGAGCACAGCACGAACCCAAGATGTCTGCTCAGCAGTTGAAAGGTTCGAATTGAGTTTAATTAGATAGAGAATGCTACGTTGTGATTCTTCAGTCAGTTTTGGGAGTATTGACAACATTAGAAAATGCTTTGAAGTTAGGACTCCTTTTCTCAAACTTCTGTGGTCTATCCTTCTGTCATATGCTAGAATGCTTGAAAAGAGGAGCATGAGCTATATCGATGGACCAATACCTGTTCCTCTTGATGAACCCTTTCTGCTAGAGAACGTTCATAGGATATGTATATGTGACACAGGTTTGCTTCTCTCAGTCCCATGATGTTTTGTGTTTCCTGTAGGCAATATGGACGAATGGAGTATACAGTTTAACCTTAAGTGGATTTAACTTACCGACTATTGGCTTGTCCTTCTGCAGACGAAGGGATAAAGAACCATAGAATTCTCTTGTTCTGGCAAGTCAAGCCTCTTGTACATGTCTTTCAGGTACCTTGGCCTTTTTAGGCTTGAACATTTTGTTTTCCAATTATCGGCGAGCATGTTTGGTATTTTACTCCAAATGCGGCTTTTTAGCTTAGTGATGAAGGACCATGTGAGGAAGTAAGTGGTGATGGCCAACTCGCTAGTTTCAACGAATGGATTCTCCCGGCGAAGGAATTTGATGGCTTGTGGGAAAGGTTGGTTTGAATTTTGACCCATGTTCATTTCTATGGGTGTAACAACAACACTGACACTACTGTTATTGGGCAGCTTGATTTATGAATCCGGTCTCAAGCAAAGGTTGTTGCGATACGCTGCAAGTGCGTTGCTCTTCACTGAAAAGGGCGTTGACCCATTCCTTGTCTCCTGGAACCGGTAAATGAGTACCCATTGTCAACTTGATTGGAAGTGTGTGAATCCTTCAATCTTCTGTTCACTAGCAATCTTTGTGGATGGTGGCTCAGATTGTTGGTTTGTAATTGTTTTGCAGCATTGTTCTTTTACATGGTCCTCCGGGTACTGGCAAGACATCTTTATGCAAGGCCCTTGCTCAAAAGCTTTCAATACGGTTTAATTCCAGGTCTGTTGGCATTGTTTATTATGAACTCTTTATTCCTTATATGGGATTTCCATAAAAGTTAGCATTATCCTCTTATTATATACCTTGTTTATGATCCTAACTAATTTTATGTTTATGATTCTCTCATCAGATATCCACAGTGCCAGTTGATTGAAGTCAACGCTCATTCTCTATTCAGCAAATGGTTCTCTGAAAGTGGCAAGTTGGTAAGTGCTGACACAATCACACTGAATAAAGTATAGAAGGGTTGGTTTCGTAGGAATCATGTTTTGCTATTCACTTATCTGTTTGAACCATACAAGCTTTTCTGCTTACAAATTTAGTCTAGCTTTGGCCCTTAATCTTATCTTTTGATTAACTTAGATGCTCTTCTTTTGTACCTAATTTTGTGATCTCATTGATGCATTTTAAACCCCAAACCAAACAGATGGGGATGTATATATTGCAATTCCTTGTTCCCTATCCTCCTGGTGCCTGAGAGTTTTGAACTGCTAGAGCTTTATTCTTTTGGTTGAAGTAAATTGACGAACCTGTGATTTTATATTATTGCTTAGTTCAATCTTGACTTTTACATGCCCTAATGTCAGTGACATCTATTATACCATTTTAGGTCGCAAAGCTTTTCCAAAAGATTCAAGAAATGGTAGAGGAAGAGAACAATCTGGTATTTGTTTTGATTGGTGAGGTTTATTGTGATACTCAAAGTTTACAGATTCAATCTTCAGCTTCTTTCCCTTTTTTCTTGGGGGTCAAAGCATTGAAATGTTTATGTTGCAGATGAGGTTGAAAGCCTTGCTGCTGCCAGAAAAGCTGCTTTGTCTGGCTCTGAACCTTCAGACTCGATTCGTGTACTGCTACTATCGGCCACCTCCTTGTTTTTCATTTCTTTCATGAATAAGACTACTTAGACCAACTCATTATTATTTTCGTGGGATTGATTACAGGTTGTGAATGCACTATTAACTCAGATGGACAAATTGAAATCTTCACCGAATGTGATTGTTCTGACTACATCCAATATCACTGCTGCGATAGGTAACTGTTAAATCTATATCCTGGATTGGTAACAGTTCTTTTTTCTTTGCGACACTAGATAGGACTTCTATCAATTTTCGCCTTTTCTTGATTGCAGATATTGCATTTGTTGATCGAGCTGATATCAAAGCATATGTTGGCCCTCCCACTCTTGAAGCTCGTTACGAGATTCTGAGATCTTGTGTACAAGAACTTATACGAAGTGGAATAGTAGCAAATCACCAGGTTCTTAATGTTTATATCACGGAAGTGAAAAAGGAACTATTCAAATCTGCTGCATCTATTGTTTACACTTGCACTAACATGGAATCATCAAACTCTTCATCCTGTCATTTCCTCAGGATTATGATCTCAAGCTTCCAAACTTCTCAACACTGAGAGAAAAACTAGGGACAGCTGATGTGCAAGAAGCTCAAACATGGCCATTATTGTTGTATAAACAATTGCTTGAAGCTGCAGAGTCATGCGAGGTAAGAGAAGACCTTGTTCTGATTGCAATCAATTTTCTGTCAGGGACACGTTGCAGAGCAGGTAACCAACCAAGAGTCCTTCAGCTCATGAAAGAAATTTGTTGTTACTCTACAGGGATTGAGTGGAAGGTCCCTAAGAAAGCTTCCATTTCTCGCACACGCATCTCTTTCCAGTCCAGGCAGTTGTGATCCAACCAATTTCTTGTGCACAATGATAGATACGGCAAGAAGGGAGCACTCCGAATTACTGGGTTCTTGAGTCCTTGCGTCCATATATGTATATGATACAGGAAGCAAGTCTGCACATGTTCGAAAGGATACTCGTGTAACTTAGACAATGATAGTCATTGCAATTCGAAACGGAGATCAAACAAAGATCACGACGAGTTGTGTGCAGAGTGCTGCATTTTCTTTAGCTCTAGTATCTGTACGTTCTTACATCTCCATACCATATTATGGCACTACCAAAAAACAAGTATGCTTCTGATTTCCTGCATGTGAGAACTAGTGGATTCGGAAGACACAACAAAACTAATTTATAGTATGCTGTACATCACAACTTGAATACAGGGAGTTATGGTTTTGTCAGAGAATATTAGGCGACGTAAGGAGTAACCAAGAATCACTTGGAGTGGGTTTCTGTTTTAACAGTAAATCACCATACAAAGAACGCAATCAATGAGGCGAAGAAAACCCCATGCCATTGACACGTGATGATAATCTAGAAGACACTTGGTTGTGCAGTGACTAGGATCTTTTTGTTCATGAACTAGGATAAACTCTTTATAGCCCTAAGGGGTTGACTTGATAGTGGTATTTCTTGATGAATTCTCAAAATACACATGTTAAAAAAAAATTTTCAAAATACACATGTTATAAAAAAAATTCTCAAAATAGACATGTTTGGGCATCACCGCTGTTGTCAACCGCAGTGAATGCATTCACCGCGGGAGACCAACGGCCGCGGTGAATGCCTGACTTATTTTTTTTTATTCCATATAACTTTTCAAGATCTTTCAATATGTAACAAACTTCATCTAAAAAATTGTCGGTTGTTACCCGAACGAGTAATTTTTCGATTTTGCCAAACTTTGGAAGGACATAACTTTTAGATCCTCAATACGAACGTCGTAAAGTTTTTTAATGCGCATAACATTTTAAGAACTACAATTTTTACTAGGAAATAATTTTTTATAAAGAAATATTTTTAGGTATACTGGATTTTGGGAATAACTTAGCTTTTACTTTTCACAAATCCACATACTTTCCAAAATTATGGTTATAATCAAAGTTGTAGTACTTCAAAAGTTATGCAAAATCAAAAAAAGTTTCATGACATTCGGATTGTGGAGCACAAAGTTATGGACTTCCAAAGTTTGTCAAAATCAAAAAATTGCTCGTTCGGGGTAGCAAATGAATTTTTTTGGACTAAAGGCTTGTTGCACATTGAAAGATCTTGAAAAGTTATGTGGAATAAAAAAAAACATTCGCTACAATCGGATAACCGAGCGCAAAGTTACGTTTGTTTGAAGTTTCAGTGTTACGTCAGGCATTCACCGCGGCCGTCAACCACGGTGATGCATTCACCGCTTTGATATGCCACGGTGAATGCATTCATTGCGGTTGACAACAACGGGGATGCCCAAACATGTGTATTTTGAGAATTTTTTTTATAACGTGTGTATTTTGAGATTTTTTTTTTAAAACATGTTTATTTTTGAATTTTTTCCTCTCTTTATGCTCAAACCTCTCATCCTCCTCAGGAAGTATCTCGAGTTTCTCCCTCAGTTCTCCATAGCAATGATGTTTTGTAGCAATGGTATATCAGCATCTTCTGCTCTTAGAGCTTTTATCAAATCTCGAAAAAGCCGGTGGTGATTCTTTCTTTCAAAGGTGGTCATTCTTCTTAAAATTTGCTCATCATCTCCTTTCTTGCCTAACCAACTTTGGAATGCTCCTATGATCGTAGAAATAGCTTTGATGTCCTTCTTCTTTGGATTGTTTTTCCTGTGTTGCTGGGAAGACTCCCTTGAGTAACATTCAAAAAATTGCTGGCGAGAACAGTGGCGGGACGACTTTTGTGCTTTGGCGACGAACGGTAGCTCTCTTTGTGGTGCTTTGTTATGAGTCGGAGCTCCGCTAAGGCCTCCTCTCGGGTTTGAGATATGAGAGGGTTTCCACATTAAAGGCAAATGAAACCTGCAAACTCAAACTAGTACATTCTGCTTTGTTATCTCAAATTGGTTGTGGTAAAGCAACTGAAACGGCCACAAAGGTATGGAAGTGCAACGACAAAGAGAAATATACCCAGAGAAAGAGCCATAATCTGAAGATCACCTTCTGCCAACCAATAATCAAAGACACAATTGTAGTATGAGACTAGCAATTGTATACCAAAATAGAACATTGAAGACAAGTCACATTAAATCATCGCTAGAATTTCAATCTAAACTAAGCATCAGGGGAGAACTGCAAAAGAAGAACAAAGCTGCAAAAACAAAAAAATATATGGCATGGCATTCAGTGTTCTCCGGAAATTATCAAACTGACTTGCATACAGTAGATGATTTAGGAAGGAGATCGAAATCCTTAAGACAAAAATAGAATCAAATCCATTTCGGTCGTCTCTCAAAACTATCTTACTCAAGGATTTTCTGGATAACACCAGCTCCAACAGTCTTCCCTCCTTCTCTGATAGCAAACCTCATCCCTTGTTCACAAGCCACGGGCATAATGAGCTCCACCACCAACTTTACTCGATCACCGGGCATAACCATCTTCGACTCCTCATCCTTATCGTTCATGATAGACGAAACCTTCCCGGTGACATCGGTAGTTCTCATGTAGAACTGCGGCCTGTAACCTGCAAAAAAGGGCGAATGCCTCCCTCCTTCTTCCTTCTTCAACACATACACAATGGCCTCAAACTTAGTGTGCGGGGTAATAGACCCGGGTTTAGCCAACACCATCCCTCTCTGAATATCAGCCTTCTGCACACCTCTAAGCAACAGCCCAACATTATCCCCAGCCAAGGCCTCATCCAAAATCTTCTGGAACATCTCAACTCCTGTAACAGTGAAATTCCTGGTATCCTTCAAACCCACAAGATCAACTGTCTCACCAACCTTTACGGTTCCTCTTTCCACCCTGCCAGTGGCCACAGTGCCACGACCTGTGATGGAGAACACATCTTCCACAGCAAGCAAGAAAGGCAACTCAGTCTGCCGTTGTGGGATTGGAATGTACTCATCCACAGCATCCATGAGCTGATAGATTTTATCAACCCATTCGTTGTCCCCTCGTTTAATAGCTGGATTGGCCATCAAAGCTTCCAATGCCAAAAGAGCTGAACCCGAGATAATTGGGATATCGTCACCAGGGAACTCGTAAGATGACAACAACTCACGAACCTCCAATTCGACCAATTGGAGCAGCTCCTCGTCATCCACCTGGTCCTGCTTGTTCAAGAACACCACCATGTTGGGAACACCAACCTGCTTGGCGAGCAAGATGTGCTCTTTCGTCTGGGGCATGGGCCCGTCGGCGCCGGAGCAGACGAGGATGGCCCCGTCCATCTGTGCAGCGCCGGTAATCATGTTCTTGACGTAATCGGCGTGGCCGGGGCAGTCGACGTGGGCGTAGTGGCGGTTCTCGGTCTCGTACTCGACGGTGGCGGTGTTGATGGTGATACCGCGGGCTCTCTCCTCGGGTGCGGCGTCGATTTCGTCGTACTTCTTGGGGGCGCTGTTGCCCATGGAGGCGAGGGCCATGGTTAGGGCGGCGGTGAGGGTTGTCTTGCCGTGGTCGACGTGGCCAATTGTGCCGATGTTGAGATGGGGCTTCTTCCGCTCGAACTTTCCCCTCGCCGCCCGTACTGTGAATGAGGCTCCGCCGCGGCGGCGGGGGAGGGAGGTGGTTGTGGTAGTGGTGGGGAGGAAAGGGGAGATGAAGGAGGAGGAGAGGAGGGTCAATTTGGCTGGTTTCGAGGCGAAGTTGAAAGTAGGAATAGCGGCCGCAGAGGAGGGGGAAACGGCGGCTGGTGGGTAGACGGCGGCTAGCCTTGAGGAAGTGGAAGCTGTGACGGAGGCGGAGATTGCCATGGCGGAGAGGGGGCAGAGGAAGAGGAGATGGGAGAGAGTTGGGAGGGGATTGGGTTTGTTATCTGGTTGAGGATTGGGGGTTTTGTGGGTATTTGCTATCCACTCCACTCCAGTCCACCCTTTTAGACCTCAGTTCAGTCTACTACTCTCTCTCTCCATGTGGGTCGTGGGATCCAGTTGGCCCATGATACTTCCATTCAGATTCTGGTACGTGGATGAAGGAAGACCGTCAACTATTCCTTGTTTCTGCACTTCTCTATAGTCATATGAATATTAGGGGTGAAGGGGTGATAGTCGGGTCGGTTAGTGATTAACCGTTAATCCATAATGCGGTTAGCAGTTACCCATCAAGAAGAAAATCATTATCGTAAGCTGACCCGCTAAGACTTAGTGGTTAACGGTGACTGTCAATGCGGTTAGCGGTTATTTTAGCTGTTAATCGCCTACCCGCATGAAAGAGAAAATGTTGGTAGGTTTGTGGACTTGGAAAAAGGCATAATTGTCTTTTTCGAGAATGGACAAATGTAAGGGAAAACCCTAGCGACACACTTCTTTCTTCTTTTCACCCTCGTTTTCTCGCTTCTCATTTTTTTTTCCTGTACAAATATAACACAAATCTACTCCCTCTGTGACGCAACAAACAGAAGAAAACACAACTCTTATTCTCCTATACTCTCCAACAGTAGAATCTTAGCCGCCACCTCTTCTCATATACCCTACTCTCTTTTCTGTCCAAGTCAAATATAAGAGGAGGATTGAGGGTCGCGGCAACATCGATGTCATCCATCATCATTCTCTCTATTGATCATCCTCCCGTCAATCTCATGGGAAAGCCACAAGAGAGGGTCCTTAGCATGACAACAAGCTATTTGTGGTTCGCGACACAGCCTCTTTGATCGCATCCATTTTTTATTTGAGCCAAGAAGACAAACATATTGGAGTCTGTGAGTGCAGAGTGGTTAAGGGAAGTTGTTTCCTTCGTTGAGTGTGACATTTTTCCTATTTTGAGTGGTTGATCCTTATCATCAGTTATTTATAGGTTAATCATTAACAGTCGGTTATTAACCGTTTATAACTTGGTAACCTGATAAGGAATTTTGAGTTTCCGTTAAACGACCCGCATTCTCCTTAGCGGTTAATAGTTACACCGTTAATCGTATGTTAGCGGTGCGGCTAGCTGTTAAATCGTTAGCGGTGCAGCTAGCAGTTAAATCGTTAGGGGCATAACCGTTTATCACCCCTAGTGAATATCAATGCGGCTAATTCTCAATTCTCAACCCAAATTTACAATTAGAAAAAGCCAATTTTACATGTAATTTATGTACTTGTTCATTTTCAATTTTAAATTGAAACTCCAACCAAGCAATCTATCCTACCCTATTTCTTTAACAATTCCTATTTAATACACTAATTTTTTTTTTACCTTTTTGCCCTAAACAATACCAAATTTACAATTTTCCCATAACCCGAATTTAATATAAACCTAAAAAATGCTCGCCTTTATACTCGGCACCCGCTGCCTCCCTCTCTATTGAACACCCAAATCAAAACCATCTCTCGCCTCTCTGTTGCGCCTTCCCTCCCCTCTTGGTTGTTGTCGTCATCGAGTTCCCTCCCCTTATATGTTGTTGCTCGCCGTTGCCAATGTAGGAGGAAGGAAGAGAAGAAATCCAATGCTCGAGTTCCCTGCCTCTTTGTCATCGCATCTGGAGAAAGAAGAAAAAGAACACCGTCCATGAGGAGGAGGTAGAAGAACGACGACGACCCATCGAGGAAAAAGAAGAAGGACGTCTGCCTCAAACCACCTTCGTTGCCCTTGTTCTCTGTTGTAGCTGATCAGGAGAAGGAAGGAACACGTCGTTGTCCAGCCAGGAAAAACTTGTTTTTGTTTAGGGTTATGATAGTGGGACGGGTTGGTGCTATTCTTGCTGAAATTATTCATCACTTGGTGGTTCGCTCAGGGTTTAGTGTTCGATTTGTAGGTCGGCGTAGTAATAGGGTAGCCTACTTGGTGACTCGTAAGGCCTTCTCTTTATACCCAACTGCAAGTCGTTTCTTTGATTTTCAGGCCTGACTGCTCTCCAGAATGTAACTATCTTTTGTTTCGATCAATGAAGATAATCTTTTGTAAAAAGAAAATGATAGTGGGACGGGTTGAAAATCCATCACCAGCGAGAATGTGATGAGTTTTCGACCTATCCCAACCCTCACATTGACGGATTTTTAAGCCGTCAATGATCATCCGACAACGGGTAGACAATTCATTTGAACCCCATCTTAGTCGGGTAAGCGACCCATCCTTACCTAGTTAGTTTGTATATTTGACTCGACCATTCTCTGTTTGGTTAGGTATCTATCCCGTTCCGACCCAGTTCGATTTTGTTTCTGCGAGGTTTTTTGTAAGTGAAATTTTTTGCATTATTATTTGTAGTATGTTAACTGTGCAAAGTTTATTTTTATAATTGTGCTTTACATATAATTAGTTTAGAAAATATTTTTGTAGTATTATCAGTATGTGAATTACATGTATGATAATGATTAGTATGTGTAATTAAGAAGAGATTGGGACATATGATCTCAGCTGGAATGGATGGAGGAGCATGGAAACCGATCAAGCTGTCTAGTCAAGGGCCCACGTTGTCCCACCTGTTCTTCGCCGCCGACTTGATATTATTTAGGACCATGTACAGGTTATAACGCAGTACATGGAAGAATTCACGGCAGCTTCCGGTCAGCAAGTCAACATACAGAAGCTGAGAGTCTTCTTCTCCACAAATGTTTCGGCCGCTGAAAAGGGAGAGCTGAGCAGTGCCCTTACTATTCAGGAGGTGAAGAATTTGTGACGCCAATACAGGATAAATGCCACATTTGGTTACTGAGATTACTAAGGGGTCGTTTGGATGTGGAAATTTGAAAACGTTGGAATTTGTCTGAATTTCCATGTTTTACAAAACCAAGGAATTGACTTGTGGAAATTGAAAAAAATTTCACGTTTGGATAGGGTTTAGTTTTGTGGGAATTGATGGTGTGGGATTTGGAAAAAGAAGTAAGAAAACGTGGTAATGTCAAATTACTAGGGGGAGGTGTAGTATTCTCAATTACCATGAATGTGGTAATTGAAGCCAATTTCCATGGTCCAATTCCCATACCCTTTTTGCTCTCCCAAACGTGGGTTTTAAACCCAATTACTGCGTTATGTGGTATTTGGGTCCAATTACTGCATTGCATTTCCACGTCCAAACGACCCCTAAATCGTATCATATTTAGTCACTAAAAAAATTTAATATTAATTTTGGTCACTCGAATTACTAAAACAGATCACATTTGGTCACTCTCCTGTAGTCTCTGTCCAACTCCGATCACTCGAATTATTGAAACATGTCACATTTAGTCACTCGAATTGCTGAAACATGTCACATTTTCAGTAATTCGAGTGACCAAAATTGATATTAAATTTTTCTAGCGATTAAACATGACACGATTTAGTAATCTCAGTGACCAAATGTGGCACTTACCCCCGCCAATACATGAAAGGGTATCAAATGTAACATTCTCGGAACTCACATATATATGGTTCAGGCTAGCGTACGTCAGTCGTACATTGTACGCCCGTCGAGTTTTACTATTTAGAGAACGAATTAACCGAAATTTTGAACATGATACTATACCTTAACCTCTAATGGGTGAACCCCAGTCCCTAATTCTGTAACCCAAGTCACAAGATTCATTTAATCTAAAAAAAAATCACCGATGGTTCTTATTCGACGAAATATATTGAAGTGTAAAAACCAAGTGTGAACATAGGCATACAACTTACGACTGCCGTACGCTAGCCTTTGCCATATAGGATGGTTCAGGCTAGCGTACGTCAGTCGTACATTGTACGCCCGTCGAGTTTTACTATTTAGAGAACGAATTAACCGAAATTTTGAACATGATACTATACCTTAACCTCTAATGGGTGAACCCCAGTCCCTAATTCTGTAACCCAAGTCACAAGATTCATTTAATCTAAAAAAAAATCACCGATGGTTCTTATTCGACGAAATATATTGAAGTGTAAAAACCAAGTGTGAACATAGGCATACAACTTACGACTGCCGTACGCTAGCCTTTGCCATATAGGATGGTTCAGGCTAGCGTACGTCAGTCGTACATTGTACGCCCGTCGAGTTTTACTATTTAGAGAACGAATTAACCGAAATTTTGAACATGATACTATACCTTAACCTCTAATGGGTGAACCCCAGTCCCTAATTCTGTAACCCAAGTCACAAGATTCATTTAATCTAAAAAAAAATCACCGATGGTTCTTATTCGACGAAATATATTGAAGTGTAAAAACCAAGTGTGAACATAGGCATACAACTTACGACTGCCGTACGCTAGCCTTTGCCATATAGGATGGTTCAGGCTATATATGGCGAGTTCAACTGTACCCCGGGTGAAATCCGAGATACCGCATACCTTGAGTATGAAGACACTATCTAGACCTTGAATTGACCGATCTTTCGGACATGATACTATACTCTAACACTTAAAGATCAAAATCTAGGTGTTAACTCTCCCAAATTATACTCCAAGATCAATTTAATTAGAAATAAAAATCGACGGTTATGATTCATCCAAATATAGGCACAAAAAGGAATGCACCATCTTAGGGTTTATAGATTATGATTTAGATAATCATGACCTAGGGTTCACTCATTAAGGGTTAGGGTATAATATCATACACAAAAAATCCTGGTAATTCGAGGTGTAGATAGAGTTTCCATACTCGAAGTATGCGGTACCCCGGATTTCACCAGGGGTACCATAGAAGCCACCATATATATATATATATAGACGGTTCTATCGTACCTTGGGTACCCTGAATAAAAGATGCTATCTAGACTTCGAATTGACCGGAGTTTGGCATCTGGTACTATTCCTAAACCTTTAAAGATTAAAATCTAGGTATTAATTCTATAAATCTCACATACTAAGATCAATTTAATCTGAAACAAAAATCGATGGCTATGATTCGTCGAAACATATGCAACAAATTACAAGCACAATCTTAGGGGCTAGGCTCTATGATTTAGAAAACTAAGACCTAGGGTTTACTCATCAACGGTTAGGGTATAGTACCATGCCCAAAAATCCGATTAATTCGAGTTCTAGATAGTGTATTCTTACTCAGGGTATATCGTACCCTGAATTTTCCCCAAGGTACGATAGAAGCCACCATATATATATATATATATATCCTCCATTAATATATGGTAGAGTTTTGTGTACTTTTCTCCATTTCAAATTTCCTGCAACGAGAGTGAAAGTAGGAAGGTCATTTTTGTCTTTACACATTTATCATTTATTTCATATAAAACGAGAGTGAAAGTAGGAAGGTCATTTTTGTCTTTACACATTTATCATTTATTTCATATAAAAATAGCAATATCAAGATTTGAACCCGGGTCTCTTCAAACAAAAATAACAATCACAACCAGTTACACTAACCAAATTTATTGAATCCTTTTTTATACAAAAAATAGACAAAGTTAATCTCTGAAAATCAGATGACTTTTTCATCATAATTAGCAAGCTCTCCTTAATTTTTGCTAAAGGTAAATGGGTAATTGGCTAACATGGAAGAAACTAATTATGTAACTACGTGTTGTATCCTTGCATTTTTCAATTTAAATTTAAATTTTTTGTTTTTTTTATCTTTGTTCTTTTCTCTTTCTAACTTCCTCCGAAATTTCATCCATCGTGCAATAGTTTGCGCCTTTTCACTTCCCAGTACAAGACTGTCATTGAAAATCAATCTTCAGGTATCTCTTGGCACTACGGTTTTATTGTTGGGGATTTTAAGCTGGGCGAGTAGAAGATTTCACCTCTGATATCAATTCATGGCGAATAGAATGGAGTTCATCAATAACTGAAGTTGTAGAAGGAGGATTAGAAATTGAATTTTTGGTTGAATATATGCCTCTTGAGATAGAAATTTGGTTGTACAACGGAGAGTGGTGGCTATTGGATCTTTAGGTTTATGGTTTTTGCAACTGTCACAACCTATTTCTATCTTAAAACGAGGAATCACTGATAGTCGGAACTAATAGATAAGGAGTGTCTAATTTTGTGCCTTATTACTTTGATCGAGTCTATTCGTATGTTGGAAATAACCCTGATTTTTTCGTTTGCTCTCAAGTTGTGATGGTCCCCTCTTAGCTGAGTTTTTAGTATATAGATGACTTGAATCAACAACTCTCCATTTCTTTTTGATTAGTGACATATTGTTTCTAAAAGAAGAGCATTGAACCCTTTATATAGGATTGTGAGGTTTAAGATTTAGTTTCAAACTATCTATGGGTTGTGTGAGAATTTCAGTGAGCTTTTATACTCTATATTTCTTGACTGTAAAAAAAAAAACTAACCAATAGCATTTTAACAGGGACTTTATTAGCATTATGAAAATGGGGTCAATGATACATTTTTATATTTTATATTCTTAAATGATTATGATATTTCTCCGAATGTTCGACCTATATATTATTTTTTTATGTATCATCTCGATCGAATGATTATCAATAAGATTAAACGGGTTAATAGACTTAAAAGCATGGTTCAGGAAACCTTACCGGATGTCATACCGGATTCGTTTGTGGTAGGGTATTTTATGGTACGACCGTGGTTCTACCGTTGTGTACCGGTAAAATATCGTTTTTGTAATAATAAAATATTTTTTTTTAAAAAATCGTACCGGCGAAATAAGAGTACCGTTGCGGAGTAAAACCGTAATATTACCGGATAACAAATCTAAATATCCTAATCAATCACATATGAAAAGTTGATACTTTGAAGATCATTCACTTCTAAAATTACACAAATCCCTTCTAAATTCATCTATTGGCTTACTAATTCTCTTGCATGCACAAATTCCTTATAAATCCATCATTTTTCTGTTCACTTCTAAAATTAGTTAAAAGTAACATAAAAATACAAATAATCACATTTTTCTGTTCACTTCTAAAATTAGTTAAAAGTAACATAAAAATACAAATAATCAAATATGAGCGTTCCGGCCAAAGGCCCGGGTTATAAGCTAGTATATATAGGGTCAGACTCGTGTGCTCCTGGAGCATACTATGCTCCATGTACTCATAGTGAGATATCTCTATCTAGACCATGAATTAAGCCAAGTTTGGGGTACGATACTATACCCTCACCTCAAATGGATAAACCCCAGGCACCGATTTTCTAATCTCAAACCCCAAGTTCAATTTAAGAGAAAAGAAGAGTTGACCGTTGAGATTGACCGGAGCTAATCCATGTAAATCTAACGGTCATATCATCTAGAGCATACTATGCTCCTGGAGCATACCAGTCGTCTCCATATATAAAATTGATTCAAGGCTAGCGGGTTGGAAGGTGAAGTCAGAGTGGATCACGCTCGCCCAGTTTATTCTTTCTTTGCTTCTTGTTTACACGACCTCTTTATTATTGACGACACATAGAAAGTACTATTAAATCTCCGTTAGTACGACTAGAAGAACCATGAATTTCACATTTATAGTGTCATAACCATTTGTGTTTAGGAATTGCAATAGAGCATGTCTCGGGCGAGTTTTTTGACACCCATACCTGCCCGTGGTAGGTCGGGTAATTTTTCACGAGGCGCGATTCATAGTATATCGAACCATATTGGTATATAATTTAAAAGGAAAACAATAGGATTTTTCTTTTTTCATTCAAAAACCAAGTAGCAAACTATAATATGATAAATTCAGATAAATTATTCAAGAAATTAATCTTCTCACCTATTAACAACTTCATTATAGCCAAACTATAAGGTAATACAAGTAAAATCCAAAGTAATTTGGCAAAACTTACATGAAGTTTAGAAAAAATGGGTCTTGAATGGGGTAGTTCAGGTTAAGTCGAGAAGAGTACCTATACTTTTTCAAAAATAGGTCAAACGAGTCGCGGGTAATAATAGATTGCCCGTATGCTCTCGGGTTGCATGGTCAGGGATACTCCTGCAAGAATAAGATAGTGTGTTTTTTGAAGCCGATGTTAATTGGCGGGCTTTGCACTATCTTGTTGAACGAATCACCATTATTGATTCAATTATCCACTATGTTTTGCAAAAAAAAAAAAAAAAATCAAATTAAATGATGACACTTATTGCACCATATTTATAAGATTAGCAGAGATTCATGTGAAATTTGTATGATCTTTGCATATTTTTCACATAAATTCGATAAAGATCAATCTTATAGATATCTGAATTGCAGGATGTTTCTCATATGATTATACCAACAGAACTTCTAAGCTTAGGGGCTCTATTTATCAATCTTATAGATATCTGAATTGCAGGATGTTTCTCATATGATTATACCAACAGAACTTCTAAGCTTAGGGGCTCTATACAAGGTCACAAATTACATGGAATATCAATTTAAGTCAAGATTAAACCTCCAAGGCAAAAAATGGTAACGCTCATTTTCATTCGACTTGACATGACAAATAAACTTAACAAAAACCAACGAACTATACATTTTAATCCAACCTTAATGTATGTTTCATATAGAAAAAGAAATTGAGCAAAAATTGGGAACCTTATATACAAGTTATACAGTGAGCCAACATTTCTTTACTTTTGTGCAAAAGGGAAAAATCACAAGAGATGAAACATATTTGGCAATCTTTTACCCTAACGTATGTTAATGCTTTCTCCTAACTTTTTGCATGAGCTGACAATTGCAATAAATCCTCCATATCCTTCTATTTATGCACATAATTGACTCTAAGTCTAATAATGTTGCTTAAGTACATTTCATCAAATTTATGCATAAATGCTCCATATTTTGCCTGGTGGTCGCTGTAGAGATCCTATGATCTTCATTTTTCCTTTTTCCAACATCACCCCTCCATCATGAGGAAGCCACGTCCAAAAATCCAAGCTAGCCTAATCACATCCACCATTTATAGTTGTTGCTCAATGCTAGACAAGACCACATCTAAAATTAGTTTCTCACATGTTGTTAGGGGTGGCTATACGGTCCGGTTCGGTTAAATTGGACCAAATTGATCCGGTCCCAGTCCGGTCTTTTCGGGAATATAAGGACCAAAGATTGGATTGGATACAGTCCGGTCTTGATTCGTTCCGGTCTTGACCCGGTTCAGTCCCAATTTTATCTTGATTTTAGGTGTTGGGGGTCTCTTATCTGGTCTTTATCCGGTTTTTTACATCAAATCTAAGCCCGAATATGAGATTGTATTGTTTGCTATCCGGTCCCAGTCCAGTCCCGATCCGAGTTATACGGTCCGGTTTCGGGTAAAACCAAACAGTCCGAGACCAAATAGCCGGCCCTACATGTTGTTGCTCCTAGGAATCCTGGATTTAGGTAGTTCTAAGGTACAAGTACTCAATATCTCCCTACGAATTCCAGGAGGGAATTCCCTTAAAAAGTCTAAGATAGCTCCTTCATGTTTTCTCTTTAGTTCGTCCAATTCCTCCTGCTGCTTTTGTAAGAAATACTTAAGTTTTTCACCCACTAGCTTAACATCTAATTCAACTGGAGTTGCAATCCCAACACTATCTTTATCTTTACTTTCTTTTTCATCATTTGCAGCTTCCCCAACAACCAATATTTCCTGTGACTCAATACCACTATCATGATGATTATGTTCATGACTAGAGTGAGAATCTTCATGATCAACTAAGTGAGATGGTTCAGATCTTTTCGGAGAGTTTAGTCCAATTCCCTTAGGAGAGTCAGACCAGTATTTTCTCCCCGAAGGCAATCTTTCCAGCGCAAGAGCACCTGAGCAAGTTGATTCATTAGAAAAGGGAGAACCATCACCCATATTTTCATCATCCTTGTTTTCATTGTCAACGGTGTGTGAATCTATGATGTCTTCAACCTCATCATTTGGCTCAGTTGCCCAGTTTGGAATATGTGATCGAATTTCTGTATCGATCATTTCAGAAATCATCGATACATCTTGATCGGTTAAGTCCAACTCCTCAACCATTTCACTTGCAACAGCAATAGCCGTGTCCACTTCAATATCAAAAGGGAAGTGTATATTGCGAAAATGACCTAGAAACCAAAAAGTATATATATATTTATTCAGAAAATTATAAATTCGGACGAATCATACAAAAGAAAAATATAATGTAGAACAAAAAAAAAATTATAAGAAAGGGGCAAAGAGAACCTGTAGAGTCCGCAATTCTTAACTTCAAGAATATTGTATTGACATCTTTTCTCTGACCTTGTACAATGAAGTCTCTAGTTTGATCCCTTGAACAATACCCTCCAATTCTTAAGAAATCGGTGTGATCGATACCTCCACTCCCACATTCTTGTAAATGGAAAAAAATAAGACATTTATTTTATTGAAACATGAAGGACTAATATAGTTAAAAAGTCCATCTATCTTGTATTATTGCTTCAAGTTCCTCCAACAGTAACTTAATGAGAAACCATCATAAATTATTATCGACCACATGAATCATTATTTATATTTTGATATTTTCAAGTTGTTATGCAATTTTTAAAGTTATCATCCAAAATGAATTAATTAATGAATTTGCCAAATTTGTACCCTTAGGTAGGAGAATGTCGAAGAAACATTAGAGAGAAATATGCAAAAAGGACGGGAAGGACTTAAAACATATTATAAACCTTGCCAAGATGATATTTAGAGGTAAAGTGAAAGTACCTGAATGGGTAGCACTTGGTGGTAAACCCTGTCCTATAGATTCAATTTCTTCATCTCGTAGAAGAAATGGATCGATCAAGAGTTCTCTAGCAGACAATCGATCCGAGACACTTGCTATACACTTTTGAATGAATTCTTTCACGTTATGATCTTTTACCTTTGCCAATGATGCTGGTTTAATACCCTAAAAACAATCAATTTAGTAGATCAATTAAAACACTAATAAAAAGTCATCAGATCCAAGGATAACCCTTGTGGATTCTAGACATATACTAGTAATATTTGGAAAATCTTAGACCCTATAGTCGGTCTAGGAGAGATCAATTGTACAAAAAGGTTTGATAAAAAGCAAGTAATGTTGTACAAAAATGGTTGATGTAATTGAGCGAAGAGGCGATAAAAATAAATGAGAAATATACAAATGAACCCTTACCGATGTCACTTTCTTATATATTTGAGCGGCATTTGAGCATTCGACGTATGGATACTCAAAGGTAACTAGCTCCAACAAGCACATGCCAAATGCATAGATATCGACAAGCTCATTGTATTCCTCCTCATAAAGTTCAGGCGCCATGAACTCAGGGGTACCTAAAGCCAGACAAGTGATGAGTAATAACTAGAAATAACTAGGGGTGGCTATACGGTTCGGTCCGGTTAAATTGGACCAAATTGATTCGGTCACAGTCCGGTCTTTTCGGGAATATAAGGACCAAAGATTGGATTGGATACACTCCGGTCTTGATCCGGTCCGGTCTTAACCCGGTCCGATCCCAATTTGATTTTGATTTTGATTTTAGATTGAGCTTGTGGGGATTTGAGTATTGGGGTCTCTTATCCGGTCTTTATCCGGGTTGTTTTACCTCAAATCTAAGCCCGAATATGAAATTGGATTGTTTGCTATCCGGTCCTAGTCCGGTCTCGGTCCGGGTTATACGGTCCGGTTTCGGGTAAAACCAAACAGTCCTTGACCAAATTGCCGTCCTAGAAATAACCATAATATTCCATTCCCAGAGCAAATAGAAAATTTTATAGCATGGTTCTCACCAATAACACTATGAGCAGCACGAGCCTGCTGAAGAATAGCAGCCAAACCCAAGTCTCCTATCTTCACTTCACCTTGGTTCCCATTAACAAATATGTTGTCACATTTCAAATCCCTATGAATAACTGGTGGGTCGTGACTGTGAAGATATAAAAGTCCTTCTAAAATCTGTCTGGACCATTTCTTCAATGCTCTTACATCCACATGTTTGTGTTTCTTGCGATACCTAATTGACCAAATTAAAAAAAATACCTAAAAAATCAAAAGTAAAATCCACGTCGATAACTTCTCGAGGTGGAAATTAGGATTCAAAAAGAGCTTACTGTCGTAAAGTTCCAGAAGTGAAAATCTCAGTGATGAAGTTGATGTTCTCGCTTTTGGTATCGACCCACGAATTGTAAAACTTGATGATGTTCTTATGCTTCAATGTCTTGAGCAAATGAACTTCGGAATATAAGCGCTCCAAATCCACAGAGTTACGCAAAAGATCTGCCACCTTCACTTGATTCCAAGCTACCTCTATCCCTTCCAATTCATCAAATGCTCTATATCTGATTTCTCCCTCAAGAGCTAAGTTAGGGCATAAAACCTCGAAATTCCACAATTTGAGCTAAATACAATAATCTTTTGAAATATAGATTATTAAATAGAGCCACGACAATAATTATCAGACAAAAAGGATACACTTTTTTGAAAGCACCTTTTCCTAGAATCTCTTTGTACTGCCAACAAGAAGAAACCAACAATTTCAACTGGTTGTTAACCAAGAAATTAGCAAATCCAGTTGGAATAGGATCAAAAGACCTAAAATTGGATTTTAAAAGAGTAAATCATAACCAATGAGAATGATAAAAACATTAGAAATTATATTTGGGAGGAGAAAGCAAGAATGCATAATTGGGAGGAGATAACAAGAATGCATACAAACCCGACCATAGCGACCGGTGGGATCAATTTCCACGAAATCGGCATCAGAATCGTCAAGGTCTTGCTCAGAGGACGATTCCTGTGGCATCCTCTGGGCGCGAGGTCTCTATACGCGAGCCAAATCACCACAAGTCGATGAAATTTCAAACAAGAATAATATATGTGATTCGATATTGATATGATATAATTCTAAAGAACAAAATTTTGGAAAAACATATCAGAAATGGGGTTGGGATTTAGGAGACAATAACGGGATCAACGAATGAAGAAAAATGGTAAATGGAAAAATGGGGCAAGAAAAGAGGAGAAATGGGGATGTGGGAATGAGAAAGGGCGTCAATCATAGTTTGTATGTTGATTGAAATGAGAAGAAATCATATAATTTATTCCTCAAGAGGGGACACAAATGCCCAACTGATGGATTTGAAGATGATTTTGAAGGGTCATTGGGTTTTTACTAATGGATGGGGGAAAGGCTAGGCCGGAGACCTATCTTGATTCCAAACTTCATCCAACCATAAAAAAAATAATATCCTAATAAAAACTCAAAGGTAAAAATGGTCCGTAAACTATTTTTTTGCCATATGAATCCATGAACTTTTTATGGGTTAGTCAAGTTCCTAACTATTGCAAGTCGATCTACAATTTACCAAACCTTTTATAGGTGGATTCAACAAAAATATTGCACTCATGTGGTCCTCATGTGACAATATTAGTATCATATATTAAGTAAAACAATGTTTAAGGGGAAACTATAATATTTGAGGTTTACAATTCAAATTTTCCGAGTTTCAAATGCTTCAATAAGTCAAAGTGGATAAAGAAATGTTGGAATGGCGTAAACTTTTCATAGGATGAGCTATTTAAAAATATTATATTATACTTTTTATCGCTAATTTTGCATTATTTTGTCCAATGAACCTAAAAAGATATTTCTAGGCAATCTAGAAAATCGCCTTGAATTTGTTCTCCAAACCAAGCCAATTGCTTCCAGACCTATAAATTGTTTGTTATGCTTATGTACATCTGCTCTTTGAACTCTTAAAGACTCCAATATGTGGCGATCTCCTAAGGTCCCACTGAATATTGGACTTAAACCACGACATACCCAAATCGGTGGGTTTTGGGAACCTGCCAATTTCATGGGTAAAACCCACCAATTTTGTATATATCCATAACTAAAAAATATGAGGATCTGGGAACTTAGTGGGTTTTGGGAGATTAAGTTGTGGTTTGCTAACTCATCAATTTCGTGCTACAGCTCCCAAATGCGTAACTGTAATGATCTATGAGTTAGGGTATGAGTTTGTAATTGTGACGGGCGCACAGATGTATAAAAGAGACACTCCAGAACACTAAGGAGTCGTTTGGAAGTTGCGATAGTTTTGTTGAGATTATCATTATGCATGTATTGTTTACAATGTATCTTTTTTTGTTTTTTTTAGCAGAAACAATACATGGATTGTTTCTGTGATGTGACAGAAACTATCACTCATTTTGAGTGGTGGTTATATCTCAACTTTTAGTTGTGATTGTTGAGTTGAGATTGTTTTGTCTCAGCTTTTAGCTGATGCGACATATACAATCACACATACCAAACGTTGTATTCTACAATGCATCAAATTCGACAATACATGTAATGAATCATTATAATATAAATGCATGTATTGATACAATGGATGCATTTTAACAATACATTGTTTGGTTGTTGAGATTCTACTTTATACATAAAGTTACTTTTATGGGGAAATGTCATATTTACCCTCAACTTTTAATATAAGACAAAATCTTTTAGGGATATAAATGGATAGAAAAAGTTTACACAAATCTAAAAGCAACAATCACAACAATCTCAACTAAAAGTTGAGATTGTACAATGCATCATTTTTTGCGATTGTTGGTGGGACCTACCTATTTTTTTGTGATTGTACAATGCAACAATCACAACTTCCAAACGACCCCGTATAATATTATACATGCATTCTCAACAATACATGCTCCTCATGGGTGAAAATGAGTTCAAGCAAATCCTTCCTCCAGGTTCGAGATTCCTGATCTATCAAAGTAGAAACCTTAGCATCCCATTCCATGAATGGGCTGTAGGAGTAGACTTGAAAATTATCTAGATCTGGGATCCATTTGTCCTCCCAAATTCTCACCTCCTCCCAAGAGCCAATTTTCTATCTGCAACCATACTTCAATAAGTCTTGTGCCACCATCAGACTCCTCCAAATGTACATTGGACACCCATGACGAGATTCAAGATCCATCAATAAGAGGAAAAAAATAGAAAACAAGGTATATTGTGTATAAACTCTAGTCATTTTGATTATTTGTGTTATTGATAGGTTTAAGTATTTACTTTTCTAATGGTTCACAAATAATTTTTATATCTTTCAATTACAAGTATCTTTTTTTTAACAAACAATTGGATTCCATTAAACTCAATCACGGGCCTCACTGGCAACTACATCAGCTAATAAAGCAGATTCACAATCATCCCATACATATTCTCCACTTTAAGGTGGGGTAGTGTGAGCCACCCAATGAGCCACCCAATGAGCAACAACATTTGCTTCTCTAAAAGTGAAGTTCCATCCTATCACATTCACCATACTTCCTATCTCTTTGATGTCCTTACAAACATTACTGATTTTTGTTCTACACTCTATCCCTCCCTTTAGCAGATCCACAATCTTCTTGCAATCTGTCTCTACCACAACAGTGCCAAAACCCCTTTCCAATATTTTATGAAGACCAAAAAGGATAGCCTTCCCTTCTGCTACAATAGTTGGCCACTTGATCTTTTCACTCTTATTTGCATATAATATCACTCTCCCATTCCAGTCTCTCAGAACACAACCCATAGCAGCTTCCTCTCTACCATTTATCCCAGCATCAGCATTCAATTTATATACTCCCACCGCGGACTTCTCCCACCTGCAATTTCTACTATCCCTACTCCTACAAACTGTCCTGCTCTTCCCCTGCACCTCTAGAAAGTCCTGAATGTAGCTGTCCGCCTTAGAGAAGACCTCCCATTCCTGCAAGATCTTATTATTAAAGAGAAAGTTGTTCCTCTCCTTCAAAAAGAACCAAATGAGGGAACAAAACCTCTCTAAATCATGTTCTGCAGCTTTCTTTAGGACTCGATACAACTAGCCTTTACAATCCATCCCATCAACCATATAGAACAGATAAGCTAAAGGAGATTTAGCCCATATACGAGCAACCCAACTACAGTCAACCAAATAGTGTTTCAAAGTTTCCTTCAGCCCCACAATTTGGGCATTCATCACCAGCATACCTCACCTTCTTACTTACTCTTACCCCAACTGGCAATATATTGTGTGCAGCTTTCCACATAAAAGTTTTCAACTTGCCTGGTAGATTAAGCTTCCAAAGCTTCTTCCAAGCAAAATCAGATTCCTCATTACTCCCAGTATCCCTTCCATCTCCCCCTCTCACTCTCTTGCTTTCCACCAGGTATCTCGATTTCACAGAATACTTCCCACTTTCGTCTCTAGACCAAAACAACACATCTTTCTCAATTCTAGATGACAATTGTATTGCCAGAATGGCTTTTTGCTCCTCAGGGTTGAAAATGAGTTCAAGCAAATCCTTCCTCCAGGTTCGAGATTCCTGATCTATCAAAGTAGAAACCTTAGCATCCCATTCCATGAATGGGCTGTAGGAGTAGACTTGAAAATTATCTAAACCTGGGATCCATTTGTCCTCCCAAATTCTCACCTCCTCCCAAGAGCCAATTTTCCATCTGCAACCATACTTCAATAAGTCTTGTGCCCCCATCAGCCTCCTCCAAATGTACATTGGACACCCATGACGTGATTCAAGATCCATCAATAAGAGGAAAAAAATAGAAAACAAGGTATATTGTGTATAAACTCTAGTCATTTTGATTATTTGAGTTATTGATAGGTTTAAGAATTTACTTTTCTAATTGTTCACAAATAATTTTTATATCTTTCAATTACACGTATCTTTTTTTTTAAACTCAATCACGGGCCTCACTGGCAACTACATCAGCTAATAAAGCAGATTCACAATCATCCCATACATATTCTTCACTTTAAGGTGGGGTAGTGTGAGCCACCCAATGAGCAACAACATTTGCTTCTCTAAAAGTGAACTTCCATCCTATCACATTCACCATACTTCCTATCTCTTTGATGTCCTTACAAACATTAGTGATTACTGTTCTACACTCTGTCCCTCCCTTTAGCATATCCACAATCTTCTTGCAATCTGTCTCTACCACAACAGGGCCAAAACCCCTTTCCAATATTTTATGAAGACCAAAAAGGATAGCCTTCCCTTCTGCTATAGTAGTTGGCCACTTGATCTTTTCACTCTTATTTGCATAAAACATCACTCTCCCATTCCAATCTCTCAGAACACAACCCATAGCAGCTTCCTCTCTACCATTTATCCCAACATCAGCATTCAATTTATATACTCCCACCTGCAATTTCTCCTATCCCTACTCCTGCAAACTGTCATGCTCTTCCCCTTCACCTCTAGAAAGTCCTGAATGTAGCTGTCCGCCTTAGAGAAGACCTCCCATTCCTGCAAGATCTTATTATTAAAGAGAAAGTTGTTTCTCTCCTTCCAAAAGAACCAAATGAGGGAACAAAAAATCTCTAAATCATGTTCTGCAGCTTTCTTTAGGACTCGATACAACCAGCCTTTACAATCCATCCCATCAGCCATATAGAACAGATAAGCTAAAGGAGTTTTAGCCCATATACGAGCAACCCAACTACAGTCAACCAAACAGTGTTTCAAAGTTTCCTTCAGCCCCACAATTTGGGCATTCATCACCAGCATACCTCACCTTCTTACTTACTCTTACCCCAACTGGCAATATATTGTTTGCGGCTTTCCATATAAAAGTTTTCAACTTGCCTGGTAGATTAAGCTTCCAAAGCTTCTTCCAAGCAAAATCAGATTCCTCATTACTCCTAGTATCCCTTCCATCTCCCCCTCTCACTCTCTTGCTTTCCACCAGGTATCCCGATTTCACAGAATACTTCCCACTCTCGTCTCCAGACCAACACAACACATCTTTCTCAATTCTAGATGACAATGGTATTGCTAGAATGGCTTGCTGCTTCTCATGGGTGAAAATGATTTCAAGCAAATCCTTCCTCCATGTTCGAGATTCCTGATCTATCAAAGAAGAATCCTTAGCATCCCATTCCATGAATGGGCTGTAGGAGTAGACTTGAAAATTATCTAGTCCTGGGATCCATTTGTCCTTCCAAATTCTCACCTCCTCCCAAGAGCCAATTTTCCATCTCAACCATACTTCAATAAGTCTTGTGCCCCCATCAGACTCCTCCAAATGTAGCTCGGCCTCCATCCTACCTTTGCTTCTAATATTGAGCACCTTGGATGGTATCTTGCTTTGATCAGCCTAGCCACCAAAGATGAAGGCCTTACATGTAAGTTCCAAAGTTGCTTAGCCAACATTGCCTTGTTAAAAATTCTGAGGTCTCTGAACCCCATCCCACCATCTTCCTTCTTCCTGCACAACTTCTTCCATCTCTTCTAGTGAATCCTTCTTTCTGATCCCTTCTGCCCCACCAATAATTTGCCATTAGACTGTGCAGATCGTCGATTATACCATCTGGTATTTTGAAGAGAGACATAGCATACGTAGCTTGCGCTTGGGCTATACTCTTAATTAGAACTTCCTTCCCTGCATCTGAAAAGAATCTATTCTTCCAGTTATTTAACTTGCTTCTAACTCTTTCCCTCAGGCTATTGAAAACAACCTTTTTTGATCGGCCAATCATAGTAGGCAAACCCAAATACTTTGCCAATCTATCCACTTCTTTAACTTTCAGCTCTCTGCAGATTTCCACCCGTCGTTCAGCAGTGACATTAGCACTATAATATACTTCCGATTTGTCCAAATTCACCACCTGACCTGATTCTTGCTCATATACATCCAACAAATCTCTCATCCTTCTTCCTTCCTCCACATGTTCCCTTGCAAACATGATACAGTCATCAGCAACCAAAAGGTGTGAAATAATAGGTGCCTTATTACATACTTTAATACCATGAATCATCTTTTCCTTTTCATACTTGTTAATCAATGCAGACAAACCCTCCGAGCACAATAGAAAGAGGTATGGGGAAATGAGATCTCCTTGCCTTAAGCCCCTGCTTGGTTTGAAAAATTGCGACTTATGGCCATTAACCAAAACTACATATGAGACAGTGGTAACACAATTCATTGTCAGATTAATCAATCTATCATCAAAGCCTAGCTTCCTCATTATATTTTTAAGAAAAAACCACTCAACTGGATCATAGGCTTTTGCCATGTCGAGTTTAAGTGCCATAAAGCCTTTTTCACCTTTTGTTCACCTCTTCATAGCAGAGAAGCATTCAAAGGCAGTTATCACATTATCAATGATTGATCTCCCTGGCACAAAAGCACTCTGCGATTCACAAATTATATCATCAAGGACCTCTTTCAGCCTGTTCACAATAACTTTTGACATAATCTTATATTAAACCGAACATAGACTGATTGGCATGTAATCTTTTGGAGAGGAAGGAGTTTTACCTTTGGTATCAGCACTATTAGAGTTTTGTTCAGTTCTGCCGGAAACGAGCCTTGATGGAGGAAGGCAGTCAGCTCACTCGTAACTCTAGGAGCTAAAGTACTCCAATTCCTCTGAAAAAATAGTCCACGGAAACCATCATAACTCGGGGCTTTAGTTGCCCCCATTTGAAAAAGAGCCGCCATCACTTAAATTATTTGGTAATAGAAGATCACCAACAATTATTGCAAAACTAGATCACTTTGGTGGAACAAGTGTAGAGACATGAAAAGAAACATATTGCTAAAGTCATCTATGAAAGTCCACAATTTTCTCTAGGCACAAGCTAAGTAATAAAACTAATTTATATATATACTATTTCCATAGGTAACATGATCATTATGTTAGCATTTGTAAATATTACTACATCACGTCGATCTTAAAAAACACAAATGAACTAGCATTTACATCATTAATGAAACAAAACAAATGATTAGATGTCAAGAACAATCAACATAAAAAAATATTCAATTGAATCTGCCAAGGACTTCCCTTGCAAACTACCAATAATGCAGGGAATAGTATAACTCTGTGGGTCTTTTCGCTTCTCGGATAGTTTATTCTGGAGGATGGCAGGACACTCCTCATTCAGCATCATTATCAACATTTTCCCATGTTTCTTCTTATTAGTGAGGAGATTCTTCATAAACTTGGCATATTTGGGCATCTTTGGCTGTCTCCATGAACCATAGGTTGATGTGTACCTGCTTCGACATTGCTATAAATGGTCAATTCAGTCTCTAGTATATCCTTATCCATCCTAGTGGGGAAAATGAGTTGAGGGACATGCTCCTTCACCATGGGTTGTGGCTTGGAAGCAGACACCTCTTCTTCATACTCTACTTCATTGTCAGAGGCTGGAACTATATGAGTAGAATGCTCTTCCTCACTTCTTGCAAAAGCAGGAATATTAAAAGTCTTCTTCCCACTCTTAAGAGATATGGCCTTCAATTGGGCGAGGGGATCATGAGGATTAGGTATTGTGTTAGCATGAAAGGCACATTGGGGTCCGTTGGCAACAGTTTGAGCCACATTCCTGATCTAGGTGGATAAATACTGCAATATTGCTTGTTGGTGTCTCTTGCTAGCCTCAATCTCGAAGAATTTCCCAACACCTAAGTCCATGAATTGGTCAATCTTACTAAAATTCTGGATACTGGTGGTAATGCAGTTGGTAACTAGTTCCTCTATCTTCGACAACCTGTCAGGAGGAGGCTGTACAGGTGTTGCGGGACCTTGGAGCTGTTGCTGATGCTACGGGTAGCCACCACCTTGATTCTACTGTTGAAGCTGGTAGGGATGACGCTGCTGATACCCTGCAGCCTGTGCCTGAAATTGGGGTGGCTTAGGATTCATGGGGGCATCCCACAAGAAATTGGCATGTTGGCTCCACTTGGATTATAGGTGTTGCTATACATGTTGTTTCCTCGCCGACTATTTGAAATAAAATCCAGCTTCTCATGTTGGGTCGTGCTTTCCATCATGATATGGAAATCCTTCAAAACATGAATCGGGCTCTGATACCAGTCATACACCATCACCTATGTATTTCCTCCACCAGAAACGAGGTTGCTAGACCGCTTCATGGTTTGTACGAGCTCAGCTACTTGCTCCTATAGAGTCACCCCGGACTTTGCAGCATGGACACCCTTTGCCTTCAAGCTTCTTCCTCTTCTGAAAGTGCCCCATTCATATCCTTGGGTAGCCATGTTCTCGAACAACTGATTCATCTTAAGTGGGGTCTTGCTGAGCATACCTCATAGGTAGAAAGAGTCAATGAGCTTCATTCCCTCTTTACAAATGGCCCATAGAAGTTTCCCTCAAGGTATGGGTCATCGAAGCCATGACGAAGAAACTTTAGGAGGAGGCCAGTGAACCTCTCCCTGGCATCCCAGAGAGACTCGTCCTCATCCTGCTTAAAGCGAGTGATCTCCTTTTGAAGGGCGGCAATCTTGGATGGGGGAAAATAATGAATATTATGGTTTGTTTCTTGGTGAAAATAATGAATATTTCTAATGTTTTGCATATAAATTACATACTCATTGGGCCGACCTTCTCTGACCCCTGCCTCATGATAGACTACCCAAGATGAACCCGACCAATGGCGCGATGGGTATGAGTATCGAGATACCTCCCTCGGACCTACCCATTGACATTCCTAGGCCCCACCTGTAATCAAGGTACATCCTTAGCAAATTATCATATATTACAAGTTATCGTCAAGACTCAAACCGACGACCACAAAAGTCAAAGTGGATCGACGAGGTTTAGAGGAGGTTATCAATCGTTAGTTTTATTTTTAATGTTTAGACTTTAGTTTGAATTGTTATGTTTTATGTTTATTATGTCTCCAAATGCAAGTTTGCATATGTTGTCTTGTTGTGCAAAGTTTTTCTATTTAAACCAAAGGATGAATGTGAAAGACACAAGATTCTAAAGTGGGCTATCGACCTAGCTTCATCTGGAGGAGCAATATGGCTTCTAAAGATAAGATCAAGGATGGTTTTAGATGGCGTGTTGGTGATGGTGAGTCTATTCGAGTTTGGGATGATCCTTGGATCCCTGGAAAGAGCTATTTTTTTGCGGATCCACAGCCTATTGACATGGATGCAAGCGAACTCGTTTCAGCTCTCATTGATAAGGAGAGGGGTGTTTGGGACGAGAACATCATGAAAGAAAAATTCTCCAGCCTCGGCTATGGTCTAATTTCCAAAATTCCCCTTCGTAGCCTCTGGATCATGATACAAGGGTTAAATCGGCTTACAAGAAAATCCATGAGGATCAGACCCACAACTCGACTCATCTCAATTCTATCACAAATGAGGATTCAGATTTCTGGAAAGCCCTATGGAAGACCCCTATTCCTCCAAATGTTCGTATGTTCATCTGGAGAGTGGGAAGAAATATCTTACCAATTGGTTGTCATATTGAGGAGTGGATCGAGGAGGCCTGCCCGGATTGCCCTTTTGTGGGCTGCCTGAATCTCAAATTCATGCCCCGCGAGAGTGTAGTTGGATTCGCCGCCGATGGGAAACCTGGGAAGGAAAAGGTATGTATGAAATTGGGGAAGGAAAATCGTGCCTGGAGTGGATGAGGGAGATCTGAAAAAATTCAAATGTGGAACAGATCCAAAAATTCTATGTGGTTCTATGGTATCTATTGAAGGAGAGATGCAACACCTGAATAATAATAATCACAAGATAGATGAGGATCAAATTATTCCAAAAGCACCGGGATGGTTGCAAGCTTATCTGGAGGCCTAGGACCCTATCCCCTCGAGTAGTGTTGCATGTCCTCAACCGAGCAGATCAGGCGAATTAGGCGGTTGGATTCCCCCACCTGAGGGTGTCTTCAAGCTCAATTCTGATGTGGGTGTCTTCAACCAGACTAGAGTTGGCTTTGGGTGTGTGATCAGGGATTGGTGCAGAAGCTTCTATGGCGCAACGGCTAAGAAAGAAAGAGGGAATTGCAGACCCATTGAAGCCGAAGCAAAAGCTATTGTGATGGGGCTACGTGAAGCAAACAGAAGGGGATTCAGTCCTTTAATGGTGGAATCTGATTGCCAACTTATGATACGGAAATTGGAGAAGGAAGAGAGGGATTTTTCGAAGCTGGGAATTTGGTGCGAAGAGATTGTGAAATTGGCTAAGAGTAACGGGAACATTTCAGGGGTATCAGTGAGCTGGAAGTTCACGCCAAGGAAGAACAAAAAAACTGCACATTGGTTGGCTCACGCGATCTCGGGTTGGGATAGACATATTGTGTGGGTGGATAATCCCCCCTTGACTCTTCTTTATTTCATGGTGGCCGATATGGGCCATTTGGATTCTGGACCTTTTAATGAATGAATGAGAAGCCCACAGGTTCCCATAAAAAAATATTATAGGGTTTCATTTTCCACATCTCATGTCTTTCATTACAAATAGCAAGGATTTGGCATCAAGGCCAACATGATGGACAGTGGCAGATCCAGGGTGGCCATCCCCGGCTACAGCCCAACCCTCCTCTGGATTCGGAGCTAGTCTAGCCCTTATGAGTTGGTCGATTTTAGTAATTCAGCTCAGTTTTATTTTATAATAAAATTATGTGTAATTAGGAAAATAGGTAAGATGAACATCTTCAAATTACACTCTAAATTTAGCCTAGAAATTCTAGTTCCAATGATTCTCGTCTAAAGAAAAACAAACAATGAAATCTAAAATTCCAAAAGTCTAAAACGTAAAAAAACTAAAAGAAATATGAGGTTTATTCACTTTAAAAATCACTAGAGTAACTGGTGGAACGTGGAAATAAGAATGGACACACAAATACAAATTCATTAGTTAATTGATTTGTCTAGTGTTGACATTGCCCGTTTCAACAACTACTATGGAGAAAACCTTTTCAACAATGGAACATATGAAAACTAATTTGTACAACAAAATGAGTGATGAATTTCTCTCCGATCGTCAACTATTTTATTTGAAAGAGAGTAGTATGCTATTGGTATGGATGTAGACTCCATTATTGATGAATTCGCTAGATTAAAAGATCGACGTGTACAATTGATATTGTAAAAAAAATCATTTTTTTAACGATATCTAATTTTCTAATGAAATGCGGACCAGTGCTCTATTATGTACTAAATCCGCGGCTTATGGTGGAACAGCCAAGCTACCTGCCTCTGTTTCCACATTCGACCTCTCCTAACATTCATCACTGGCACCACTACATACGATGTCTCTACCTCGCCGCCGCCATCTTCCTTGCTCTTCCTCAACCTGTTCTCCATCAACCATGCATAGCAAATCGCTGCCCACCATTGAACTCGTACCTAAAATCCCATAATGCATTACAACCCTTGCCTATTCGATTAACCTTTTTTGCAAATTTCTCTTTTCTTTGGCTATAAGGGAGTTCCTTTTTTCTACATACAGTTTCAAGGTCCAGAGAGGATGATCTTGGCCTTCCCGTCAATATCTTTGTTCATAATCTGCTCAATCTTGGCCCTCTGCTTTTTCAAGAACCCATTCAAACTCATCTCTTGTTGCTCCTCTCCTAGTCCATCCTCCTGCCCGCTCAAATTGGGAGAGATTTTCTCGATGGAACAGGTGGATCTCGAGATTGACCTCTGGTGAGCAGACTCGACGAGATTCTTTGGTGGAGAAAGCACCTGACCGGTAGACTCTGGCAGCGGAGCCTGCTTGAACCTTCTAGGAATATCCTGCGGTAATGAAGCTTGAGGTGGCGGCAATGGAGGCTGCGAAGGCTTCGGTTCAGATCGGAAGCGAGCCTTCCTGTTGGTCGATTGGGGCGGAGGCAACAGAGGCGACCCTGAATCGTTATTACTGTTTGGTGATTGGTATTCAGGGGAAGACCCATTTGAAGTTGGGGGCTTGAGATTCTTGGAGATCCACTTGTGGACTTGTTGTGATGCAGGGGACGAGTCAACTACCGAGTCGGACCCGGTTGACCCGTTCCTGCTGTGCCTCGCGGATCTCGTTAGGATCTCTTCACTGAAACCTTCCGTTGCTCTGTTCCTGGCAAAAAAACAGGGGATTGGAAATTCGACAGAGATAGTCAATGTCCGCCGCGAGATCAATCAAACTATGTAAGGTAATGGAGATTTATGTGGCCATAACATTGATACCTTCTGGCGGATCGGGAAAGAGGGTCTCTCTTGTCAAGAATCGAGCCGGTCGAAAGTCTAGCGCTAGCAGGGGAGTCGCAGTGGGATAGAGAGGAAGCGACCATCCGCCTGGCCTCGTGCAGCCATTCCCGAGTCAACTTGCTGCTGTCGCTCCTGATGCTGTCGTCGAATCCTCGCTCCTCGTCGTCGTCATTGTCTTCCCATCGGTGTCCGGTCAGGTTGTAAGGCTTCTTATGGGTATCGTTATGGAGTGTTCCGAATAACATGTCGTTCATGAAATCAGTCAGGTCAGGGGAAGGCATGCCAGCTGATTTGGTGTGCTCTGCCGCCGGCGCCGGTGGCTTCTTGTGGTGGCTGGTCATGGAGCTTCTGGCTGATCCACCGGTGAATCTCGCCCGATCCATTTTGGGTGGAAAAATATGGGAGCAGGGGGGAAGAGAACTAAACAAGGGTGTGGGGATGGGAGAGTTTTGTGAATGAAGGAAACCGTATGGCGGTGTCATTGGGATTGTCGCGGGGGTCTGAGTTCAATGATCGGCCGGCGAATTGGCCTGCCGTTCTGTCTTGTTGTGAGGATCAACTTGGCTCTGCCTTCCCTCTCCTATTTTAGAATATCTTCTATACTCGGACGTTCCTGCAATCGGTATATTTGGCATTAGAGATCGTTTTCGGAAAAAACGAAAAGAATTAGTTATAGCAAAGTAGTAAAGTTCATGGGCCATTGTTGTGTTTTTTATAAGGCTAAATACACCTGTATAGTCATAAATTCGCACTTTGTGACAACAGTAGCCAATTTTTTAAAAATACACAAATATAGCCATTCCGTCAAGAACTTTAACGGCATGCTGATTGGACTAAAGTTTTAGGCTGATGTGGCAAGTTTTCTTATCAACTTTGCCACGTTGGAATTGTTAGATTTTTTCTTCTAATTAACTGAAAAATATATAAAATTAAAAAATACAGTAAAGATGAAGGAAGAGAGTGACTTCTTTCCCTTCCTCCGAGACGTATATCTATGCCGCCAACACGTCGTTCTTGCCGAAACCCAGCTACTCTGTTTCCCTCCGCCGGAGTTCACCGTCACTGTCTTTCTCTTTTCATTTTGCTCGGATCTACGTTGATAATCTCAATCGACGATCACCTATGTCTTATTCTTTCCATCTCCACTTTCTCTCGTCTGCCACCTCTTCATCTCTCCGCACCACTTTCTCTGTAACCCTAACCTTGGTCCTTTTCCTCTTCATTCTCCAAAACTAGGTTTCTGGAATTAGAGCCTCTTATTACTCATCTGCTTGCTCTCACTAAATCATTGGAGGACTCTCAGTCCCTTGGCCCTTCCATTCAATCTCTTCTCCAATTGCTCTTTGTAGAAAACCAAAACGCGGAAGAACGAACAATCACAGAACACGATATTTACGTGGTATCCTCGTTCAGTATGAACGAGACTAATCCACGGAGAGCTTGAAAGCTCTCAGACTACTGATTTTATTATGACGATTTTATGATAGCGGCTACAATGAAGGGCCTACTATTTATACATCACTGGGCGGACATACCCTAGACTAGACGAGAAGCATATGCTTCTTGGACAAGGAATGGAATACGAGATACATAAGGAAGGAGGTAATCTGCCTGATCAACTCAAACAACTAAGGCAAATTACAATATGATTATTGACATATATATTCAACACTCCCCCTCAAGCAGAAGCATGGATATCGAACATGCCGAGCTTGGACAGAAGATGAGTGAACTGGTCTACACTGAGACCTTTGGTGAACATGTCAGCCTGTTGCTCAGCCGAAGAGATCTTGAGAGGTGAAATGTCTCGAGATAGAACTCGCTCACGGACAAAATAGCAATCCATTTCCACGTGCTTAGTCCGCTCATGAAAGACAGGATTGGCTGCAATGTGAAGAGCAGCCTGATTGTCGCAGTAAAGTGGTGTCGCCGTCTTCTGCTTGACTCCCAAGTCATCAAGTAACCAGCGAAGCCAGATGATCTCACTAACGGTGCTAGCCATAGCTCGATATTCAGCCTCGACAGAAGATCGAGCAACAACTGACTGCTTCTTCGTACGCCAGGAAACGGGAGATCGCCCGAGCTGAATAAAATAACCAGTCGTTGATCGTCGACTGGTGGGACAACCTCCCCAATCCGCATCACAATAAGCAACAAGATCCAATGAACTATCAGTAGCCAGAAAAATTCCTCGTCCTGGTGACTGCTTGAGATATCGCAGGATGCGATGAGCTGCATCCAGATGATCTTGCGTAGGGGCATGTACAACCTGACTCAGTAAGTTGACTGCATAGGCAATGTCTGGCCTAGTAACTGTGAGATATAGCAGGTGCCCTACAAGTCGTCGAAAAGCAGACGGATCATCAACCGGAGACGAGGGTGAACGTCCAAGACGATGATTTTGCTCAATAGGAGACTGACACGGCCGTGTCCCCTTGAAACCAGTATCAGCTAGTATGTCCAGAACATATTTTCGCTGATTTAGTACAACTCCCTTTGGCGACCGGGCAACTTCAATGCCCAAAAAATACTTCAATGGTCCCAAATCCTTAATGGTGAACTGATCATGTAGCGAGGCTTTTACTTGCTGAATTAAGGAAAGATCATTACCCGCCAATACTACATCATCAACATATATCAATGCCGCCACAAAGGAAGTGCCCGACCGATAGATGAACAAAGAGTGGTCGGCACGACTTTGAGAGAAATTCAGTGCCAAGAGTGCTTGGGAGAATTTTTCGTACCAATTACGTGAAGCTTGCTTGAGCTCGTAGATAGATTTGTGCAAACGACATACTCGAATATCTCCTTTCCGAGCAAATCCTTGAGGAACTTTCATGTAGACTTCTTCGTGCAAGTCCCCATGGAGGAAAGCATTGTTGACATCTAGTTGGTGAATGAACCACCCTTTGCTGACAGCCACAGCGAGAAGACAGCGAACAGTGACAAGTTTAGCGACAGGGGCAAAAGTATCATGATAGTCGAGTCCTTCTACCTGTGTAAAACCTTTCGCTACCAATCGCGCCTTAAATCTTTCAATAGAACCATCGGGGTTGTATTTGATTTTATAAACCCATTTACAATCAATCGTCCGTTTTCCCGGGGGTAAGAACACCAAACTCCACGTACCATTCGCTTCGAGAGTAGTGACTTCAGCTTGCATGGCGTCGCGCCACTGCTTGTACAGAACTGCCTCAAAGAAATTTCGAGGCTCTGAGATCTCATCAAGGCTCGCGAGGTAGGCTTTGTAGCTGGTGGATAGACGATCATATGTGATGTGTTTCTCGATGGGATAAAGAACAGAGGAGGCTGAGGGTTCTGTACGAGGGAGCGATCTGGGTAGCTCAACATCGTACCCATCAAAATGCCTGGGGAGATGTGGTTGCCGATTGCTACGTCGAGGAAGCTGGGGTAGCTCAAGTTGTGCCATTCCATCATCCTGCGCCTGGGTAGGTGTCCCTTGAGTGAGGTTAGGATCAGGTGATGTGGACCTGAGAGCAGATTGCTGTGAAGCAGATGCATGGGGAGATGCATGGCCAGAAGTGGTATGCTCTGTGGAGGGATCCACATCGACCGGTGTTTTCTTGAGGGATTCGTCAGGTTCCTCAAAATGAAGTGAGTTGAGGACGTCATGGGTGAGAAGGGAATCGTGCTCCTTCCATGCATTCTCATGCAAAGGTGAAGATAATAAATACTCACGTGAGACCTGGGAAGGTAAAGCTCGAAATGGGAATATATCTTCTAAGAAGGTGATGTCCCGAGATGTGGTGATCACTTTCGTAGCAAGATCGTAGACACGATATCCCCGCTGTGAGGCTGGATAGCCTATGAAGACACCTGCTCGACCTCGTGGATCAAACTTGCGAAGGCCATGATGATTATCCTTCACATACACAAGACACCCCAAGCTGCGCAGATGTGAATACGAAGGCGGTTTGCCGAGTAACAGCTGATAAGGAGTGTTATTTTGAACTGGAGTGAGAGGCATACGATTAATAAGATAGACTGCTGTAAGTACACACTCTCCCCAAAAACGAGATGGTAAGCCCGCGTGAAACATGAGAGCTCGAGCTGTGTCAAGCAGGTGACGATGTTTTCGTTCAACTACTCCATTTTGTTGAGGTGTGTCTGTACATGAAGTTTGTAAGATAATCCCATTTTCTTCATAGTAATCACGTAGAACAGCAGTATTAAACTCTGGACCATTGTCCGCCTGAATTCTACGAACCTTTATCTTATATTGAGTGACGACTTGATTGCAGAAAAGCAGGAGATAATGAGCAGCCTCAGACTTATATTTCAAGAGAAAAACCCATACGCATCTACTAAAATCATCCACGATCGTAAGGAAATAATGTGCACCGGTGAAAGATGCCTGACTGTAGCTTCCCCAAATATCAACGTGAATCAACTCAAAGCAAGATGTAGTTTTGATTGTACTCGACTGAAAAGGTGTCCTAGTCTTCTTGGCTCGCAGACAAGAGCTACAAGAATCATTATTCCTCACAATTTTATGATTCAAAGAAGATGATAAAATAGACAGTTTCTCAAAAGACGGATGACCCAGTCGCGAGTGCCACAACCTCGTGTCCCTACAAGCTTGAGTTGTAGAAAATGCCACCGGAGGACTCCCAACAATCAACTTCAAATGATATAGACCGTCAACATGTATCCCCGTTCCAATCAGCTTCCTGGAGCGTGAGTCCTGAATGACACAAAAATCATGGATGAAAACCAATGCCACTGAGAGATCTGTAGTTAGTCGACTGACAGATAGAAGGTTGCACTTGAAATCAGGAACGTATAGCACTCGATTGAGTACTAGGCCATTGTTTAATTTTGCCTTGCCGATTCCCTTTACCGGTACACCTTTAACATTGGGAATTTCGACCTGCAAACCATTGCTCGTGTCGAGCTCACCAACAAAAACAGATATATCTTTAGAGATATGTTCATTACATCCTGAGTCGATAACCCAAGAATTTTGCTCTGGATGGAAAGAAGAGGACATCGTACCTGCCATGTTGACCATAGGATCGGCTGTGGTTTTGGTTTCGGCCTTGAGGAAAGTCTTGAGCTGTTCAACACACAAGCATCGTCCGATCTCAACCCTAGCAGTCATGGGTCTAGGGGATGGCGATAAAGAGAAGGGCACCATGTCCGACGTTGCAAAGGATGGTCCAGATCCTTCTTCGCCATATTATCTTCATCCGTCGGATCAACCGGGGCAGGTTTTTGTTGGAGAATTGCTCACCGAATTGAACTATGGTGAGTGGGCATCTGATATGCGTCAAGCCCTTCTAGCAAAAAACAAGCTAGCTTTTGTTACCGGCAAACTCACCAAAGATGCAGAAGGGTGGCAATCGGATGCGTGGGAGCGATGTAATGCAATGGTCATGGGCTGGTTGAAAAATTCTATGTTACGAGAAGTAAGGTTGAGCGTCCGCTATGCCGAAACCGCGCAACAAATATGGTCCGATCTCAAAGAGCGCTTTGGCATGGGCAGCATGGCTCGTCTCTATCAACTTCGTCGATCCATTGCCCTTCATCAACAAGAAAAGGTCAGCGTTTCTGGGTTTTACACTAAATTGCGCAGTCTATGGGATGAAATTCAATCTACTGCGCCTATCCCTAAGTGTACTTGCGGCCATTGTACGTGTGGCATTGAAAAGCAAATGCGTGATGCTGAGGATAGCAATCGCTTATTCGACTTCTTAATTGGCCTTGATGACGTTTTCACTACTGTCCGGAGTCAAGTTCTATCTATGCGGCCAACTCCAACCCTTGGCGAAGCTTTTCAGATGGTGAGCAATGATGAACAACAGAGGCTCATCACTAGCAATCGCCGACCACAGGTGGAAGCAGCGGCCCTACAAACTCAACGGGATCCCGCGCCTACCGATAAGGGGGAGTCTCACCCTTGTACACCCGAGGGTAGGCCGTTTTGTACTCATTGTCAGAAGGCTGGTCACTTCAAAGACAGGTGCTATGAAATCATAGGATGGCCGTCCGAAACTACATCCACTCGTGACCAAGCATCGGGCCGAGGTGGACGTGGCAGGTCCGGGGCTCCTCAAGCAGCTCAAGTCGATATGAATGAAGTTTCCATCCCAGGACTCTCGGCAGCTCAAATTGAACTGCTCAAGACTTTCCTCAAGGCCGAAACCAAAACCACAGCCGATCCTATGGTCAACATGGCAGGTACGATGTCCTCTTCTTTCCATCCAGAGCAAAATTCTTGGGTTATCGACTCAGGATGTAATAAACATATCTCTAAAGATATATATGTTTTTGTTGGTGAGCTCGACACGAGCAATGGTTTGCAGATATATCTTCTCTTTTGCTCTTATTTTGTTCCTCGTCGGCGAAGAAAAAGAGGCCCAGATCTTCAATTGAGTTTTGGGTTTCTACGATTTGGGTTGTAGGTTTCTGAGTTTGGATTATTCTTCATCTAATGATTCTAGTTTTAGGGGTTTGCGATAGATTTGCGAAAGTATCGAAAGATTGAGGTGGAAATCCGATCCGGTGGTAGATAGAAGATGATTGGGAAGATAAAATTGAAAGAAGAGCGGAGGACAGCCGGATGACGCATCAAAAGCCTTTGGAGACAAGCGACGATGGTGGTTTTGTGAGAGCTCGAAACGACAATGAACCCCAAACCCATACCCTTCTTCTCTCTTTCAATCGACCGAGAAGAACCCCAATCCTAGTTCTCACGCGTCGGTCTTGCCACTGTTTCGTCTCTTCTCCGCCGACCTTGTGCATGTTTTGAAAATAGGGTATCCGTCTCTCCTACCCAACTCTCATATCCGCCGCAGGGGTAAAGGAAGACGATGATTGACGGCGATGGCGATTAAGAGAGGAAGAGGATGAAGAAGTGTTGCTCTTGCTGGCATTTCAGCAGATGGCGGTGGTGGTTGTGCAAATCTGGTCGGAGAGTTGAGGGAGAAGTTGGCTGAGAAATCCATAAAGGAGCAGCAGCTTCGGAAGGGAAAAATCAGCTGAGAAAATGATGGAGAAGATGAATATGATCTGTCCCGTTGGCGCTTCTTCTTGTCGTATTTCGAGCAACTGAGAGGCGACAGAGATGAATACGACGTAGATGATGATATAGAGAAAACAAATTTAGTGAAAATATTTTTTTCATTGTTTTGAAATTTGAATGTGACGTGGCGGCAAGGTGGCATGAAATGGTGTGTTGGAGCTTATGTGGAAGCTGAGTTGGAAGTTGAGGTGGCATCCACATAAGCATTTCATTAATGTTATTGACAATTTTTCTAATGGTGTTAAAGTTGTTGACGGAAATGGCTAAATTAGTCATACAAGTTTAAAACGAGTGGCTATGTCTGTGTATTTTTCAAAATTTGGCTATTATTGTCACAAAGTGAATAATTATGGCTATGCAAGTGTACTAAGCCATAAATTATAATTGCCGCAATAGAAAATAAATAAAAATGGAAAATGATGTTATTATTTTATGAGAAACAAAATATGAATAAAACGGGTTTAGTTCAAAATTTTGGTAAGTTCTGAAACTGAATTTTGAAATTGAAAACCTGCCTGTATTTTGGTATTTGATTACCATAACTTTTTTTATTGAGTATCACATAAATTAAAAAAGGAAAACTCTTTTGAGATTAATACATGTAGTAGGGTGTATATGGGTCAGGTGGTCCGGGTTTAGGCATTTTAATCACCCGACCCATGCACTACGGTTTGGAAAATATTAAACCCAAACCCACCCAAAAAATCTAAACCCTACGGTTTGTTTCTAATTGGGTTGGGTAGGGTTGGCGATATTTTTAAGTAAAAAACCCAACCCAATACAAAATATGTAATTGTTCTACACCATTAAAATATTTTATAACTTATTAAAAATAACAAACAAACCGACGTTATCAAAATTCACAAATGTTGTTTGAATTTTAATAAAATTTGATTTACTTCAACTTATGTCTGGTTTTTTTCACGATATTCATTGAAATAGGCTAAAAGGTTAAAAATGAATGCATCTATAATATGTTATTCTATTAAAAATGTACACAAGAAAAAGAATTACGTGAATCATAGCTATATTAAATCTATGTCTAAACTTTAAGTCGAAGAATGCATTAGATTAGGGAGACCTTAAGAGAAAAACATGGCGAAATGTCTTAATTTTCTCATAAGTATGACTATATACGACATAAATATTTTTTTGGATACGAACTCTTACCAATAATTGGAACACGGATTGGATCGGGTTTTACGGGTTGTGTAATCCAAAATCCAAACTCAACCCAAAAGAGGCGGGTTGTACAAAAAGAAAACCCTCACCAAACCCAAAATCTTCATTTTAACGATAAATACGGGTGGGTTGAGTCGGGTTGGACGGGTAGGTCAGTTTGCGGGTGTGTTTTATTCATCCCTACATGCAAGTAATATTCATGTATAACGTTGGTTATCATATGATTTATTAATTCTGATTTGTGATGAGTTGATTACCCTCAAAATACTAAACATAACCTAAAAGCGTAACCAAAATTAAATGGACATATAGAAATGTTGGAATTCAGTAGCATGTATGATATGGATGCATTTTTGGAAGTGAAGAAACCTTCAGTGGCGACATATGGCTCTTGTTCATTCCGGATGTTAACAGGTGTAACCTATGCAATTGCAATCGGTATATGAAATCAATAGCTGCATGCCCAATTGAGAACATTCAATGCAATGGCCAACGGGGATCACCATCTAATTCATCTTTCTTTCCGTCTGTGTTTTGGTAAAAGGCAAAAAGTAATCAGAAAGAAGAACAGGCCAAAAGAGGGATTGAATGGCGGGTTTTGGTGGTGGCTAACCAAGTGAGGTAAGATTACAATTCACCCTCCTTCCATCAATTACAGGGGATGGGTTTTGACAAGTTCTAATTGATTAATCACAAAGGCGGAACAACAAACGCAGCTAATTAAAGGCAACCAAGAGAAGAGAAGAAAGGAAGAAAAAAACAGCCATCTGGGGAAAAGAGGATGAGCGCCATATCGAGACTGAACTGAAGTGGGCGATTGATTGGATAAATTGGTGGAGATCGATCAATTGGGTTCAGCGACATGGTATGTGGGATTGATGGGGGAGAAGGAAGAACGTCACCTACTGGAGGAAAGTCGATGGATGGGCTACAAGGGAAAGAAGCATAGTGGGGATGAAAGTCGACGTAGGAAAAGAGGAAGAAAAGTCAAAGAAAAAAATTGGGTGGCGGGATTCGAATCCCCGACCTCATTAAAACACTTCAGCTAAAATTGAGAAAAACAACGATTTCATGAAAAACAACTATTTGTTGTTTCCCGCAAGTAGGGCTGCAAATGAGTCGAGTCGTTCCGAATTTTACCCCAGCTTGAGTTCGGTTCGTTAATAAACAAGTCAAGCTAATAAACGAGTCGAGGTTGAGGTAGCTTGTTTAATAAAATCTTGACTCATATTTGATAAATTCATTTTGTATGTAATGCATGATATATGTGATTAATGTCAAGATGAAAAATAAATTTATAATAGTTAAGTGTTCAATATTAACTAATCTCATGTTATACTTTGTGGTAGCAAATTATTTAGTTAATGAATTTTAACTAGTGAAAGTTATGTTATATCATAGTATCAAAACAATCTATGATACATATTTTTTTTTAAAAATTAAATAAGACATACTTGTTCAAATAATCTACGTGTTAAACTATATATGGGATGAGATATATAGTTTAACAATCCTATAAATTATCCAAATCAAACTCATATAGATCGATTAGCTCATAAGTAGGTTATTGAGTTGGGTCTCTTGCACATCTCATGAGCTCTAAACGAGCCAACTCACAAGTTGAGCTCAACAAACCATTGAGTCGGGTTACCTCGCAAGCTCCGCGAGCTGTATAAGGGTTAGCTCAAACCCGACTTGTTAGTAAACGAGTCGAGTTTCGAATGAGTTTTTCCAGAGTCGAACGTCGAGCCGCTCGGCTCACTTGCAGCCTACCCGCAAGCTACCGTATTGGTTGCCCCATGGTTTCCCAAATGAAAATAGTTTTCCCATGTGCACACAAGTGAACACGGTTTTTCTTTTATGTTTACAGATTTTTGTTGTGGCAATGAAAAACCGGAATGAAATGGAAAGTGAACATAGTTGTTTGATATGAATGATTTGCATCTTGATTTTTTGAACAAAGGAAATTACACGGTTCACACTTCCCAAAACAATGTTCGAACGAGGGTGTTTAATGCTTTTAAGTTAAATTACTATACACCTATGGAGGTTCACTTACATCTTCAGAAACTAAAAGCTATAACTAAGGCTAAATTGCAAATAAAGGATAGAGTTTGACATTGGGTGTGAACTTTTGGTTTTGGAAACCTTTTACAATTTTTGTTTCTCTTATTTATAGCCATCAGATGCAAATGACCTGGTAACTGCCAACGTACTTGTTGCTCCAACCGCCTCGGGGTCCTCATCGCCTCCTTGATGACTAGTTGGTAGCTTTCGTCTTGGTGTTCACTCCTATCGCCTTGGGGTCCACTTGTCCTATCTTGGTGACTGGTTGATACTTGATGGCCTCAACCTCGTGCCAGGTTGGTGATTAGTCTTGTCGCCTTTTTCTCACTGGATAGGGTTGAAGTTTTTTGCCTTCGTCTCCATGATGAAGTTTCGATCACACCCTTCAAACCCCCCTCCCCCGACCCGATGACTCCACACTTAACTTTTGTTTCTCTTGTCTTGCTACAACTTGCTATCTTCGACTTGCTAGCCACATCGATGAACGTCTTGATATCCAAGGCTTATTACCCACCTTGACAAGATGAGAACTTAGTCCCTATGTCGTACTAATTAAGCCCATTTATCAGCTCATTAGCAAGTCCATCTCATTGGCTTGGTACCTTGGTTGATCAATCCCAACCACTGAGATTCGATACATATTTTTGAGTATTTAAAGATTTTCCATGACAGCTTGGTCCCTGTCAGGTTTCCACCAAGCCCATCTCATCAGCTTGGTACCCCGCTTAGTGGCCACCTCAGGTGGTCTCAAGACTTTTAGTTTTTTTCCCCAGATCTCGTGAAGTTGGTACCTTAGCAACCTACTGGCTACCTTGTCACCTCCTCATCAGGTTGGTAGCTTACCTGCTTGATCTCTATACTTAGTTTTTTTTTTGGATCCTCATTAAGCTAGTAGCTTATCGCCATCCTAGCTTGGTACCCGAGTCCCACCAAGCTTCTCTCATCGGCTTTGCACATGGTTCCATACTTAGTTTCTAGGAGGTTTGGTAACTTGATACCAAGCCTATCTTGTCACCTTGCTACCGAGCCATATGGATTCCAGACTTAGCCATATTTCATATCTTGCTACCAAGCTCGTCTTGTCGGCTTGGTACCCAGATGTATGGATACCATCATGTTTTTATGTCTTGGTAACCCGTATAGAACACATGTAGCATACAAATAATATTATAAATAAGATAAATAAATTATGATTGATTATGGATTGGTCGTCTGGACTTGTGCGCTCAGCTTGACCTGTTGCTAAAGCTCAAGAGTTTAATGAGATGGGCTCTGGCCCTTTACTAGTCGCCTTCAACCTTAGATTAGCAAGTTGTGTACTTGTTGAGAAGCAAACACAAGATAGGGGAGATGAAGGAGAGGAACACGTACACAAGATATTTTTGTTAACTGAGTTCAGCATATTGCTTATGTCTTGGCTTAAAGGTAGCTCACCCTTTAAGATCTAATGTCTAGGTTTTTATCTTATACTAGTCTAAACCAAATAGAGTCCTTTTGGTGGAACTCAAACCCTTAACAAGAACAGAGAAATATATCTCTTTCTATCTTCCTCACAAGCACTCACGCAAAGGAGAGAAACAACATAACCTCACAAACAATCAAGAAATACTGACAATGAACACCTATCACTTCTTACACCTATTGATAATCACAACTTGTTTGATCTTGCTTTGCGTAGGATTGCTCTGCCACATTACATGATTCTTGTCTTGTTTTTTCCTTCTATTTATATCCATCTTGCTGCAACGGTCTTCTCTTGATCTTCACTTGATTTGGAAGAGCACTATGGGGAAGAATGTGCAAGTGAGGAAGTACTGGAATACCCTTAGATTTTATGAAAGAGTGGCAGCTGGAATCATGAGAACCTCACCAGGAGGATGAGGGTAAGTTGAGTAGCTTCATGGTTGATGTCAAAGCCATAGGCTTCCAACTCATAGTCATGGGCCAAGGTGTCTCCTCCTCTCGTAAAGTTGAGAATGCGATAGATCTTAGAGACTGGGATGGTGATAATATGGCCAAATACAAGAGTTATGAAGGTACGAGTGTGGAGACCAAAATTTCTAAGATTTGAATGGAAGTAACTCACAACTTCAGATCAGATCAAAGTGGGTGGCTCATCTAGAAGGAAGTTCAAACCAAGGTTGTAAAGGTATAGTTTCTCTTGCCCGTTTGCGCAACTCCTTCTAGTGATCAAGGGTTTGTAGATGCTTATAGGCACCAGTTTGAACAATAGGCCCTTTCCATACTTCCTAAGGGGCAAGGCACAAAGTAGGTTGAACAATAGGCCTACGCTCCCAATAACATCTTGGGATGATTTGTTGGCCAACTTTATGAATCAACATTTCCTGCCTTTCAAAATGGCGGAGTATCAGAAAAAGATCACCCACTTTTTTCAAGAGGAAGATGAGACTTTGGGAGATGCTTGGGAGTGGTATTCCTATCTCTTTATCTAATTCCCACACCATGGTTTTGGTGAGCAGTTCTGGATTGAAATCGTCTACAATTGTGTCTCCCAAAAAGACTGGACACTCATCAATTCCTTGTGCTAAAGGAGTATGCTTAACAAGACTCCACCCCAAATGACAAAGTTGTTTGAAGAAATGTCTACAAAGGGGTATGATTGGGGAATGACTAGGTGTGGAAGGAAGACTCGTGAGAGGGGAGTGCATTCCACTGAAGCAAACCCTCCACTTGCAACGAAGATTAATGAGTTGATCAAGGTGATCCTGCATGATAGGAAGAAAGGAAAGAGTTTGGTAATAGTGTGTGAGTGGTGTTCAATTCCCAACCATGTGGTAGAAAACTGTCAAGTCATGATGGAGGCAAACACTCTGTAGAACAATTTTACGTCATTGCGAATGCTAGGAGTTCCACCAGCATCAGCCATCCATGTGGCAAGTCGCACAATCCGAGGTGGCACGATCATCCAGACTATGCATGGGTAACACCACCCAATCAAGAGCCTCAGATTCAAGCCCCGACTTATCTTCCTTATCAACCGCAACCTGATAGGGTTTTCAAACTTGAAAATATTGTGACCACATTTGTGTGTACGAGCTCGCAAAATTTTGAGAAGATTGAGAATTTTATGGAAGAAGCTTCTGAAAATTTTCATCCATTGAATTAGGGTTTCAAAGTCAACAATCATCTATGAAAACCCTTACCACTCGGATGGGCATCATCACTCAAGCTGCCATTTCTCGAAATTGAGTTACAGAATCAGAAATGAAAGTTGTGACACTCCGGAGGGGAAAAGAGGCTAGAGAGGTACCTATCACAAGAAACAAAGTGGAGAAGCCAAAACAAGTGGAACAAGAAATCACCTTTGAGCAGCCAAGGACAACATCCACGCCAAAGAAGAGAGTAGAGGAACCAACTTCTAATATGAAACATCAAGCAATAGAAGTTGTTCCCCCACTCCCTTATCCAACTCGGCTATGCTAGGATCAATGGGAGGCCGATTTTTCTCGGTTCATGACACTGATGAGCCAGATCCACCTCAATATTTCATTTGTGGAGGCCCTTGCTCAAATGCCGAAATACGCAAAGTACTTGAAGTATCTTCTAGCCAAAAAGAAGAAACTTCGGAGCATGGCCATCGTGACTCTCAATGAAGAATGTTTTGCTATCTTGCATAGTCAACTTCCCGAGAAGCAAAAAGATTCAGGGAGTTTCACTATCCATTGTTTTATTGGTGGCATCTGTGTAGGTTATTCGTAGACGAACCTAAGGGCTAGCATAATTGTGATGTTGTATAGAATATTCAAGAAGTTAGACCTGGTGAACCTAGTGCCACTATGATTAACATAGAGCTAGCTTATAGGTCTATCGTGCACCTTAAGGGGATTGTTGAGGATTTACTAGATAAGGTCGGGACGCTCATTTATCTGGCTGACTTTGTCATCCTTGACATCAACTATGATGTTGATGCCCCCTTATTTTGGGTAAACCATTTTTGGCCACCACCAAGCCCTTTATAGATGTGCATGAAGGAAAATTGATATTGAGGGCGGGGAATGAAAAATTACTTTCTCTATTGCAGATAGTAAGATAACTACTTTGATCAATTTTTTGTGATAGGTACACATGGCTTGGAAGAACTTCAGTTGGAGGATCACGTGGCAAGCCCAAAGGAAGTGCAAGTGCCCGAGCATGAACAGTGGGTAGAGTCATTACCTGCATTTTCCAAGATACCCACATCTTTGGAAGAACCCCGGAGTTGGAGCTGAAACCACTACCTAGCCACCTTTAGTATGCCTCCTTGAGGGAAGGGGGAATACTTCCTGTCAACATTAGCTCAGATTTCACTCTAGAGAATATGGTAAAGTTGGTAGATCTCCTGAGGAAACATAAGAGGGAAATCGCATGGAAGATCACCTGACATCCGAGGAATCAACCCTTCTTTCTGCTTTCACAAGATCTTCATGGAGGATGACGTCAAATCGGTCCGAAAACCTCATGAAAGGTGAATCCTAACTTGGAGGAAGTAGTGAAAGCATAAGTGATCAAGATTTTGGATGTTTAAAAGGCTAGAAGGACCTGAATTCTATTGTTTCTTAGACGGGATGTTGGGATACTTCCAGATCCCAATCTCACCAGCAGATCAAGCTAAAACAAGCTTCACCTGTCCTTTCAGTACCTTTGTGTATCGGCGTATCCTATTTGGCTTGTGCAATGCTTTTTCCACATTTCAGAGATTCATGGTGGCAATTTTTGACAATTTGGTGGCAGAAATCAGGGAAGTCATCATGGATGTCTTCTCGGTTTTGGGGACTCTTTTTCCCAGTGCCTTGTCAATTTAGAGAATGTTCTGACAAGTTGTGAGGAGACTAATTTGGCTCTTAGCTGGGAAATGTCCCATTTCATGGTGCGCAAAGGCATTGTCTTGAGTCACAAGATGTTAAAGAGGGGTATTCAAGTTAACAAGGCAAAGATTGATACCATTAGCAAGATGTTTGTGTATTTGAGCATAAAATTCAAAACTCAAGTAATGGCACACACCCAAAGCATATTCGAAGTTCGTCATACTTTGATTTGCTACTCTCTACGATAATACATGATCTAAGGGAGGCTAGTGGAAGGGCTATGAAGGATATCCTTGTCATGAAACTTGCATCCCCCTTAAGAAAAATGTATGAAGGGGTGCTTACTACCATTCCTTGTGATTTATCAAACTCCTCCTCAAAGGATGGAGTCTTTTGCACTAAAAGCATAAATAGGTTTGATATGTAGCTTCGTACATGTGATATCCTACCACATACATTCTACATCAATAAAAGATGCTGCCACAAATAAAGTGTGGGGTAAAAGCCAAGCGTGAGGCGTCCTATCCTTGGAAAAAACCAGGTTTTGGAAAAGATACTAGTTGATTCTTGGTAGGGAAGGCCTACCATATGATCCTAGTTCCTCTCTAGTACAAGTAAAATTTCCACCTGTATGATAGGATTGCCAACTTGAGGATGTGTGATACGAGCACAAACCCTGTACCTGTAGTTATCAAAGTCGCACAGCCTTAAGAACGAACTAGGAATGAGATATTTAGGGGTTTTGTTTGTTTGGGGATAGAATGGAATTGAAAGTACAATCTCAACACAAATTGGGAGAATGCTCAATCAATATAGAAGGTAGAAACCACAAACAAGGGGAAAACTTGATTGATACAGATAAAAATTTAAGCCTAAAGCTCAAAACCACGATAAAAGTTCAATATTGTTCAAAGTCTGCCTAAATTCGTGTTCCCAACCCTTTATATAGTCTAGGGAAAATAAAATAACCAAAAACCCAAAAGGGAACAAAAGTCTAACCACAAAAAGGGAATTTAACCCGCAGGCAAAATTCCACGGTCCGTCCTCGAAGTCCATGGTCGTGGATCTTGGGCTTCTAACCATGGATTTCCCCAGCTCCAATTCCAACCTTAATTCCACGGCCGTGGATTTTGATGCCATGGTCGTGGGTTTTGAGCTGCTTGCTCTGGGGAATCATATCAAAGTGTTTTCAAGGGCTTGAATAAAGCTTGCGACATCCCTTGATTTCATTGGCCCTTCACACGATCGAGGAAAAGGAGCTAAAAAGCACTCTTGCTTGATCAGGCTTGCTAAGTATCAAAAGTACAAAACAGAAACCCCTTTTACATATAAAGTGGCATGAAAAGTGCAATGTAGCATGGCAAAATCGTCCTAATATGAAAAATGTCAAAATAACGTACATGGGTAGGAATGAAATGACTTCTTTATCAAGCTACATAGGCTTCGACCCAAATATTCCAAAAATAAGACTCGAGGAAGAAAAGATAACTACATCTTGTGAGAAGCGAATCATTTCCTTCTTATGAAGTACATTTTGAGTGTCATTGCCAGGATCAAGGATTTCTAAGTACCAAGGTTGACCTTGTAAGCTTCTTATGATCAATGTAGTCAAAAGCAAGTTTATACGTAGAAACGTTTTGGTGATCTAGAAGCGTAAAATCATAATTTTTTAAGTTTTGAAGCAGAGTTTTAACTTCATAAGTTATAAAAACTGAGATTTTGTGTAGAAGCGAGTTAGTGAACTAGAAACGTAAAATCGTAAGTTTGTAAGTTTTAAAGCGCGATTTCGATTACATTGCTTATGATCCACTACCTAAGATAAAAAATCACGTGTCATCATGAAGATTTAGTAAGGAGAGGGATGTCGAGTCTAGATTTGCTTGGGGACAAGCAAACTTCAAGTGTTGGGTTATGTGATGACACGCGAAAGTGTCTATTCTAAACCCCCGTATTGTGACCAAAAGTGCTTACATTCCCATTATTATTATCATCATCATGCATTGAATTATTTTCTTGATTGCTTCAAGTGCATTCTAGCAGCCCTGGGATTGCTTTCACGTAATTAATGCGCTTTTGGGTAGCATTTTGTGCATTTTCAGGGCCGAGCAGCCTAGTGGGCCACTTGGAAGTCGCGGGAGACATTGAGTCCAAGCTGTTGGAGTTAGGATTCAAAGACCATATGTCAAAGAAAATAAGCGCCAACGGCGCTGCTTTATTAAAGAAACAAGACGCACCTGACGCCATTTTGGGAGAGACTTCTACTTCGTGAGGAAGTTGTTCAGGAGCATCCTAATTTGCTGGCCACGGGTTTGGAGGATTCTAATTGGCTGAATGATGCAGTAGATTTTGGGGGAGAAGGAGACAAGAAGTGAAGGAAGGGCCATTACTCTGCTGACAGAGTAACCCTCCTAACTTAGAGTAACAACGCCTTCGAGGGGGGAATTGGCAGCGAAATCGGCGCCAGTGGGCTTGATTTCTATATTACGTCGATTTTATGCTCTCTGTGAGTCTTTGTTTTCAACGATGTACGACCAAGACACTCTGCCCATGGTCGGTTAAGTTCCATAGTTGTGTAGGTATGTGAACCCTAGGGGTTCTAGTCCTGTAAACTTGATGATTTGGTTGATACTATTGTTTGATTTTCGTATGTGTGATGCGTAATTTCCTCTCTTTCATTATTTATTGATTCGAATGAATGCTTAGTCGATCTTGGACTCCTTCGAGGTGCAAGCCTCGAAATCCTAGTCATTCAGGATGGGATTAGATACAACAGTCCTACTCAATCGAACCTCATTCAATCAAATGGTGTGTCACCTCAATAAAGAAATTCGAAGGGACCTTGTCGTCCATTAGTTTTGGTAAATGCCTCAACACAAGGTGGGATATAGCAAAATAAGAAATTGGCAGCTCGTATGCTTCGATCATCGAGGGTGCCTAGGGGGAATGATGCATATGCAAAGTTTTCCTTCTATGCTCTTTTACTGCTCCACTAGCATAGAATTACTTTTTAGCGTTTGCTTTACGCCCGGAACGCCTAAGTTGTACAACCCAAGGAACCTCAACCTCCTAAATCGACCTCTTCTTTAATGGAACCATACCTCACTTCCAAAGTAAGGATTCTGCGAGAGGCCCAAGGGAATACGATCATGGCATTAGGGGCAGGTACATTTGGTCTACACTACAAGATGGATCAATAGGCGGTTTCTCTATATGGGTAGTGAAAATGGGTGAGAGATTTTTACCATAACCACTATGTTGAAGAGATGGTTTAGTTTTTGTTAGAGCCAGAAAGTTCCCCGGTCGTGGCAAAGCATTCTGACCACCAGAGGCTAGAATAATTTTATTCCCATTAGCATTGTTGGTGGATCTATATCATCACCAACCAAAACCTTTGATCTTAACACTATTTTTTTGCAAAAGTTGGCCAAACTCCTCAAAATTATTTTATTTACCGCAAACATCTCATTCAATTGATACAAAAATGATTTAGGAAAGAAAGGAAAAAATTAATCTGAGACATTGTTTTTTTATGTACCCTGTCGAAGCCTCCTCCATAAGATTTTGTAGAGGCAAGGTGGCGACAGTTGCATTGGTAGTAGTTGACCTTCCTCCCCACCATTGTTTTTTACGTTACCTTTTTCTACATGGCCAACTCCATAGTTAGCAACCCTACTCCTCCGTCAAGATTGGCAGAAGATCCTCTTCTAGTTGTCTTTATAGTGGAGTCATAAAATCAAACACAAAGTGTCCCACCAGGTTTGCCAATTTGTTTTCCAGCAAAGAAACTTTAGCTTTTGATATTAATTATTTGCACCTTGACTCCTTGAACTACAAACAATGTTCGAATGAGAGTGTTTGATATTTTTTATGCATGAGAAAACTAAGTTAAATTACTCTATTCCTATGGAGGTTCGCTGCCAGCTCCAGAAACTAAAAGCTACAACATCTACATTGTAGAGAAGAGATAAAGTTTTACATTGGGTGTTGTAGACACCACATTTTGTTCGGGTCTGAGACATATCATGAAGACATCAAACGTCACCATCAATTCGAAAATGTTGCAGAGTGAGCTTGGACTCAAATAATGATTACTTGCTAATGATGAAAAAATTAAGAAACAACACGACACTTCATGGTTCAAAAATTATGTTAGAGGATTTTTGTTCAACGTTCAATGGCAAACTAGAGAAGAATAGCCATAACGAATTAGAAAATCGACACAATCATCAAGCTTCACAACAAAGTGTTTCAAGCATAGAAAAAGGACCTCCTGATTTACATATATGTAATCCTCATATACAATTTGAAGAGATCAAAATTTTCCTATTTACAAATGAAGAATCAAGGTCTACCCATCACTTGGCAAAAGGCCTACTACATGGGGGGAAATCAGCTCGCCCAACTTCAAGATAAATAAAATCCAAGTTGAAGGAAAAATTTGAGATCCAAGTTCAAGCCCAAGTGAGACCCAGAATCAAAGTCCACAATCATCCCAATCTGAAGACTGTACAAGCCCACTTTCAGCCCAATGTTTGACCTCAATTACATTGCCCAACTCAACCCATAGATTGGGCCCAACAAGTGCCTGCCTAGTCACAACCAACTCAGCAAGCTGGAGATCCCAGAATTGGCTTTTTTGGGAGCCAATGAGTAGGAGACATAAAGCCAATATCATAATCCAATTTTTAAAATAGAAAACCAAAAGAAAACCTACATGCAAACTGTAATCTTACCTAGAAAACCAAAAGTTATCCTTTTGCATGATAGGCGTAGTAGCTAGGGTGAGGGTGATACATTGAGTACCTGCTCTTTTTCTCCTTTAGTTGCCATTTATTTCCATTTTTTCTCCAAACAACCCGAAAACTCGATCGACTATATAAAGATCGAGTGAGGAGTAGCCTAGGAAATCGAGACCCGTGAAATACGACCTTGTTCAACCATTATACTGACAATGTCATATATATTGAGTTATAATTGGCTCAAGATGGGTTAGTTAGTTTAACCCGTGCAACAAATTCATGACCCTCATGGAGCGTTGACCACATATTCATGAAAAATGAGTTCCTTGATGAAAAATGGCGCATAGACTGCCATTTTTGTCGCCCAAAAAGATTAGACATTTATAGATTAACATGTTTTCTAACTACCATACTCCAATAAATGAAATAGAGTCTGAAATTGAACAATAAACCGTAAGTCTAAATGAAAATTGACCAATAGGCCCAATCTAAGCTTCCAAGAAATATAGGGAAAAAATTTCAATGTTCAGACAAAAGTTTTACCTTTTGTTCTAGAAGGAGAGAAAAGGGAGGAAAGGAAAAGTTTGAGTGGAAAATGAGAGAACCAAGTAACTTTCCTCCGTTTGGGAAGGAAGGAAAGTTGTCATGAGAGAAAATGTGGAAAGAAGAATTACTGTTCAATCCCACCCTCCAATTCGGAGAGAAAAGGAGGGAAGGGCTCTCAAATCCATTATCTGCGTCCCATTTATGGGGTTTCTTATGTTTTTTTTCTAGCTACTTTTTCTTTCTTTAATTAGGGAAACCATGCAACGGTTCGGTATGGACTACACCAAACTCATGAGAATAGTGGACCATTAGTGAAAGTCGTATTATAATAGTTGAATAAATTTAATAAATTTAGAATGTTTGGTCAATTATTATAAAGTCTCTATTTTTAAATAATTGATGTGGTTAAATCACGATTTTAGAATAAAATACCCAACCACTAATTTTTTTCCGGTTCAATCTCTGGTGCAATTTAGAAAGAAAGTACAAATTTAATTCACAATTCATAAGTTAATAGAATATTAACATACAATCAAATTATTTTACTATTACATAACCAATAAAATAACATATTTATCACAATTCCCAATATACACTTTCCTTCCCACTTTCCTCCATAAACAAAATTTTCCTCCCAATTTCCTTTACCTCCAAATCTCCCCTCCCCTCCTAATTTTCCTTCACCTCCCCTCCTTTTCCTCCCTTCCTTCGGAAACATAGTCTTACTCTTCATATCGATAAAAACCTAAAAAAAATTCGATCAACACAAACCCACTAAACATCTGCTACAACAAAAGTTCTCATTATCTTTCCTAAAGAGATGTAATATCTAAAGTTAGGGCGGGGAAAATAGACCAAACCATTAGAAAAACCGTGGTCCAAACCGTATCGCACAGTTTGGTCTGGACCATAGACCGTTAAGTATGGTCTGATCTGGTCCATGGTCTGTATTATTTTATGTTTTGATCTCTTGGTCTGGTCTGGTCTAGACCGCAGTTTACCGGACCAAACCGTGGACCCAACGCCTTGTCAATACGTGTTAACAGCCCATTCGACCACTCTCTCAACTCCCACAATGACACCCAAGTCTCAACCTTAATTTTGTGAATCTCGTCACTCCTTCATTCAACCACATTTAACTAGAGAGTAGAGATAATCGTGTCTCCATATGACATTATGTTAATGTTTATGACGTTATGGTGCAAGTTGGGATGCTTTTACTTTGTATCTTTGTTATGTACTAAGATTTAGGATAACAAAATTATTCATGCATGCTAGGATTAATGTTTTTTTAAGGCAAATGACAATTATTTTTCATGGTTATTGGTTCAATTTTTTATGTGGTTGACTGAACAAATTATTTATTTTCGTTGAGTGTGGTCTATCTGGACCAGACCAAACCGAACCAGACCGCAAAGGCGTGGTCTGGACCAGACCGTATAGTCTGTGGTCTGGTCTGTGATCAATACATCAACCTCTCGGTCTGGACCATAGACTGTATATATGATCTGGTCTGGACCAGACCGCACCATTTCCCAACCCTGATATCACGACATATGTGATACAATGATACAACATGGTCACACATCGAATCATCATAGCATGATGATATCTTGATATAATGATACTATCAAATTTTATTGTGTTTTGGAGGCCAGAGTTTTATTCTCTATCCGCTCTGATATTTTATTGTCTATTTACACAAGTAGACCAACTAGTTTGGAGAAAGAGAAATCGTACCCATTACATCTATACTCCATAGTCCATACGCGTCCTTAGCCCCATCGAATGGTTATATTTCACCCACGTGGACGGCAGGATCTAAACCCAACCCAAGTCTGTTCGGGAATATTACGTTTTAGGGTTAGCTAAAATTCCTCTACCACCGCAAAACCATAACCTTATCTCTCCTGTTCTTCTGTTTGTTTATCGTGAAATTCGCCAGGGATTATCTTTCTTCCTTCATCGGCTTCCCGATCTGCTCCTACAGCGCTTACGATCATGGAGATGGAACGCGTAATCGAGTTTCCGCACACTCATCTCGATCGGAGGCCCCGGAAGAGGGCGCGTCTAGGCTGGGATGTCCCTCTTATCGCTAAGGTATCAATTTTTCCCCTTCTGTCGAGCTTAAGCCTTCATGTATTCTCTTTTTCATTTTTGGTAGATCTGGTGAAACGCTTCGATTCTACGCTTTGGATTGAGTAATCTTCGGTTTGTAGCTCTTGTATCGAATTTGTTCGTTAAAAATCTATGCTTTTCTTGCAATTTAGAATACAATTGTGGTTTTGGATTTAGTGACTTTTTCCTCGCTCCTGCTACTGTTAGATCTGAAATTTTCCAGTTAGATCTTCGACCTATTTAGTTTCTCTTTGCCAAGATCGATATTTTGACCTTTTCTTCCTTGTTATCCTCTGTACTTATGTCTTGCTATTCGGGGATTCTCAAATCGAATCGAGTTCTTGTGCTATATGTTCTGATCTGATTGATTGGCTCGTTTCAGCGGCTTTTCGTGGACAGTATGATAGTTATTCGTATTCTTAATTGTGGATCTATTGTCTAATCAATGTGATTTTGGGTGAGAATTGTTCAAGGGTTATGCACAATATTGGGTGAAATATTGTGTTTGTGATAATGTTGAGCGTGGATGAATGGGTGGCTGTGTGTAGGCTCAGGTAGGGATATATTGTGGGCAAGAGATTGGTGATGTAGCAAGCTTTGCGTCTTCAGGAGCAAACCCAGATTATACCACCAATTATAATTCTGTGTTTGATAAGGATGTTGCTCGAAATGGCTCTCCTCCATGGAGAGAAGATGACAAGGATGGACATTACATGTTTGCTATTGGAGATAATTTAACTTCTCGCTGTAAATACACTTTCCTCCATCTGCACCTCTTAAGGGATTTTCTCTCATGAAGTTTCTGACAGTGCTTCAACATAATATGAATCATGGGAAATCTTATTTTGGGTAGATTTCTTATTTGTCACTGTAGGATAAGTTTTTGTTTCTTGTGTTTGTGCTGAGTTGGTGTGTTTTTTGTTCTTCTTTCTCTTATTTTGTTATTGCAGATAAGATCCATAGCAAAATGGGTGAAGGTAGAACATCTCTCTTAGGTGTAGTTTTCTATGTTGTTTCATGAAGTTGTATATTTCAGCTAAAGCTTGTCCTTGATTCTCCTATTCAGGTACTTTTGGTCAGGTCCTAGAATGCTGGGACAGGGAAAGGAAAGAAATGGTTGCTGTGAAAATTGTTCGTGGTATCAAGAAATATCGTGAGGCAGCTATGATTGAAATTGATGTGCTGCAGCAACTGGGTAAAAATGATAGGGGTGGCCACCGGTGAGTAATCTACAACTCGTCTAACCAGGCTCTCTGCCTGTTTCATGAAATATTTGTCATTGGTTAAAGCTTTTTATTCTTTGCAGTTGTGTGCAATTACGGAACTGGTTTGACTATCGTAATCATATCTGTATTGTAAGTATATGTCTAATGTGTGATGGATTAATTTCCCCAATTTATGAATAACTCGGGGGTTAAGAGTTTCGTGAATGCAAATGATGTCGACAGGTCTTTGAGAAGCTTGGACCAAGCTTATACGATTTCCTTCGCAAAAACAATTATCGCTCATTTCCCATTGATCTTGTCCGTGAGATTGGCAGACAACTGTTGGATTGTGTAGCATGTGTGTAAAAGTTACTTGAGCAAGTTTCTTTTGTTCATTACATATCACTTTCCTGCTGTTTCTTGATTATGATATTCTTCTTCATCATTAGCATCAACTTTAAAAATTCAATTGATTTGCATCACGTTGGTGATCACAGTTTTGCGCCTATTTTAACAAATGTCCTGCTGCCTTCTATTGCAGTTATGCATGACTTGCGGCTTATTCATACTGATTTGAAGCCTGAAAACATTCTCTTAGTTTCATCAGACTATGGCAAAGTACCTGACTACAGGGTAAATCTTTTTATCTTGTCTCACTACCTCCTTGCACTATTTCTTATCTTCCAAGATGCTTGATTTCTTTGTTTTATGTGCAGCAGGGTTCATCTCGTTCCCCAAGGGACAGTTCCTACTTCAAAAGGGTCCCCAACTCTAGTGCAATCAAGGTCATTGATTTTGGTAGCACAACGTATGACCGTCCGGATCAGACCTACATCGTGTCAACCAGGCATTACCGTGCACCAGAAGTTATCCTTGGTACCTATTATTTAGTTTTTTGCTTGTGGCTTCACCTCAAATTCTTTCCTTTATGATTCTCAACTCCCAAATCCTTGCAGGTCTTGGTTGGAGCTATCCATGTGATGTTTGGAGCATTGGGTGTATTCTAGTGGAGTTGTGCACAGTATGTTCTGCAACTCTGTAACTTTCTGCTCAGTGAGGTCCCCTTGATGCATGTTCCAGTTAAGTGATTTGCTTTCTTCTTGATGTGCAGGGTGAAGCTTTATTTCAGACTCACGAGAATTTGGAGCACCTTGCAATGATGGAGAGGGTGCTGGGTCCTTTACCCCTGCACATGTTGAAGAGAGCAGAGTATGTAGCATCATTTTCATGGTTATTCGGTTGCCTGACTCGAGTCTTTTGGTGCTGATTATTTAATTGTTTGTGCCTGCTGCAGTCGACATGCTGATAAGTATGTTAGAAGAGGAAAACTGGACTGGCCAGAAGGGGCTGCATCTAGGGAGAGTGTTAGGGCAGTAATGAAGCTACCTAGACTGCAGAATTTGATAATGCAGCACGTCGATCATTCTGCTGGAGATCTTATCCACCTATTGCAAGGTCTCCTTAGGTACGATCCTATGGAGAGGTTGACAGCTCGGGCTGCTTTGAGGCATTCGTTTTTCACGAGGGAGCATCCGAGGAGGTGAGAAGCTGGCCCTAGTTTAAACGAGCTCTTCTTGCCGTTTGGTGTTGGGGACTTGTATACAGAACTTCTATAAAGAGACTTCTAACTCGTTGTTCTGCCTGTGATGACCAATGTAAATATGTAACCTGGAGTGCTTGTATGAACCTGTATACTCAATTCATCTGTCAAGTTGCGAAAGATATTGAATTATTCACTGCCCGTGATATATGAAAGATGTTGCTCTCTTATGAAAGCTGTGGTGGTTGAAGCCATTGTTTCTCCACTGTGGCATTCTGTGCAGTCAGTCTAATGAATGTAGTCATAGCCATTTGTAGATCCCGCCTTCTCGACATCTAGTATCTCAAATAGAAAACAACTCCGTCTCACTTAGACATTGGAGTTGAGGCAATTATTCGATCAAATGGTATTCACAGTTATTCCCATCTTTTCTCGGGAAAGCACAGGGGAATCCTACTTTGCTCAACTAGTAACTGACGTCAGAACCAATGAAAATAATAAAGAAAACTCCTCAAAACTTACCAATATGAGCATCAACACAGCGAGGCTCATATTGTCCCTCCTTAATGGTTGCTCTACAATAACTCGTCTAAATTTGTGTTGGCAGTGTGAGGGCCATTAATGTATGTGCTAGATTGTTGATTCATGGTTACGGGGCGGTTTTGAAAACCGCTTGGGTTCGGGGCGGTTTGGCTGAAAATCGTTGTCCCACCCAGCGATTTTTTTTTTTATTCCGCACAACATTTCGAGATCTTTCAAGCCGCAAACTGCCGTAGAATCTTCGGTCCCACCTTAATCCCAAAAAAAACTTCGTTTGCTATCCAGAATGAGCTTTTTTCCGATTTCGTCAAACTTTGGACGACCATAACTTTTTGCTCCAAAATTCGAACATTATTTTTTTTAAATTTCATATAACTTTGTAAGGACTACAACTTTTACTACGAAGAAAATTTCAAAACAAGAATTATTTTTGGATATATGGGGTTTTGGGAATAACTTTACCTTCACTTTTCATAAATCCACGTACATTACGAAATTATGTATATGATAAAAATTGTAGTCCTACAAATGTTATGCGAAATCAAAAAAATTCACGACGTTCGGATTTTGGAGCACAAAGTTATGATTATCCAAAGTTTGACAAAATCGAAAAAACTCGTTCGAGGTAGCAAACGACGTTTTTTTCAGGAAGAAGGTGGGACCACGTTTTTTGGGAAATGGTAGTATTTTTGAAAATTTTCGGAGGTGGGTGATTTTTTGAAATTTTTTTCTTTTTAGTGGTATTTCTGGAAAAAATCCAAAATATTTCGACTTTCTAAATCTTTTATTAGCATTTTTTAATAATAATAATACATCTGGATTTTACTAAGTAATCATGGACTCCTTATCCTCCCAATCAGCGGCGAATCTAGGTGGGTTCGCCTCCGGGCCATGGCTGAGCCCTCCCTTGAATCCAAAGCTAGTATAAACTTGTAAATTTTTTATTTTTGGTATTTGTTTCAGTATTTGTCAGGTTACGGTCCAGTGCTCTATCATATCTTAGATCCGTCGCTGCTCCCAATTATATAAGAAGGTTATCCTCCGAAACCCATATCATTCTATGTTTCCTGTGATATGCGCATAGTAGGGAAGGATTATTTTGTCTATTCCTCTCTGTCTTTTCCCCGCCGCTCTCTGCAATTGCGTTTTTATTCTTCTAATAAAGAACATAACAGTTTTACAATACCTTTTTGCTTTACAATCCTACGACAATTAACCAACTTCTTCCACTAAATACAAATCGCTGCTTCTTGGTAATGTCAGGACACAATATCCAATCATAAGAAGTAGAGATGGCAATTAAACTCGAATCTATGGTATCCAATTCGATATAAGCTGGTCAAAGTACGTAAAACTCATTATTGACAGGGTTAGGTTGGGTGCGGGCTTTACCCGCTTTTGAAATTGACGGGTTATGTTGGGTTATATTTTTCACCTGATCCACACCGATAAAGCAAAACGATGTCATTTTGTATATAAACGTAATAATATGAATATTAGGGTATTATTATTCTTTATGTGTTGGTGATGGATTTACTGTCATATATGATCTCGAGGCTTCGAGGGGTAAATGGTCTTTCTAGTTTCTTCATGGATGAGAGTAGGGGAGGAGGCGAGGTTACGTATCTTCTCTTCGCTGATGATTCCCTTATATTCTGTGATGCTTCTGCCGATCAAGTTCTTAATCTCCTTGCTACTTTGGTCTACTTTCAATCGGTTACAAGGTCTAAAATCAATCTCGACAAGTCTTTGATGTATATTGTTGGAGATATTTCTGAGCCTAGTTTTCTTGCTGCAATTTTTAGTTGCAATTGGAGTAGTGAACCTATGAAATACCTTGGGATTCCTTTGGGGGATCACCCGAACACCATATCTATTTGGAATCCGGTTATTGGTAAATATCAAAATTGGCTATAGGGGTGGAGGAGTAGATTTCTATACTTGGGCGCTAGCTGATTTTGAATCAATCCATCCTCAACAGTTTGTCTGTCTACCACTTCTCTTTGATGAAAGCACCTAAAACAGTTCTTAACATAATGGAGAAGATTCAAAGAAGGTTCATTTGGTGTGGAGGTAACTAGGAAAACAAGTTTCATCTCATTAGGTGGGACCTTTGCATAGCATCAAAACATAAGGGTGGTTTGGGTGTTGTTGATCTCGAAAGCTTTAACAATGCTTTACTTGGGAAGTGGCTGTGGAAATATGCCACTGAGAAAGTTGGTGGAGGCATCTCATTGGTGTAAAATACTCTAGTTCTGTTTCGGAACGGAAAACCAAAAATATTGATGAAGGGTTTAGCAGTTCAGTGTGGGCTAACATTTGCAAGGTGGGTGACCTATTTTGGAAAGGTGCGTCTATTGAGCCGGGTTCGGGTTCTGCTGTCTCTCTGTGGCACGACGTGTCGATCCCTGGAGTCTTGCTGGCCAACTCCTTCCCGCGGGCTGCTGCTGCTACTCGTCTGAACGATAGTCTGCTTGACTCCATGTCCCGGTCAGGTGAGGAATTTGTGTGGTATAATCATTTTCTTTTTCTTTAAGGGGTGGGGCTGAAATTGAGAGAGTGGACTGTTTAGATAAAGTTATGGCCAATTCCTACATAATCACTAATAGCCCTAGTCGTATGGTGTGGAACCCAAACGCAGATTGTTTGCTCTCTGTTAGCTCTTTCTACAGGTTTCAAGTGGATGTCAAATTTGTTGGGGATGAGAACTTCAAGTACAGATCCGTTTGGAAAAGTGTGATCCCAACAAAAGTTTGCGGGTTTATGTGGCTTGTTTGGCACAAGAAGATTCTCACTCTTGACAACTTAAAGAAACGAGGTATACAGCTGGCCAATCGGTGTGTTCTCTGCTACACGAAAGAAGAATAACCAATCATATCATGGTGGAGTGCTGCTTCACCAGGCGAGTGTGGGAAGAGGTGTTTAGAAACATTATTCGTCCGGACTTGTCTTCGGGAGATATCTCTAGAATCATCAATCACAAGGAACCTAATCTGGAAGGTATTGAGGCCTAGTTCATCTCCTGTGCCACTCATGCGATCTGTTGGTATGTGTGGAAAGAAAGAAACCATCGAATTTTCCAGAGTCTTGTTGTCCTCATCTGGTAGTTGCCAAAAAGATCACAAGAACTATTGTTGACTGGATCTCTGCGCACAAGAAGATCGACAAGCAGCAGGGGGTGCGCTTCCTTCAGGATCGCCTCACTCATTGGGATTCTTCTGCTGGGCGATTTGCTCCCTGGCCTGCTTTATTTCCCTTTCTTTTGTTCCTAGTCTTTTTTCGCCTCCTCTTTTTACTCTCATCAGAGAGGATTCTTTGGCTCTTGTTGTCTTTCTATTCCCCTCGTCCCACTCCTCGTGGGTCTCTGTACCCGTACTTTCGTTTGGTTATGTTCATTTAATTTGAAGTTCATCATCATTATAAAAAAATCTAATGATATAGATAATTTATGGATGTAAGTAGTTTTTGTAGAGATATATTTATAGAATTTTTTTAAGACATTACAATGTGGGTGTTTGAAGAAATAATAAACGATTATGTTCGTGAACCATGGGCACCCATTCTCACTAAATGAGTATTGCATCTTTTTAATTGGTGTCCCCGTTGAATTGAGTTTGAATTTAGAGAAATTCAACCCACACTAATTAGAAGTCATCTAAAAATAAAATTATACTGATTACTATTTCCGTAATTGGGAGGATAAGAATTGGATTTTCAATGGGTGAATTTAATTGGGTTTCTATATATCAATAATAATGAGGTTTTGAATAAATTATAAGATTCTATTTTTTGTAGGAAACAACACAGTAGGCTAAAAAATGTAAAAAACTTACAAAGGCAGAGTGAGATCAAAATGATTTATTCATTAAAGCGCGTAATTTAAAATTTATCTTTCAATTTTATTTTCTTTTGTTTCTATGTATTCCTGAGTTGTCTAAGTGCAAATTTTATTATGAACATTGTAAATTTGTAACAAATTTTCCTAACTAAAATGAAGAGATGTTAATACTCTTTTATTTTTTAAACAAATGAAAACATAAATAAATGTAGGCTTTGTGACAAAATAAAACGTTACTCACAAAGAAAAGGAAGATCTGGACAATCGGTCGGGGTTCATGCTAGTCCAAAATAAGGTAGGAGAAAAACAGATGGTATTGTAATCCAAATTCTTTGGGCTTCCAAGTGACAATTCATGTGGGCCATTAAATGGGCATCCTGGTTATATTTCGGCTTAGCAAAATACTAGTGAACCGGCCCAATTCGGTGAGCCTAGCCTCTTCATTTAGTTCTTGGAGCAACGGCCCGACTTCCTGCATTGTGTACGACGTCTTTTGGAACACATATATGTAGGATAGTCTATTCATTATGAGTTTCAAAAAACCTAGTTTTATTGTAGGCAATATATCTTTTTCTAGATGAGTGTAGGGTTCAGGGGCGGAGTTAGGATTTAGCATTCGGGGGGGCCGAAATTTTCTTAATATGTTACAGTAAAATGATAAAAAAATACTAAGAATCAAAATATTTTCAAATGCTAATTTTATTACAACGACACAAAATGTATTAACACTAAATTAACTATAAATAAAAATTAATAATGCATTTCAATTGTATGGCACATTCTGTTTGCATAAAAACGAATATCTACCAATATTAGTACTTAGAAAAATGTTCATTATATATCCGAAAGTAACTTGAAAACTTAAAAATTTAGAAATAAAGTGTTTGATTTAAACTTTAATTGTGAATGACATTAATTAAAAGGGAATGAGAAAGACTGAACTTGAAAACTTAAAAATTTGGAAATAAAGTGTTTGATTGAAACTTTAATTGTGAACGACATTAATTAAAAGGGAAAAAGAAAGACTGAAAGCATTAATTAAAAAGATAAGGTAAGGATGAGCTGCTGCTCAGCATCGAACCAAGGGCCTCCAATTATCAGTGAACAAGAAGTCTACCGCTGCACTAAGTCAATTTTCTTGATGTTAACTTGCACTTTTTAATATTTATATAAACATTTTTAGTTTATACGTAATATCCCGTTCCATATATACGAGACTTTCGAGATTCTCGGGGGCCCAAAGCCTGCTGTAGCTCCGCCCCTGGTAGGGTTCACGAACTTGTTAGTGTCCTAAAGGAGAAGGAAATTGGCGTGATAGCTCACTTCTATATGGACCCTGAAGTTCAAGGTGACCTTAATGCTGCACAGAAGAATTGGCCTCACATCCATATCTCCGAGTCTCTGGTTATGGCGGATAGTGCTGTGAAGATGGCTGAAGCTGGATGCAAAATTCATAACCTTTCTTGGTGTGGATTTCATGTCCGAAAATGTCCGGGCTATCCTTAATCAGGATGGATTCCCAGAGGTATATAACTTATGTTGCTTGTGTGCGTTACACTGTGTGTTAGTGTCGTGTAGGCAATTCATAGTTATTTCTCATTCCATGATCTTTTTTTTGCTTATGCCAATTGTTGCAATGCATGTTGGTGTATACAGAATGTTTGAATAGCGTCTTGGATGTTTGTTGGCAGATGCTGCATCTATCCATGCTTACATGAATGATATGCATGACAGTGGCGGAACCAAGGCAAGGGAGGGTGTGTCGTCCTACACGCCCGAGAATTTTGTGAACGACCTACATATTTTCGGTACAAAAATTTTAAGTTTTGGACTTCCGACAACCCTTCGATAATTATAGCCGACACACCTTCATTAGATTGGAAATTTTTTATTATTTAAATGAATCATTGTGTCGATAATTATAGCCGACACACGATTTGATACCTATATTTTTTATATTTTAGTACCTAAAATTTATATTTTTATACGAAAAATATCATTGGAAAATTACATTTTGGTACCTAAAAATTTTCATTATGACATTTTAGTACCAAAACTTTTCAAATTTAACATTTTGGTCCAAGCCTTGGATGTCATTTGGATTCATGGATCAATCCACCAATCCATTCGATCCAATCCATGAATCCACCAATCCATTCGATCCAATCCATTTTGATCCATGGATCCACCAATCCAATCCACGAATCCGATCCAATTGCCACCTCTATCTAGGATGGATCATGCATTGTCCACCATCTATTAGGACATGAAGTTGAACAAAAGATCAATGACATGTATGGTGATGCTTTCTGGACTGCTCATATCGAGGTTCCTGGAGAAATGTTTTCTTTAGCGATGGAAGCAAAGAGAAGAGGCACGGGGGTAGTGGGTTCTATGCAGAATGTACTAGACCTCATAAAGCAAAGAGTTGAAGAGTCTCTTGACATAAATGTGAGCGATCACCTCCAATTCGTTAGTAGAGGTGGCAATTTCAATCCAATCCACCAATCCAATCTATCAATTCATTAAAAATATCTACCTAATCCAATCCATTTAAATCCAATCCATTTTATCCAAATCCAATTGGATTGGTGGATTCATGGATTGGATCCATGGATCATTGGCAAATTGCGGTTTAGTACCTATAATTTTTATTTTTTACATTTTGGTACCTAAAATTTAATTTTTCATACGAAAAATATCATTGAAAAATTACTTTTTGGTACCTAAATTTTTTCATTATGACATTTTAGTACCTAAACTTTTTACATTTTACATATTGGTCCTTGGTTGAGGATATCATTTGGATTCATAGATAATCCACCAATCCACTTGATCCAATCCATGAATCCACCAATCCATTAGATCCATGGATCCATCAATCCAATCCACCAATCCACCAATCCAATCCATTTGCCACCTCTACGTGTTAGGCACGAAGTCAGGAATGGTCACCGCTATTGTTACTGCAGTCAGGCAGTTACTGGGATCCTCCACAGTATCTTTTGGGAGAGCAAAGGTCAAAGTTGAGATTGTCTTCCTAGTCTCGGCTAACTCAATAACACAAACATCAACTGGGACACCCCCCAAGACTAGAATCGGTACAACTGGGGGGTGTCATTTTTTGTATCGGAATTAAAAGGTAAACGGGAGGCATTTCTATTCGGCGAAGCAAAAGTATATTGAACGTCTGACCCGTCATCTCTTATGTTGTTCAAGTGGTTAGTATCATATAATTGGCGAAAACAAGGTCTGACCTCAAAAAGGTTACAAACATTTAATTTGTAACGACCCGGTAACAAACCTTTGCACTTAATACAAAACCGTCACAAGTTAAACAAAATTGAGCATTTCATACAATTTCAAACTTTTGTTACCGTATCGTTACAAATTAAAGATTTGTGACCATTTTATACTAAGTAAAAAAAAAAAAAAAAGTTTGTGACCACTCAATTTTCTCAGTTTTACTTATAGTAATGAAATGAATGACTGTTATATAAAACTCAACAAAGCCATCAGTTTTGCTTCAAGTTTCTGTATCAGTGGTCAATCACCCCTTTGTGTCAAAACTGCATTTAGAGAAAGGGAAGATACAGTTCTTCAGCAATCATGGGAGATGCACTTCGTCATGCCTAGGAAAGGGAAGATGCAGTTCATCTCGTATACTGAGGTCGTAAATCTCACCACCGCTACCCTTTTTTCTTTTTGTCCTGTAGATAAGTGGTGACGTTGCGATTATGATTGAAGCTCGGCATTGTTTGTCCTTCTCTCAATACGGCAGTTAGTTTCTATATATATAAACGAGCAGAGGGAATGCACTGGAGACTGAATCAGTGATCAAATGAGCAAAATCCCACAGAGACCAGAAAAAATGTACGGCCTGCAAGATTTCTTCTCCCACCCTGATCTGCAATTCGCTTCTCTTCTCCTCTTCCTCTTCCTCCTCATCTCCGCCAAATTCATCCTCTCTACAGAAACACTAACCAAGAACAAGAAGAAGAAGAAATCGAACTTGCCCCCTTCGCCATGGAAGCTCCCTGTCTTGGGGAACCTCCACCAATTAGGCACCCACCTCCACCGCACCCTCCAATCCCTCTCGCAGGCCCACGGCCCAGTCTTCCTCCTCCATCTCGGGTCCGCCCCGACCCTGATCGTCTCCTCGCCCGAATCCGCCAAAGAGATCATGAAAACCCACGACCTGGCCTTCTCGAATCGCCCTCACTCCGCCATCTCCAATCGCCTGCTCTACAACTACAGGGACCTCTCCCAGGCCCCCTACGGCGACTACTGGCGCCAGATGAGAAGCCTCTGCGTCATGCGACTTCTCAGCGCCAAGCGCGTCGAGTCCTTCCGCTGGATCCGCGAGCAAGAGGCGGCGCTCCTCGTCGACACAATCGAGGAGCACGCCGTTTCCGCTGCGGGCGCGCCGCTGAATTTGGGGGAACTGATTTCGAGGATTACGAACGACATCGTTTGCAGGGTGGCGTTGGGGAGGAAGTACGGGGAAGCTGCTGCAGGGGATGGGGAGAAAGGGAAGGAATTCAAGCTGCTTCTCGAGGAGTTCGGGGCTGCTTTGGGGGCGGTGAACGTGGCGGATTTCATTCCTTGGTTGGGTTGGATCAACCGGTTCAACGGGTTGAACCGAAAGGTCGAGAAGGTTTTTCGAGAGTTCGATGAATTTCTCGACCAAGTTCTGGAGGACCATAGGTTAACATCGGTGATAAAAGAAAAGAGCGAGGAGGAGGGGGAGGAGAAGGAGAAGGATCTCGTCGATGTTCTTCTTCAGTTTCAGAGAGAGACTACTGGTTTTGCTGTTGATCGCGACACCATCAAAGCCATCGTCCTGGTACCCATAATTTACCCAAAATTTAATACAACTATGAAATATATTGGTACAACTTTCAACTAATGAACAATTGTATACGTTACTATATAATGAAAAGCGCAATGTGTTGATACGTCGTAGTATTATTATTATTATTTTGTTTGTTTGTTTGTTCGTTCATTCTAGCTTAGAATTTTGTTTTCGTGTTATACATATAGGATATGTTTGCGGCAGGATCGGACACGACATATACGGCATTAGAATGGACTATGACGGAGATACTAAGACACCCGAGGGTGATGAGAAAGTTGCAGAAAGAGATTCGCGCAATTGCCGAGGAAAAAAGATACGTGAAGGAGGAGGAGATAAAGCAAATGGACTACTTGAAAGCAGTTATCAAAGAGTCGTTCAGATTGCACCCACCAGTCCCACTCTTGGTGCCAAGGGAATCGAACCGACATGTGAAAGTACAAGGGTACGACGTTGTCGAGAAGACGAGAGTGATCGTGAATGCGTGGGCGATTGGGAGGGATCCGAAGAGGTGGCAATATGCCGAGGAGTTTATGCCGGAGCGATTCTTGAACAACAAGATAGATTTCAAGGGGCAGGATTTCGAGCTTATACCGTTCGGGGCAGGGAGGAGAGGGTGCCCCGGGACTAGTTTTGCAACTGCTTCGATGGAGATAACGCTGGTCAGCATGTTGCACAGGTTCGATTGGTTGATGCCCGCCGGGGAGGGTGGTTTGGATGCTGATGAAGCTCCGGGGCTAACGGTCCATCGAAAGACGCCCCTACTAGTTGTTCCGACTTTATACTCCCCATAGTACGTAGTGGGATTATTAGAGTGGTAATCAGATTAGTCAAAAATGTGTTTTTTGTTTCTGCAAAAATTGTTATATGCTACTGTAACGTCCCGAACCTTTTCCCAACGAAGATATTGTACGCTTTGGGCCTCTACCCTCACGGTTTTCGACTTGGGGTGCAATTCAAGGTGACTTCCCATAAGGTCACCCCATCCTTGTTGTACTCCACACTAAGCACGTTTAACTTCAGAGTTCTCACAAGAACTCCTCAATTTCACCCTAAAACGCATCTTGTCAGTTAAGGTCGGTCTCTTACTTATGAACCATGGATCTCTCCCTTGCTTTGTCGATGTGGGATTTGCCTAAGGTGTTATAGTTACCCTGCATTTCTAGTCAGTTGGCCTTGGTCTTTTTTTTTTGTAGAATTAGCAGTTGGACTTGGTCTCATCGCACTGGTATATCTATTTTGCTAGAGTACTACAAAGAATACAAAATGAATGTTGCGTTTTGACAATTTTTTTGAATTTTATATGTACTTCTACGAAAAATCTTTTATAAGTACATATATAAATATGAAGTAAAAATAAATTGTATAAAACTTGTGAAAAATATTGAAATTAATGTAATAAATAAATTGTAAGTTGTAATGAAAAAAGAGTAAGCAATATAATGTGCTGACGCGAACAACTCGTAACCCGCTCCACCCATAATTCGATTGATCTGTAATCCTATCAACCTGTAACCTGATGAACCCGCAACCCAATTGACCCGTAACCCGACTAACTCACAATCCAATTGAACTCGAACACTACTAACCCATAATACGATAAACCCGAAATCCAACTATCCGGTAACCTGATTGAATCCAATCCATACCCGGCCAAACCCGCTCAATTGATACCTCTAAAACCAATTTCGAAGGGTTTGCTAGTTGGTTGGTAGTCTGCCTTGTTTTTTTTTTTCTCACAGTGAAATCATCGATGAGATAAATTCTCCCATTTTAAGTAGGGGTGTTCAAACCGTGTGGTTACCGTGGTAACCGTTTTAACCAGTACTATTTGGATAATTTGGTTTGGTTAATTTGGATAATTGGTTTGGTTTGGTTAAAGTTTTTAGCTTGTTTGGTTTAGATTGTTTGGTTTGGTTTCAGACACTCCTAACCAGTCAAACCAAATTAACCAGTTAAGTAATTAGTCATATATCTAATATATATTATATACACATACTTAATACTTTGCATAATCACTCAAGAGTTAAACGTTCATCCCTTTTAGACTCGTAAAATATAAAACTCAATATTGCTCCTATAGTGTATATTTGTATATGTAAAGTGTAGATCACAACATATTGACGCCTAATTTAGATAAATCTCATACATTATGATGGATGAAAACTTGAACGGAAAGTCCTTTCCAGCCTATGATATTTGCTAAGAGACTAAGTCAATTCACACAAACACAACAATTCATTAACCCATACCATTGTCATAAAATTTTGTTAGGTGAATACTTCTATACTAATCGTAAGATAATTGTCTTAGTTGCATGTATTTATGTTAAAGGTCAACTATAACTATGTGTTGATTGTTATGTTTTATTCATTATATAAATTGCGAATTGATGCATTAACAGGAAAATTTTCTCACTTAATGATAATGAAATTTTATATTGGTTAATCTGGTTCACCAATTAACCAAACCGATTAAACTTTAGTTTGGTTAATTTGGTTGTTGTATTAGTTTGGACGGTTTGGTTATGATATTGTATTCCATTGTTAATGAAATTTAGCCTTATTTGATTTGGTAGTAACCATGGCAACCATTTGAACACCCCTAATTTTAAGGCCCGACTGTATTGTGTCAATAAGTCCCTTAGGTATTTGTGCTAAGGTGTCTACCTTTTTGGGCAGAAAGTTGTGGTTGTACTGACGAAGGTCTGAATCACTCTTTCACTGTTTTAATAATTTTGGAATTTGATAAGAGTTAAACGTTTGTTGGTCAAACTTCGGAGATTTGAAAGGCTGTGAATGTTACCTTTGCATCAATGAAGATGATGATTAGGCGCATGAGAACTTTTGTTCTTCTTTCGCGACAAAATGAAAGAACAATTGCCGGACCGGATACTTCGCGCTAATGTTACAGGGATTGTCATTGACGTCATGTTAGCAATGAGCTATAGGCCTATAGCAGTTTATTTGGAGTTTTAGAGGTAGTTTGGTAGTTGCGATTGTTTTGTTGAGATTGTCATTATGCATGTATTGTTTAAAGTGCATCGTTTTTTGTTTTGTTAGCAGAAACAAGACATGAATTGTTTCTATGATGTGACAAAAACTATCACTCATTTTGAGTGATTTTTATATCTCAACTTTTAGTTGTGATTGTTGAGATAGTTGAGTTGAGATTGTTTTGTCTCAGCTTTTAGTTGATGCGACATACACAATCACACATACCAAACGTTGTATTCTACAATGCATCAAATTCGACAATACATGTATAATATTATACATGCATTCTCAACAATACATCTATTTAACAATCGCAACTTCCAAACGACCCCTTAGTCATAGAACTGTAAAAAAAACTACCACTACAACAAAACATGTACTTACCGGCGATTCGTACTTAAATAGATTGTTAATATGTGGGTCGTGAAGATTCGAAACACAATTACTTGATAAAACTAGCTCTAATATCATGTTATAAATCAAATGGATACCAATAATTCGAATGGTAAGAGAAAGTTAATTATTAATCTTATAACAGTACTCTCTTACATGCATATCTTATATGTTATAACTGCACCTTCATTGTTGAAGATTGGGTGGGAAACCAGTGATTTTGGGTGAGAAATTGAAGGTAAGGATGGTTGTGGCTTATGGTCTCTTTCTTTTTTTTGTCAATAGATCACAAACTAAGAGGGAATGTTCAAAGACACATAGCTAATGCGACCGTAACCAACTAGTGAAGTTGGTCCTCCTTACGTCAAGGTGAGAACGTTCTTTCCCGCGTATGGTTAACCTATGCTAAAATTATTGGCATAGAAAGTTGACGAGCTCTATGTCGGAGTAGGGGAGAGGATCCTATAGCTAAGGGGAGTGTTCGGTCATTTCATAGCGTTTAGATAAAATATTGTTATAAAATGGTGGTTCAATTGAGGGAGTGGTATTTATTTAATAATAAGGGCCATTTTTTTTTGTCATAAGCTAATTGGAATTGAGGGAGTGGGAATTACCACAAAAGTTAAACCCACTCACAACCGTAGGCAACATAGAAAGGACATATTTAGCTACCAAATGGGTCATCCTATTGTTCAACCTACCCACAAATCAAAACCCAAAACCTGGACATACCCCCTTAGAAAAGTAACCTCCTCCAAGATGGCCCCACCACGATGATCTCTGCCACTGAGACCTTCCCCAGAAATATCTTCGTGTCCTCTCGAATCACCATGTCCCGCAATCCAACATGACAAAACCATCTAATTGCATCACGAACAACAAGCATCTCAGCTTTGCAGTTGTGTTTGTCGTGATCGTCTTCGTCGCATCGCTCACAAACAAATTAAGACCTGTGTCAAGGGTGAGTTTTGTGTCAAATTGAGCTCTTGAACCTCTTTAGCTACTGTTGCAATTAGTTCAGCGATACTGGTGAAGAGGTCACTAGATTGTTGTGTTGTTTCCACGGTCACTAGAGTAATCCATCTCGACCAGTTTTGAGACTTTGCATATCTATCGATGCGTAATGCTAGAGCGCTTTGGGAGAGAACTTTTGAGAGACATTTACGCGAGCTACTATTTCTTGTACAAACCCATGATGAGGGCAAAAATGGAGTAGCTCTTGCAAGCACTCCCACCCCTCGTACAACGAGTCATGCGCCCGTAACTGAAATCTAGCAATTTGGTCCCTTAATTTGTTGGTTCTTGATGCTGGGAAGAACTCTTTGATAAACACTTGAACCTGTGTCGCCCTTGTTCAGAAAGATCCTAGTGGTTCGTGCTATAGCCAGCTCTTAGCTTTCCCCATATGAAGAAAGGAAAGAGACGTAAGTAGCCTTATTGCGTCAGGCTCTATACCTGGATGCTATGCAGAATCACATACTTCTATAAATGTTTTGATGTATTCGATCATATTCTCATTATCACGGCCCTCAAAAGTGTTCAACATTCTGGACCACATGGATCGTTGAACTTTTGGCCTCAAAATTAGGCACATTAATCTGAGGCAGGGGGATTGTAGTCCGTATTAATAGTGTTTTGAGCATAATTCAGGTTGTGTTGGAAGAATTTTTGTCAATCCATCTAGTATTGTGCCTTTTGCTATTTGGAGCGGTTATGGGACAATCCAAGTACCACATCAGAAATACAAGGGAAAGAACCCTTGTATATAAGTGTCCACCTATCCCAATTAGTACGAGGTCTTTTGGGGAGGACACCCAAGAGTAAAACCGTGCGGGCTTGGCCCAAAGCGGACAATATCGTACTAATGGAGCAACCCGATTTGTGACAAGTGGTATCAGAGTTTGGTTCGGTGTGGGGCGGTGGACATCAGTTTGGTGGACTCTCATTCGGTAACCTCGGGATTTGAGATATGTGTTTGTCTGGCGGGTCAAAAAAGATCCGCGTCTCGTTTGGTGGATCCAGGAGAGATTCACGTTTGGGCTTGGCGGATCAAAGAGAGTTCTGCATTTGGGAAGCAGATCAAAGAGAGTTCTGCGTTTGGTAAAAAGTCCTTGTATCGAGAAGCCCACAATACAAGGCGTCTGGCGGATCAAGATAATCGCTGAGGAGAGGACACAAAGTTCGTGGTCCTTGTCTTGAGGGGAGGATTGTTATGGGATAATCCAAGTACCACATCGGAAATACAAGGGAAGGAACTCTTGTATATTAGTGTCCACCAAGCTCATTAGTACGGGGCCTTTTGGGGAGGACACCCAAGAGTAAAACCATGCGGGCTTGGCCCAAAGTGGACAATATCGTACTAATTGAGCATCCCAATTGCGACAAGGGGTATCAGAGCCTGGTTCGGTTCTGGGCGGTGGACGTCAGTTTGGTAGGACCCTTATTCGATGACCTCGGGATTTGAGGTCTGCGTTTATCTGGTGGGTCAAAGGTGATTCACGTCTGTTTGGTGGATCCAGGAGAGATCCACGTTTGGGCTTTGGATGAGAAGCAGATAAAAATGAGTTATGCGTATGATAAAATCCTTGTACCGAGAAGCTCATCGATACAAGGCGTCCGGCGGATGAAGATAATCGCTGAGGTGAGGACACGAAATTCGTGGTCCTTGTCTTGAGGAGAGGATTGTTATAGGACAATCCAATTACCACATCGGTAATACAAGGGAAAAAACCCTTGTATATTAGTGTCCACCAAGCTCATTAGCACGAGACATTTTGGGTAGGATACCCAAGAGTAAAACCGTGCAAGCTTGGTCCAAAGCGGACAATATCGTACTAATGAGCAGCCCCGTTATGACAAGTGGTATCAGAGCGGCTAATGTGATTGCGTACGTATTACCGCATGCAATTAGAGTCCTTGTATTTTCTTTCTTTTGGTTACAGCATTGACATATCTTGGACACAAATTAAACATATGCTATATAAAGTTAGTGTCATTGATCATCGTTTTTGTTATTATTGATATGTTGACAAAATCTGGAATATTGTGCTTACTTACAGTGTCCACGGTCTCATGGTCATGGTTGAAATATGAATTTCTAACGATGATAGACAGGACAAAGAAAGAAATCCCAGAATCACGCAATGCTGGCCAAACATTATGCGACCGGGGATGTTGAAAAAAAAGAAGTTAAAAGCAGCATCTGAAACGGCAAATCGATTACTATATCATCGTCGCTGGTTTAACCTCATCATAGGAAAGATAGGAAAGTGAAAATGTTCAGCAATTTCGTGGGTCCTCTCCATTACTCATTATTAATTCTGCCGTCCGTCTTGATCCTCTCCACATACTACCTCCTCCTCAAACGACGCCGTTCCCCCAGCTCCGACAACCCGCCGCGGCTTCCTCCGTCGCCTCCAGCGCTCCCGGTGATCGGAAACCTCCACCAAGTCGGCCTCTACCCGCACCGAACCTTCGCCGCCTTGGCCCAGCGTTACGCCGCCCCGGTGATGCTGCTCCGCCTGGGCAGCAAGCCGGCGCTCCTCGTCTCCACCGCCGGCGCCGCCCGCCAGCTGTTCAAGAGCCACGACCTCCTCGTCTCCACCAGGATGCGAATCCGAACCTTCGAGAGGCTCTTCTACGACGCCAAGACCGTCGCCTCGGCGCCGCACGGGGAGTACTGGCGCCACGCGCGTGCCACGTGCGTGCTCCACCTGCTCAGCAACAAGAAGGTCCACTCCTTCGCGCCCGTCCGGATCAAGGAGACCGAGCTGATGGTGGAGAGGATCCGGGACGCGTCGCGGCGGGGCGTGGCGGTGGATCTGAGCGACGTGGCGACGTGTCTCTCCAACGACGTCATCTGCCGGGTGTCGTTTGGGGACAAGATGACGTCAGACCCGGACGTGGCGGGCCGGTTCAAGGTGTTGCTGGAGGAGCTGATGAAGCTGCTGGGAGGGTTTTTCGTTGGTGATTTCATTCCGTCGTTGGGTTGGGTGAACCGGCTGGTTGGGGTCAACCGGAGAGTGGATAAGACGTTTAAGGAGTTCGATGAGATGTT